TCTAAAGAGAATATAATAGACTAGCCTATACCTCTTTATATATAGGAAGAACTATATTATTAAATATAAACTAATCCCTATATATCTTAGGTAGAAGATACTCCTCTATTAAGAGATTCTTTATAGACAACTTTAGTAAAAATACTTTATTATTATTATTAATAGCGGTAAATAGAGTAATCTATAAAAAAAAAGTTATTAATTCTAATATTATATTAGTAGTCAGAGATATAAAAAGAAGAGATAGCTTATTAAGCTACTTATTATCTATATTAAGCTAATAACTAAATAAATAATCTTCAGTTAATAGCTATAATAGCTTAGGGCCAGCTATAGGGGCCTTATTAAGAGAGCCTAGAATAAATAAAATATATTTAAAGTATTTAAGAGGTATTACTATATTAATTAGCATTATTATATAAATCTAAAGGGTTATAACTTATATTAAGCGCATGCGCAGGACCTATAAAGAAAATAACTTAAAAATCCTATTTTTAATATATCTATATAATTATTAGCTATTTCTATATTTAAACTATTAAAAGCAGTATTAAATAAGCTATAGAAACAGGAAAAGGATAGCTTAATATATAAGTAAAAAAATAGGAGTTAGTTAGTAAAAAATAAAAATACTCCTAATCTCCCAGGTAAAAATATTAAAATAAAGCTAATATTAGATAAATTCATATAATAAGCATATCTTAATAGCGACTTATTACTATTACTATAGCTATACCTAAATATTTAGATCTATATAATAAACTTTATATAGCTCGGGATAAGCCTTTTAAGGGGGGGAATACTGTTATAAACTAGGGCTACAATACCTAATCTGGACCTGCTAAGACCTAGGATAGATAATAAAGGATAACGAGATAACTAGATCTATATATAATAGTTAGATCAGCTAGTTATAGATAGAGCTATTAAGACTAGGTTATCTAGATAACCTAGTAGAATAGACAGATAGATAAATAACCCCTAAAAGAATAGAAGTTAGATAGATTAGCAATTCATTCTAATTACTATAAAACCTAACCTTTAACTCTACTACGCGTAGACGGCTATTTGCCTGCATCTCTATCTCTTATCTTATATTCTATTTGACTAGTCCTACTAGTTACCTCCGATAAAGAGCTTTCTTACCCTAGCTCTTTACAGAAATACTTAATCTCTCTAATATAGTAAGTACCTTATTAAAATACTATAGATACTATTCCTTTAACTAGCTATATATAATAATATTATTAATATATACTAGGATAAAATCTTATAGATACTATAATAACAATCTTTCTATATAATATTAGAAAAAGCCTAGAGTTATTAATAGGCCCATTAATACTATTATTAATTACTTAAGGCCCCTATAAGAAATAATAAATGCTATTTTTTAATAATTAGATAGTTACACTAACTATTAAAAGAATCTCTTAATAATATTAAATAATAAAAATATAGTAGCGCCCTTATATTTAATAAAAACATTATCTTATTTTAGTAATAGATATATATTTAAAATAAGTTTTTTATTAATATACCGCAGGTTAATAACTATTTATAGCTTATTCTTATTTTATATAATAAATGCTAATAATATAGCTAGCGCCTTTTATATTAAAAGAATATATTTTACCTGCCTTTTAATAATTAATAGATTAAGAATAAAGTCTATAGCTTTATAGTCTCTTAAAAAGAGGTAAAATAGCGCCTATTTTAACCCTTTAATATTGTTTTTATTGCAGAAATATACTAGTATATTAATCCTATTATTAAATATACTAAGGCCTTTATAAAAAAGATTAGTATACTTATTTAAAATATTGCGCATCTATAATTTATATTTCTTACCTTATATTAATAATATATCTGCTTATTCTACTATAGCACTAGTATTATTTATATTAATTATCCTAGTATCTATTGCTATTGGCATAGGATAATTAATATTGCCTATTAATTATATTATACCTATTATTAGAATAAGTACTTAAGATAAAGATATATAGCTAAGGAGTTAACCAATTCTTATCTATATAAGATAATCTCCTATATTTATATATAATAATCTTATCTTATTATAGCAGATTAAGACTACCGGCAGATTATTCTATATGCCTAAATTATTATTTCTCTATAGAATAAGTATTATCTAATATAAGTATACCTCTAGTATAAGATATTAATAAATATTAATTATATATCCCTAAGCGGGCTAAACTATAACTATCTCTATTATATAGATTACTTACTTCCTTTATAATAGTTATTTATAAGATCTGTCCTATAAGGACCTTACCGGTATTTAATATCTGCTAATAATAGCTTATTATCTAGATAAGTTAAGGATTATTTTATTTTCAATAAGAGTACTAGTATCTGCTATTATACTATAGGCTAAGATAGGAATAATATAATAATATCTAATAAATAAAGTTATTTTATTATTATTAGTAAGCAATATAATTATAATATTAAGTTAATAAGTAGAATTTACCCCCTAGTTGCTAATTCTTTTTAAAATCTTTATATATGCTATTAGAATAATATCTGAAAAATATTTATTATAATAGGCTTATAAAATATATAAAATATTTAACCCTATGTTTAAGCATATAGTTAATTTCTCCCTATTATAGATAAAGTTAGCTTATAAATATCTATACTGCTTTTAGGCCTATATAAGGGCTAGAGGCTATCCTTCTATAGATTATAATACCTCCTTATCCTTAATCTTTTTTAATTTTCCTTATTAGTAAGGATAGCTTTAAGAGCCTCTAAGGTTTTTAGATCTTTAGTATTTATATTGCTATCTAATACTATAACTATATAAATATAAGTATTTTTTTATATAGGATAATTATTATCTTAATACTAAGCTTTATAATAGCAATATAGATATAATAATAATTATCCTTTATAGGGTTATTATAGCAAATATAATAATTAAATATCTTTATCCCTACTTTTAAATACTACTAGCAGTATTACTCTACTAATAGCTATAATTAGCTCTTATATCTATATTAATACTTATACCTTTTAATAGCGCTAAAAGAGCCTATTTATATACTCTTATATAAGTAGTATTAATAATAGTCTATTATATATATACTAGGATTTCTCCTATTCTTAATATATATCTATCTTAATATATTATATCTAATAGCAAAATTGCTCTATAGGCTTATTTAGCTTAATATAAATTAATATTGCTAGCTTTAGATTTAACCCTTCTTATAGCTTACTCTTAATAGTCTTATTATTTATTATACTTACTTCTTTTAACAATATAATCTTTTATATAAGATAATTATCTAGTAGAAGTTTATCCGCTATAATAAATAAGAAAGTTAAGTTTTATATTTATTAATAAGCCTTAACTAGGTTATAATAAAACTTCTCTTTTAATAACTAATATTATTTATCTAAAGAATAAACTAATTTATTATATATCTCTTTAAGTAGGTTTATATATTATATTAATACTCTGCCCTTTAGGTAAAAGAGTAAGATATCTAATATTATATATACTCCTTTATAAGAAGCTATAATCCTAATTCTCTTAGTAAAAAATTAAATATCCTTATCTACTAGGTTAAAAATTATAATATCTTCTAGTTTTAACCGCTATTAATATTATTTATCTTTATGCTAGGATTTAATATTATAAGGCTCCTTCTTTTTATATGTCGGTCTCTATAATCTGCTGCTTTATATATATTATTTATATAATAAGTAGTTATATAATTAGTATTAGCCTAATTTAAAGCTTAATTAATATTAGCTTAATCTAAAGCTTTTAGCTAATTATTCTTATATTAGTTATCTTAGTTCTAATTCTCTAACTACTGTATTTAACTGCTTCTCTAACTTCTTAATATAATTTTCTAAATAATATTCTTGCTTTAAAAAATACTCTGAGAAATACTACTAATAACTTAGTTACCCTATTACTAATAATAATAATGCTTACTCTATAGATTAAATATAGTAATCTAGTCCTATACAGAATACCTATACCTATTTAGGTAGAGATACTATTAGAGTATTATAACCTATACCTTACTATATTTAGTATTTCTATACTTTTATATAGAGGTTCTCTACTCTCTTTAATAATATTATAACTAGGATATTACTTACTTATATTAAATTAGTTTATATTAAATAATTGTTAACTAATTTATAGAAATTATCTATTAGTTTATTATAATATATAAATAGCCTATTAATTAATATTATATAAAATTTAAACTGCTTTATAATATATTATACAGGCATTTTTTTATTCTTTCTTAACTTATCTATATCTGCGCTTTTTTCCTATATTAATTCTTATTAGTCACTATATAGATCTAATATTATATTAGATATTATATTAGCAATACCTATAGCAAGCATATATAATTTTATCTTTTAATCCCTATAGAAAAGGATATATTATCTAAGTATTATATATAGGATTAGGATTATATATAAGTAATAACAGTAACTAAATTAAATATAAGATTAATTAAAATTAAAGATAAGATAATATAAAGTTTTATACTGCTAGCCGCAGTATTATTTTTTATTAGAATTCCTTTTAATAGTATAAAATCCTAGCTAGATCTATTATTAGAATATACTACTATTTTACTATATAAATAGGGGGAAAGAGTAATATTAAGAAGTCTAGGTTCCTCTAATGCTAAAGATATCGCTATATACATAAGGTCATATAACCTACGTCATGTGCCTCTACACTAGATCTGGCGTAGCAATAATCTCTTGAGTGTTTCGTGCTCACTCATAGATGGCAAATCAATTACAAATTGACACTTTTTAGACCACTAACAAATCTTATGCTCATATGAATATCCTGCGAGAGCTCAATTCGATAATTCACTTGGAGAAGGAGGAGTTGGCAATGTTAGATTTACGTAGCTCTCGGGGATGTACCCCACATCAAGTGATTGGCCAGCTACTGCTTCCAAATCTGTCCCGATCCGCTCCCGCGCTCTGCTCACATCATTCTACAACTATGAGAATTGCTACATCTCCTTACTCTCACCGGTACTGAATGACATCAGTAATAACGAACTTCCCCTTCTACATCCCGAACTCCCTTCTGGTCTGACTGCGTGATCAGCATACCATACCGTGGCTGCCAAGGTCTTACGCTTTGATCATACGGCCATATGGGCCGGGAAAATGGAGAGTTCGTTCGGTAAATGATACTTCCGGTATTATCGCTTCTATCGCTCAATACACCTTGCTCCAGTATCTATACAAAGACCATTAGTAGTGCCAATCAATGTTCGCCATGCCAACTCCATGCTCAATAAATCATGTTGCGCAACTCGTGTGCGAAAGTCCCAAACTCATAAACTGCCCAGAAACGAATGCATGCTCGAAGACTGATCCTCATAAGTTCAGAATTTTTTTCATCCATAGAAGTACTGCATCTCGAGAGGCGCGTAATTGGTCTTTCTCCTGCGCCCCCGCCGGCAATGGTACGGTTTCCTCGACCAAGTATGCCCGACGCAGGTCATAGAACTTTCGCCGGCATATCGGGCAGCTCCCATCCCTTGTGCAAAGCCATCGATCGATACATGGTCGGTGGAATATGTGGTTGCAGGGTAATCGACGAAAGACTGTACTTGAATCGGTATCTTCGCAGCAAAGTTGGCAGCAGCCTGGAAACTCGCCAGCTAGATCGAAGGTCAGCTATTGCGGTAAGCAGTAAGTGAAGCTGCGCATATACTCACCGTCATCTGGGTAGTCATAGCCCACGTAGCAGGGCATACGGGCTAATTCAATATCCCGTTGACGCAGTGGTCCTTTGTCTGTCCGCGAAGGAACTCTCAGGTATGTAGTAGTAGACATTATGTATGTATGGAGTACAGTGATCAGGTTTGAGGAGATTTTGTCAGCTAGGAGAGACGGGGGAGGCTATATAATAGTATCTTTCTATCATGATTGAAGTTTTTGTTTGCTAAATGGACTGTTCCTTATGGTAGCAATGCCGTCATAAGCGTGAAATGGACGCACTTTTCCTCAAATCGCCATAATTACCCCATACCTCAACAGCGGACTTTTCTCGGAAACGTGTCACCGTATGCTGTCGCTGCAGATGAGCCACTAGATAATAAGTGGTTGCAGATCCGGCCTCGTTTTCAGCTTCGTCAGACGCGAAGGTGATTACTATCAGTCTTGGCAGTCATATGATGGTTATCGGCCGAGAGATCCTAAAATTTCGAGTCAATCTACCTCTGTCGTATTTACTTATCATGTATTCGACTCTCTAAATGATAATCTTTTAATTATTCCCCGAGATTAGGCACTATGGGATCAAAATGATTCAAAATTAAAGGGTTAGGGCATCAGGAATAGTCAGAATAAGGATTATCCTCGTTGGGGTTTAATTAATTGCTAACCATTTAAAGTAGAGCTACCTTAATTACTTAGCTTCTTAAAGGCCCAAGTAGGTAGGAATCTATAACTGCTTAGCAAATACATAATAACCGCTTAATAACTAACTGCTGGAGAAACTTGGCGTATAACTTAAAGAAATTAAAAGTAGAGGTAAATAATAACGGATTTCACGATATCTAAGAACTTAAAAAGCTTATTAAGGGTCTTGGCAAGCGGATATGGGTCATCTGACGGTCAGATGACCTGTGTACTTGTACTCTATCTAGCATCCCGGTGACACTGACTCAAGCAGGATTTGGGATAACTATCCAACTAATCAATTGACAGTTATCGTAATATGTTCTGGTCCAGACTGTTCCAGCTCCGGATACTCTTCGTTATTAGGTGGACAGAACGTCGGATGATGGTCTAAGTAACGTTTTCCAGTCATACGAGTGTTCCGATATTCCAAAATGCTATCCGTCCTCTTTCCCGCGTTGACTAGGTACAGATTGAAGATAGGGACCTCAGATATAGACGCAGTGATACTGTGCAATGAGTAAGCCATGGGACTCATGCCCGAATATCGAAGTACTATACTATTTCTTTACTACTAGAAAGGAAGGAATAGACATGTTGGGGTGCAATCCTAGAACATGCGTGTTTCATAACTCCTAGACTGTAAGCTGGGAATTCTACGACCGTCTTCTCAAGGCACTTCCAATCGAACACGTAGAAAGGCAGATCTGGTTCCAATTTATCATTTACTCTAAGGCCCAATATAAGAAAGTAGCTCCATACTCAATCCAGTCAACAGTCCCCGAAAGAAAGAAAGGAAAATCACCATAAAGAAGACATTCTGGAAGTTCAAAGTAACTCCACCCCTTGAAAGGACTCTCTGGCTAATGGCTTTCTCCCTGAACTGTTTCAACAACAGTCCCACGCTTTGGCCATGACTCTCACGTTAGGATGCTTTTCCTTGAACTGCTTCATCCAGTCCTGTCCCTCAACGAGGTCTTTGTACCTCTGCGCGCGCCCTGCATCATACACCCCTATGTCCAATATAACAGTAGGCACTGCATCCCTCACTGTTTCTCCCTCTCGATGCGTCATGGCCAAAATTGGACCCACGCAAGGCAGGACTGGGCCACCGTCAAGCCTTCTGATAGTATCGATCTTCAATCGGCCAAGCAAGTGGCAGATCGGGCCTGCGATCTCTTCGAATATAGCGACTGCAAGGTCGGTATTGGAATATACGACCCATCTCTCGTTGGAGTCGTCATATAAAAACCCCCAGGGTTTATCGCAGCAGTCTGCGGGGTTCGGGAATTGCGTTGGTGGTGGCATATTTATCGTAGTGGTTTTTTGAAGCGGGTTAAAGTGGTTTCTTGGTCTTTGTAGTGGACCGTTGCGGAATAAAGAGGATATATGGAATGATGGTCTTGGTCTCCGTGGTTCTTGCTTTGTATAATGCAGTGGAGTTGTCTAGTATTGAGAATATAGAATGTTGCTGTTCTGGTCGAGCTGCTGTATTTATAATGGCCATGGTAGCCGTGACTCAACATGAGAGTCATGGATTGACGCATATTGGTGGTAAGATGATTGAATATCCCATATAATTGATAATCAATGAATGGCTTTTGCAGCACAGTTTTTTATAAAATCATCGGCTGTTTCCTACTAACTGACGCATTGAAAGAGTATGACCACTGACGGTCGGACAGCAGAAAAGTTGATTATATTTAATTGCAGAAAAGATTTTATTGTACACTAGAACACAGGACGGGGATTCCCTATCTTTAATACCTTCCTTGAGCAAACAACGGTCTATGTATTACGTATATAGAAAATTCTACAAAGAAAATTATGTGTACTAATGTATATGCGGGTACTTAACAGTCAAACAAGCAAAGCAAACTACGGCTACCGGCCTCTACAGCTCTTTTACCCGTGGAATAATCAATAAAGAGTCTTTCAGTAGTAACCTTTCTATTTCCAATACTGTCAGAATATATCAAACAAGAGAATCATCGATGCAAACTTAGCAGATTGCTACTCTAGGTACAAATCGAAGTATTTGTTTAGAGATGCAGGAACAAACACAGAGCAAACAAACAAATTTAGAGCTAATAGTAAACTCATAAATCAAGAGTAGGGTGTAGCAGCAATCTATCTACCCGAAAAAAGGAGCAAATTATGATGACGCCACGCTCAGTAGAATAGATATCGAATACTCAATAACCAAACAATTATCGACACCAGATTCCAGACTCCCCAGGTTCCAACCCAAGCTCACTTCCCCTTCCTTGGGATCATAGTTTCGAGTTGCCCGAGCATATATTCAGTATCTCAGTAGGGGGATCTCCCTCACCACGTGCGAACCTCGGGGCTCCACAAAAGTGCTTCGCAATCTTGAAACCATTCCTAAGTAGCAATGAGGAGAGTTGAACAAACTCTGCGCTGCGTGACATAACACCTCCTAGAGACCATAGTGGCATCAATCTGCCGGTAGTGGTCATTCCAATAGGCATCCAGTTGCGATAGACTGATGGGAATTGTGGATGGTTCATTAGGTCGTTGAAAAATTTGTCCCATGGTTGGCCGGGACCATCTAGTTCGATGTAGACAATTGGGTGGACCATCGTAAGTGCCATATTTGGAGTGGTGGATATAGGAGCTTTTGAACTTTGATAAGCTAAATAAGTATTTAAGTGGATCCCTGTGGTTGTCTAGAGTAGAAGAAAGTACTAAGTATATAGTTTTTAAGTATGACCTGAATTCTGCATCAATAATATAGCTCTTCTTGAGTCAGAAGATAGGTGAGTAAGAAGTTGAGAGAGTTATTGTATGTATACATATGGATTTCCTGACTCAATGCACTGCATTGGTGAAAGCAATAACATAGATTCCCTTTCGTGGTTATCATTAACACAGTATGAAGAGATGGTTTAACTGACACATATGAGGATCATGTTAATAACTGGCATAAATACTCCTAATTGGAAAGAATCCCTTCACCAATAGGCTCAAAGAATAACTGAAGCTAGCTGCGCTCTATACAACAGACACAGTCAAGATGTAGGTTCAGAGAAGATCGTTAATAGAATTATCTCTATGTTCTATCTACACATTGATGTTCTGAATAATACAATGCTGTCACCAGGACACAGGATATCATAAACAGAAAGATAATGTCTGCCAAAACGAATAACGCCATAAAGCCAACCGGACATTTCTCATAAAGCAGTAGGTACTGAGTAGAAACACTACTGTATGCAGACAAGTCACCAGATATCTCGCTATGCCACATATATCGGAGGCTCATCGCGTGTTCGTAGTAAAAAGTCAGCCTGGTTGGACAGCGCTTCCGCCCCCAGACTTAGTCTCTCAGCGAGTACTGCTGACAGGCTCTCTAGGAGGGAAGGTCGTCGATCCCAAGGCTTTGCTGTATATCGAATACTAACGGGGACTGATAGGTCGACAGTGGTCCGGCCACAGCCTTCAATCTCCATTGACATACAGAGTGCATATCGCCGCGATGCCAGGGAGGACGCAAATGTGGGTTCTGGGAAGGTGTCTCCGGAATATTCAACCACGAGCGTCGCCTCTGATTCCCATTCACTGCCCTGACTCATTAGAGTGTTCCCATTCGGCTTTGCTGGCTTCCACGGCGAAAATCTTAGTTTCCGCTTATGGTTCATGTGGTAGGTTGAATGTTTCGTCATCCACGGTGATCTCTGCGCTTCTTTTCGAGTAGGCATACGCTGTTGTGGCATGATCGATACGAACGTTGTCGAGCGTAGTCTGGAAATAACTGTTCCATAGAACGGTTCCGGGGGCCCACAACTATGACACGCGCGACTATATCGCAACTTGATCTTGACAGACGCAGAGGCGCTCTGCTTCTCACTGGAGAACTCGAAAGGTGTCGCTTCGCTTGTCTCGACGTGCAATTCTCCCACGCGACGGAATGGCCACAAGGCCCGTAATGTTTTCTTTTCTGACAGAATGTACTCTCCTGGAAAATCGCTCGTGCAGACTGGTGGCTCCTGGTCCAGAGTTGGAAACAACGATATCGGCCGCTCCATCTCAACGGTCACAGTCCCATTGCGAACCAGCTGGGCGCGAATGCCATAACTGATCTTAGATTTTCCGCGGCAACCATGAACGTGCGAATTCGGACTCCGATTTTCAAAGGCGACGTTCATCGAAGATGGTAAGCATTGCACGAGATCCGTGCCCTCTTTCAGGCCGTTTGGAGTCAAGACCTGACGAGGAACCTTGAAGCAGAATGGAAATAACCGGGTCCCCTCTGTTCCGTATGCTTCTTGTACTCCTCGGCAGTCTGTTAAGCGGACAAGCTGGATATTCCATCAGTAAGCTGGCAGGAATCGCAAAGGGATCTTAATACTTACGTCTTGTCCCATCCGCATCCGATAGAGCTCCGTCATAGGTCAGTCAATATCCATCACACTCAGAACGTTCAACACATTCCCTGTAAAGATCAGCAATATGTCAAGCAATTTCCGTATATTTGCTTTCACCCACCAAACAACGTGATTTTCACCGAGTCAAACTCCTCCGTAATGTTCTCGTCGAGACCGGTGACCACAACTGTCCCGCTGACACCATCATCGGAGAGGAAGATCGGACTCTTATCTTTTGAGTGGTGATACTTGAGCGCCCCATCACGGAAGATGATATCAACTTTGACCGTCATTTCAGCGAGTTTTTCCGCTCTTCAAATCGTTTATGTTCGCGGACTTAATTTCGTCTGGGGGGAAGTGTGCGCTCTGCCTTTTTTTTAATCCCCAGTGGTAGCGCCACTTTATCATGGATAAAAATAAATCTACCCCAAGAATGCAGCGCGTTGTATTTTTAGGAGGGTATCACAACAGCAGATGACCTGAAACCAGTCGGGAACACAACGCAGAATGTTGACCGACGTCAACTCAGCGCGCCCACAGGCTGCTTGAGGACAGGGAAAAGGGAACGAGAAAGACAGCAGCACAACCGGTCGCAACAGGTGGAGAACGTAGAATCTACAATATGTGCCCTGGGAGACCACAGTCTATATAAAGCATTTCTTTTGTTTCTAGGTACCGTATGGGGCACGCGATAGAGCTGGTGGAGACGGACAGCCCGTATGGCCTCCTGCAGGACTGTCATAGATACCTGCAATGCCCGATCCACCATCGGACATGCCTCGCAAAATCAAGCTAGCAAACGCCATTTTTTTCTGCTTCACGAAGCCCTATGGAATGTCTAGACTGGATGATGTCCGACTGATTTCACTAAACTTGCTCGCCACTGTCCGCCGTCGGTGCCGGCTCGGAACTCAACGGGAAACTGTCGGTGTCTAGTCGCCGATAGGAGTATGACCAGCAAAGAAAAAGGAACATTTGGGACATTGGGCTTCCGAATATCCCCGATTTATTATTGTTTTTCCTTTCTTGTGTACTCGTGATATGGAGAACTTGTCGATCATCTTTTTTTTTTCGGTGGAGAGTATGGATGCCTGATAAGGCTGATGGCCGATGTAAGATAAAAATGCCGTTATCTTTTATCGGTCGCCAATTATTACACCGGATCAACTTGTGTCTAAACACCACAACATCTCTTCAGCATACAGTATACACTTTATTACAACAGCTAGGCTCAGTCCATGAGACTTTTTATTTTACTTCTGCCACTATAATCCCAAACTTATCGAGATATCTATCATGACAACCATGAATATACAGCATACCGACGTGCATGTGATTGGCAGATCAAATACAACATGACCACATAGATCGTCTCGCCTGATGAACCTCGGTGCGAGAGGCTCTGATAACAGTCTCGGCTAACTTGGTTTCAGGTTCCTTCGTTCGTTCCAATCTCTAGCCGCTTTGGTGTTTGTGAGGCTGGAAGACGCCTAACGGTACCACATGATAGACGCCACCAATTGGCCGACGGATGACAACATCTTACTAGTGAGCATGGGCGCATTCATAGATGCCCACGATATATGACCTGATATTGATATCTTGCAAAGCGGGCCTAAGAAAAGTTGAATCACTGACAGATTCGTGGGTATCTATGAGCAGGAGATGCGTCTCTATACTGCTTAGTCGTCGCTCATCATTCTTCAGTATATCCTTCTGCACGGATGATCATTGTATACCTGAAACGCATCAGCCTCCCTCAAGGCCCATGCCTTTTCCAATCTTTCGAATCAGAGCCCGTTTAAGGAACGCTTCTCTTGCTAGACCTCTCGTGTGTCGCGACCATGTATCTACACCAATGATGCCTTTAACAAGAGCAGACTGCAAAGCGTAGATGGCCTGCTGAATGCCGCTCTCATCTGCCACGAGGTCGTACAGTTGCTTGCCAACAACCGTAGGTGCGACGAGGACATCATCGATAGGCGGGAGCCCTCTTCTGCTATCACCGCTCGCATTGGACGGTCCTTCCGTCCCTGGTGGTGCCGGTGAGGAGATACGGGCCTGCGCATCTGCGATCACGGCGTCTGCACGGTGAAGGGACTGCTGGAGGATAGAGGTGTTGGACTGAAGCGTCGCATTAAAGTTATTCAACGCAGCGATCTCGCCTTGCAGGGTGGCGATAGCCCCTTGCAATGCTTTGGATTGGGATAGGAGAGGCTGCACTGCAGACTTCGACTGGCCCACGTTGGATTGAAGAGTCTCGGTGAGTGTCTTGGAGACCGCGTGCAACAGTGCGTCCTTCTCTGGATTCGGTGGGATCGGTGGCGCAGGACCCGAGGGTGCCATCGACGGTAGTTCTAATTCGAAAGGCGATGTAAGGAGATCCGGGGTCTGAGGTTTGGGAGCTGGTGCCGGAGCTGGTGCCGGAGCTGGTGCCGGAGCTGGTGCCGGTTGATTTAGAGGGGCTTGTGGCGGAGGATAGTATTGTTGCTGAACTTGGTGGGGGGGTACTTGCGGAGGTCGATAAGCCGGCTGGTATTGTTGGTAGGTAGGCTGTGAGGGCTGCGAATACCCCTGAGGCAGTGGACCTACAGGAGGTTGCTGGTGCGCGTATGCCGTAGTAGGAGGTAGGGGACTACCAGGAGTAGCCCTCTCGTCTGCAAACCGCTGGGGAGGTACGGCTGCGTTGCGTAAGCTGCTCGAACGCTGCGGCGAGTAGTGGAGTGGTCTGTTCGGCGCTGTATTGTTCGGTCCATTCTGATATTGGAAGGATAACCTCCTCGAATCGGCCGTCTCTTTGGGAGGAAGCGGTGGAAGCGGAGGCGGCGACTTATATCTGTCTGGTCCAGGCTGCCTTTGCTCCGGTGTCTGTGTTCGACCCGGCTTAGGAGGGAGCTGAGGAGGAGCTTGGGGGTTCGACGGTGCTGGCGCAACTGGGCTTGGCGATGGGTTGAGTTCCCGCGGAAGGGGAGGCAGCGGAGGTGGAGCGGGAGCCTGCTGCTGTTTATATTTTACCGGTGGTTCTTTTGCGAACACCTCTCGGAGAATGGTCAGAAAGTCGACAATGGAGGATCTCTGCTCAAACCGATAGTCAGTGTCTTGTTCTGATGGGCCATCGCAATGCCACGAAGTGGGTAATTGCTCATATGTTCTCTAATTGTTTCCGCGTCAGGAATACTCACATCCCATGCCTCAGCCCAATGCGCCAGATAATGATGATATACTCTCCCCTCGAGTGTGACATGCTGTCCGACGCGGATGACCATGTCCTGCGTAGGCGTCACGTAGACCATCGGTGGTTCCATAGGATAGGCCGTAGGAATCCATAGCTCAATGGGAAACTTGTATATAGCACCGCGAAAGTTCACTGGCAATGTTCCCACGAGGTGGAGGAGAAGGGCGGAGATGCCATTCTCGAATGCTATCAAGTCGTCAGGATCCGATCAGCAGTAGAGCGGGGCAAGACTACGATGTCTTGTAACTCGAGTAGAGGGAAGAACTGACTGTAAACATCCGTCCGCGGGCCCAGCGAAGGATACTGTGCAAGAGCTGCGGCGACATCGTAGTATGTCCGGTTCGCATCGCGGTAGGTCTGGTTGGGATCGTAGTGATCCTGCGAGGACGTTGTTAGCGCAAGGTAGTTGTAGGCTACACTGCAGCATCGGGGGCCTTACCTTGGTCAACACGCCGTAGAGCCAGCTCAGCGTGCTCTGTGGCACAGTAGCCATGGTGAGAGTGCCGTTGCGAGGTATCGACTCATGGTGGTTGGAGTCGGAGCTCGCGTGCTTGTCGTTGTTGGAACTCCGCATGCCTAGACTCCCCGCAGTGGGTTCTTGGCTGGCCACAGCTGGATACCTACTCTACTTACTACCTACTTAGGAGCATCAACATGCTATAAGTATTTGGAGGATTATTCGATGCCTCGGTCGCAATGCGACTTCTTAACGATATTTGTTATTGAATTTTACCTCTCTTGATGCTCTTTCAAATAGATCCTAATTCATGAACATTACGTGGTTGAGTGGCAGACCCGATAAAAGAAATAAAAACACGCCTCTTCACCACCTCCGAGCTCGCCCTTCGTCCTCATTAGCTTCTCTACACCGTTCCAGAAGCAACAGTCACATCGTGTTTCACACCAAGCGCATTACCCGCCTCCAGATCAGAGTGAAGAGCATGCATATGCGCCGCCGTCGGGCTCGAGCTAGCCCCGGAGGTCGAATTGGCGGGACCCGACGTCGACGACTGTCTGCTCTTCTCTGAGCTTCCGAAAGAAATCGGCTTCCAAAGTCTGTGGCGTCCAGTCGACCCGCTGGATGGCTGGCTACCACCTCCAATCAAAGACGTCGCCCACAGAGAGGTCAGAGGAAGTGAAATCGCAACGAGAGTGAGAACGAAGGAGTCCATTTCAGGGACGTTGACGCAGTACTGCAGGATTGCAAAGATGGCTGCATCGTGAGTTAGTACGCTTTATCATCGCATAGGTACAAATGACATACATGGAACAATCAATGTCTGGCAGCTCATGATAAAGATCACCTGCATCGCGCCGAAGCGTTTGATTCCCATCTTCTTGCGTTTCTGAATGGCATGCCCCAGCTTGAAGATGAAAACAAAGCTGAAGAAGCAGATGCTAATAATTGTGGTGATATTGGTGGCGCTTTCTAACCAGACAGCATCGAAGTTGGCCGCTTGCACAATAGCAATCGAGTTCTCAACAGCCAGACCCAGGCGGAACCCTATCGCAAGCAGAGCGACAATCACCGAGATACCCAGCAGTATGTTCTTGTGAATCTGACGAAGCGTGACGCAGATAACTTGGGTCTGCAGGATGAGAGAACACTCAATGGCAACCAGCAGCATCACTTCGAAGACAACGGCCAGAATGGAGTTGGCATAAGCGCTGGCTGGGACTCGGGAGTAGTCGCCAGAGAAGTAAGGATAGACCTTGGAGAACTCTGTCGTGAAATAGACGCAATCGCAGATCAAGCGGCATGCATTCAAGATCAGAGCAGAGCTGTTGAGCAAGAAGACCGGAGATAGTCGCTTGTCGCTCTTGGTCAGGAGAAGTAAGAGGACAAGCAGGGCCAAAGATGCACCAAGCTGAGAGCTGTACACGATGCAGATCTTGATGCCATACTGAACGAAGTCGTCCATTTCTCCGACGGAAACATTGAGAGGAGATCCGTCCGCCAGATGGAAAGTCAGGCTCTGCGTGAAGGGGTCGAAAGGTTTCTGCATGGTTCCGTTGATGCACGCCATGAGTTGATTCAAACGATGGATATCGAGAACGATGAGATGATGCGTTTAGAGTCTTCAGTTGAAGCTTTGAAGCAAATATTGAGTAGCTACTTGGTAGAGATGATAACGGTCAGAGAAGAGGTCTAGGAAAGTGATGTAGGACAGACATATCTATAAGTACGAGAAGAAGGTTACACGAGGTGTGGTAGATATACAAGAACAATATAAAATGCTTCGTATTCATGGAAGCATAATACTTGTCCAGAAGAAGAGTATATCTCATGTAGCCTATACACTTTCCGCTTTAGGCAGTGGGGTCGTGGGGAGAACAATGTGTGAGTGAAGGAGAACAATCCTAAGGGAGGATTTAGTGGAATTCGGATTGTCTATTCTCTGCGGACTGGGTCACATTGTAGTCCAAATAGAACAATATCAAGTATAACGAGACTAAGTGTGAAAACAGTATTGAATTTTGAAAGGCCTGGAGGTGTCCTTGGATCTCCTCTAAGTCCGTGGGGAGGTTAATCCCGTATTTATCTCTTGAGCATACAAAGAATCCAGATCCGGTATGATCTAACTATCCTATGATTAGCATAATCAAGTAATCAAAGAATCTGCTGCCAATGGATGATATGATAGATCACCTGCGCCTACTGAAAGCTCCCACTTAATTAAAATCCCAACTGAGATCCCACATGGGATTAGGATAGAACAAGGCATCTGTTTGGGGAGTCTACTCGATCATATCGAATTGAGTAGCCTATCTGTGCCGATTTTCTGCGGACTGGATTTACTTCGAGGGGGATAATTAATATATAGAATAGTTAGAAGCTAATGGCCATGAGAGAGTTTGCTGGGCCATATCCAGGCACCAGCCACGGTTAGATCTCACTGTCATGGATGATCCTTGAACATATCGACTCCTGCGAGGATTTCCTAGTTATTAATTCTACTTTTCATACTACCTAGTCACTCCGTAGAAAGACTCAGCTCGAGACGAAGAATGAAATCACGTTCCCCCGATATTATTATTTTATTATTTCTCCATCTGTAGTACAGCTGCTGCGGGGCTTGCAACTGTACGTGCCCCGCAATCGCGGGTCCGAAGGAGCCGAACATAACAGCATCGCTTTTGTGAATATATGAAGAGGTTGTCTCCTTTATTTCTCCATAAAGCTGTGGAAACGTATGAAATATATCAGGCCATCTCTAAAATTATTTGAATTGCTTGTTTCGACGAATTGTGACGATTGTGGTTCGTTCACGGCCAAGTGTTCTCCACTGTCGTTTTTTATGATATCATCAGGAGTTCGTCCATCATCCGCCCATCTACCATCCGCCATCTACCGTGTTCCAGCCTTTCCATACACCCGGAATCATAACTTCAAAGCAGTCATGGCGTCTTCTCTCGATATTCAAACTAAGTACAAGCTCAATTCGGGATATGAGATCCCGGTACTAGGATATGGTGTAAGTCCTTCTTCTTCTCCCTTCGCGTTGATCATGCATGTTTTATACGATGAATCCTCCGGAATGCATCAGGACAATGCTGATACGACAGCGATTTTCTAGGTTTACCAAACGTACGTATCCTCCGTGGATGCTGATAGAACAGAAATCTAACATGAAACAAGCCCTGCCGACATAACGGAGGAAGTGACCAAGAAGGCCTTCAAAATTGGTTATCGTCACGTATGTTTAAGTCCCCCCACTTTTCAATTGAATATATAGTTCTACTCTTAACTTGGTCTGACTCCCTGAGCCTTGATAGGTGGACTCTGCCCAAGCGTACCGTAACGAGAAGCCATGCGGTCAAGCGATCAAGGATTCAGGACTTCATCGCTCGGAGATTTTCTTTACTACGAAGATATCAAGGCAACAGATGGGATATGAAAAGGCAAAAGCGTCGATCGATGCCAGTCTCAAGGAGGCTGATGTTGATTACTTTGACCTGTAAGCTTGCTTTCGTGTATTTCAACGTGACGACATGATCACTTATAAGGTGAAAGAATTCTCATCCATGCACCATACGGTGGGAAGGAAGCCCGCCAGGGTACTTGGCGAGCCCTTGTCGAGGCCCAGAAAGAAGGCAAAACGCGCTCGATCGGAGTGTCCAACTATGGCGTTCACCATCTAGATGAACTTGAGGAGTACATCAACAGTGGCGCAGGAGGCAAGATCGATGTCGGACAATATGAACTTCATCCCTGGCTTCCTAGACCCGACATTGTCAGCTGGCTCCAGAAACGGAACGTTGTCGTGGAAGCGTACAGTCCTTTAACCCGAGCACAGCGTCTGGAGGAACCAGTTCTACTGGAGCTAAGCAAGAAATACAACAAGACGCCCGGTCAAATCCTCCTCCGCTGGAGTCTGCAGAAGGTATGCTACCCTCGTCATGGTGCATTATGGTTTACTATATGCTAAGTCCTGCCAATAGGGTTTTGTTCCCCTTCCGAAATCTGTCACCCCTTCCAGAATCGAGGAGAACGCCAACATTTTCGACTTCCAGCTCACAGTGGACGACATGAAGGCCCTTCACACGAATGAGTACTCGCCAACTACCTGGGATCCGACTGTGGACAGGAGCTAGACGTACAGTGGTGAGCAAACTTTACATGAACATGTATAGTGGATTGAGCTGGCGATGTTCCGTGTTCCTACTTTTGTCAGCAGCAAACATTGTCGTATCAGCAAATGAACTTGCCACTGCATAACGCTTATACTAGATGCTAAGATAAAATACATCGCCTCAAAACGTCTCTCTCTGTCGAGTCTTCGCTACAAGTGATACAAATATAATTGTAGCAAATTCTACGTTGGCAAAAGCTAGTTTCCAGAAATTTGCTAGCAAAGCTCATTCTATCCGACAACTCGGAAGCCACCAAATCTATATTTAATCACAAAGACGGAGGCTACAAGATTAATGCCGGCTAGACTAGATACTTAGCGAGTCGGCTAACTAAGTAGTGCATCTAGACTCGAACTTCCAATCGGTCTTCCCCGAGGTCGAGTTTTTGCCCCAACTGTTTTTTTATCTACTAAAGGTGGGCCTTGTCTTATCCCCGTCATAAGGATTATTTTGAGATTATTCGCGATCTATTCATAATACCGGATCTGTACGGGGCATTAACATTGGGGGAAATATGATATCGTAGGAGCGGTATCACCTTCGAACTTTTTCGTCTTCTCTCCTTTTGTTCCAAAGGATCAAGATCACCCAATGCCAGCAATGGCCCCAGGACCATTACCTCAACAAGCCCTTCGACGACGGCGCAGATGGCTTCCCATCCCATCTTGCAAGAGGATCTCGATCTGCCTCGTCGTCGCCATTATCCCTCTATTCCTGGTATTAGTTCTATTCGTACTTCTCCCCGCGCATATTTCCCTACACCACGATGCGGAATACTTTCGTACGCTTGAAAGTTACAGAGAATGGAAACATCTCCCTCCAGAGTTGCGGGATGATCCGCTTTTTCGCCAATCGGATTCGTGGAATGAGCGGTCTGTCGTTCCCTTGATTAAGGATATCACACAGCTATCCAGCATGAATTGGTTGCGGCAGATGGAGTTTCATGATGACTGGACGGCGGAGTATCCAGCGCAGGAGTTCTGGATCTATGTCGGCGGGTCACCGAAGGGTGAGACTCGAACTGTGGTTGCGAAAAGCAAGGAAAATGCCGCGCCTCAGCGGCAGAAATCAATTTATGATGATGATGACGACGATGGGGATGATGGCTACGACTATGGCAGAGTGAAATTGTTCTCGTGGAACTGGATTCTCGAAGGAGTGAGGAACCTCATTCTAAACACCGAGACTCTCCGCAGAGTATTTGGGTTTATAATTTCTCTTCCGGGACCGAGTTGTGTCGATTCACCGGAGATCTGCCACTCGTTCAATAATGGCTTTGATCGATTGCTGGAACTCTATCATACGCAGAGGCAGTACCAGAGTGCTAATACGGGTCTTACCTTTGTCGATTGCGACGTCAGTCCGTATATCTGTGATGAATGGGGCGTTGATCCCGTCATGCTGATTCATGTGAGGACATCGTCGCCGTGTCGCATGGAGATGTCTCCCTTCCGCTGGTACTGTTCTGTGAAGTGGCATTTTGTCGCGCTGCCGTTGCGGAAGATGCCCATTCAGCGCACGGTGAGACTGTCGGATTTGGTGTCAGCCTCGTCTTCTATCGCTCCAGTGTCCGGTCAAGCGAAGGGTTCGGGTGGGAAATCATCGAAAGCGTTCGATCCTGTAGTGCCTGTGTTCCCAAGTGCGTTTGAGCAGTTGCATTCGATGGTCAGCTATTCAGGTAGTGTCGAGGCGTTGAAGTTTGAAGACCATGAAATTCTCGAGATTAAAGGCGAACCGAAAGATGAGTAGGATAGCATCTCTTGTATATTGTTATCGATAACTGTATAGATATTATACATGTTCCTTGATAGACTACCCAAAGTAGACAAGTTTACGGTGACCAGACCTCACGATCATCCGTACAAAGTCGGTCGATGATGACATAGCAAGAGATTAACTGATAATAGTCACATAGATAACAAGCCGATAATGCTTTGGCAATATACCTAATCTAACAAGTGAAAAGGCATATATACCGTGGAACACGGGACTAAAGAGACTGCAGCGCAATAAATATAAGCCGTCGCGCGTTGGCAATGCCAAGGAGACCTCTATGGACAGGCAACAGGATAACAAGTACATCAGTACGCCGCAGGAGGCAGAGCCTTTCTGCGCATCACTGCTAATAGCTAATAACAATGCTAGAATGAGGACAGACGGAGAGGATGTAGGGGACGCTAGATTTTAGACCATGACAGGTCAAAAACACCTGCATGAAACTGTCCATGGGGAGGATGGGTGAGGAGGGGATATTAAATAAATACCGGACTAATATAGCAGTTTCCTACTCGCCTTTGAAATAATATCACCAATTTTATCGATCCACTTTTGCGTTTCTTCCCAGTCGCCGGCATCAATTGCATCCCGGATAGCTGGGAAGAAGGCCTCGTCGTAACCAGACCAGGCCTGAGGCCCGAAGATGACATGTTTGAATTGCGTGCGATTGGGAACCTAGTAGATGACTGTTAGAGTCGGCTTCTTTAAGCAAGAAATATCGCAAGAGTACTCACACCACCGCCTTCGTCCAAGTCCAGAATATGGGTCTCAAAATTCGCCATGCGAGTGTTATGGCTCATACGCTTGATCGCCATAATATTGGTTTCAAACCCACCAGCACCCCATACCGTATCATGCCAGAGCTGATCCCATTCGTGAAATCGTGCAGCGTTCTCTTTGAAGTTGGTTGCAGCATCATAAAGTGGCGTCATGTTCAAGGCTGGTTTAGAGCCACCCAAACTCCCGTCCCTCGACTGCATCGATTCTATTTTAGACTTGGCGTACTCGTCCAGTTCGGAAACATAACTGGAAAGATAGGCAGCATACGCTTCCATGTCAAATGGTAGAATCGGATTTTCAGACAGTTCCAGAAGGAGTAAACCCCAAATTTCACCCAAGGACTTGTGATAACGGAAACCCGGATCACCAAACTGTGTCATCCATTCATAGTTGTCGTAACAACTGTGGTATGGATACGGTTCTCCAACAAAGCCAAAATCGATGCTGGAAGTCCCAGCAATGTCTTGAAAGGCGACGTAGTCACTGCCTGCTCCCAGCCCGCTAAGTCTCTGATTCTTCGACTGCCAGATTTCTTTCAAAGTCTGGTTTGCTACGGGGTCGGAGCACCTATTCAGGATCTGCAGAAGAATGCGTTCATAGAGAGGGGAGCCTGCCGCTCGAAATTCGCCGCCGCTCACAGCAACGTCAACATTGAGATAGGCATACCCATTGTTACGAAGTGCATCAAGTTCGTTTTCCACATGCTCCGTGGAGCCTATGAGGTTGTATTCTTCGCCGTCCCAGCTTGCGAATTCGATTGTGCGGAGTGGACGCCACCCAAGAGCAAGAAGCTCACCAAACACTCGCACCACCTCCAAGAAGACGGCTGTGCCACTTCCCGGGTCAACGCCTCCGAAACACCAAGCATCGCGATGGTTTCCGACGACAATCTTCTTCTCCGGTTGCTCTAAGCCGATAATGCGACCAATTACGTTGTATATTGGCTGCCTCTCGATGTCGTCCTGTAAATTCATAAGGTTGACCTTAGGCGACGAAGAATCTCCCGTCCACCATTCACTGATATCGGGAACCCCTCCCACCCATTTCTTAGGTACCTTTTCGCCGTGACCCCTTAGCACCTGGAGAAGTCGTTGTGCATCGCGCCAGGCGATAGGAATGCTGGGAATCTGGTTAAGACCGGGGCTCTCTTCCGGAGACAGTCTCTTTTTCTCATCAGGTGTTGAAGCAAATCCGGGGGTGAGAACATCTCCAACAACCCAGGACATCAGGCTCACGCCACCTCTCTGAACTCCATCTGCAGGCATAAACCGTCCGTCGGGATACGTTGGTCCCAACACGAACCCATCTTCAGCGGGATCCGAATATATGATACATCCGGCTGCACCCGCCATCTCTGCAGCTTTGATCTTAAGCGCTCGATCTCCCTGAGTGCCGTAATAGCGCACTAATACGATGGCACCTTGAAGAGAGATGCCCTTGTCTGCGAGGAGTTTAAAGTCTTCACGGGATCCATAATTCGCGTAGACGAGCGGTCCCGTCACGTTACCGGATTTCGAATGGCCATGGAAGACTAAGGTCTGCTGTTGAGGGGGATCCTTATAGGCTTGTTCCTCATCCAAAATGGCCTCCCAGGCCAACTCAGGCGGGTCAACGATAGCTACCCTTCGTCCGGTGGGTTTCGGATAGTTGAGGTATACCTGGAACTCCTCCATTCCAACTTCATCCAAGCCTGCCTTGCGGAATTCCTGCTCGATCCATTCTGCAAGCACGTAGCTTCCTTCCGTACCAGCCATATGGGGAAACCTAGTTAACCGCTCGAACTTCTCCGCGATGCTTGTCTCGTTGATATGACCCTGGACATAATTCTGTACCGAGGACGGTGTATAAGACTGGCCTATACTGAGACGAGTTCCTCCTATCGAAAAGAGATCCGTCGCAACGACAAGGTATACAATAGTGACGACGATAATCAGACCCACCAGGCGCAAGATGATCAAGCACACTTGATATTCCCCGCGCGATCGCCAGCGATCAGTGAGGTTGGAAATAAAACTAAAATTGAATTTTGGAAAGTATTTTCGTAGCGGAAGATGAATCGAAGAGAGTGTACGTGTTAGAGTATTGAAGCGTTTCGAGAATCGCTGCCCTAGGTGTGAACGGGACGATCCTGGATGCGCCGGGTCTTCGACATCCATCTCTTGCATCTCCCTCTGCAGCTCCTCCATTGAACCCCGTGTTGATTCCCCATCATCAGAGGCCAGAAAGTCCAGACTCGATCGTGCGGACTCGACGGTTGGCGGGTGATAGCCAGCAGGATGGGAGCGCGAGCTATCGCCGGCGGAGTCGCCACGGCGAAGGAGGCCCTGTCTCTCTGCATCGTTGCTTATCTCGGTCGAACCGCGATGCGACTGGGAGGAGATCGGTCGGGAAGAGGTGGCTTCTTCATATGTCGGGATAGGAAGGGATTCATAGTTGAACTTGTCGTCGCTGCCCATGGCGGCGGTCGTACCGAGCTCCGCAGAGCCCCTGAGGATCGAACGTCACACAGGCAGAGATACGCAGGGTCATGTTCTGAAGGCAAAAAGAGCGACGGACGGAGGCAGACTCATTGCTCCCCGGATCAAGAAGGACACCACAGGCGTTGACGGTAGTCAGATTGAATCTTGTGGAGAGTTTCTTCTCCTGACGGATATGGACTTCTCTCTCCGGACCGTCCAGACCGCGTGGCGCAGTCGGTCTCCACGTCTCGAGTTGCTGCGCCGAGTCTTGGCCTCTCGACGGTTCGTGCCCTCGACTATTACTCCAGACTCACCTTTCTTCTCCGCGGGGAAGTTCATTTGAGATAATATAGACCTGTTAATAGCCAAAAGTTTGACTGTCTGAAAAATGCAGGTACTGGCATATTTTACTTGGTGCTACAGAGCGGTATGGGATTCCATCCACTCGCCCGGAGATTAACTAATAGCTCAATAATAACGACGATAAGCCACTATCCTATCGAGTGGCAGACAATTATGTTGTCCAGTAATTAAATCATACAATATGGCTTGTGGGATAGACGGATTGTTCTCATGATCTTTCTCGCTGAGGGTATCTGGTGGTTATTGTGGTTGTCCCGTCAGCCATTTATATATTTTGAGATTAGTGCCGTAGCATGCAAACATTTGTATGTTTTCAGATACAATATGGCACGGTGCTAACATTGCAGAAAGGCTGTTTGGTTATCTGGTATTTATCTTTGCATCTCTTGATAGGAACATCGAATGAAGTACCCCCATACCCTATTCTTTGTAGCCCCCAAAGGCTACCAAGGCGCTTACAGGCACGACGAATTGAACTCTGAAAGGACGAATTGACAAGATACAGGGAAGATAATAATCACATTACAAAAAGACTGCAAGGCTGTCTCACATAAGCAGATACGACGACTAACCAATACGCGAGTCAGACGAAGTGAGCACGATCATTTCTGAGCTCAGCCGTAATCCAAATTTGGAGAATGGTGATTAGTCTGCAGCAGGATACGAATTGTCTCCAAACAAGATATCTACGTCTTAACTAGTTATTCTGTCGTCTTACTAAAAGCCAGAGTAAGAGAAGGGACTACTAGCTACGAGCGACTCTGCAGGCCATTCTGCGCTTACAAAGCTTCAGAGATCCAGATGCTCCAAACCGCATTATCACCGAAGGAATCTGTGGTATCCGCCGAGGAACGGATGTGACCCCGGTTGACGGCTTTGGAAACGGCCAATCGTAGGAATAGCCACGAGAAACCAAGTACACAGGTCGTATTTCATCACCCCACTCCGATGAGATTAGATTAGATGGCTGCTGGCTGTACACGTATTGGAACTTGGAAGACGCCGCTCGTCTGGGCATGGCACGGATGGGTCTGCGTAGCAGAAGCAACGAAACGAAGTACATACATGCGTAGTACGAGACGCATGGCGAGATTGCAGCAGCTGCTTCGCTTTAGCATCTGCAACGTGATCCTAGTGAGATCATAGCCCGTTCCAGTCTGCACTAGAATCGTTTTTTCTTTTTTCTCGAATCCCTGCCAATTGTACATACCTAGTACACACGTCCTTCCTCGTGGAGGCAGCTGCATGTAAGCCCCTCTCACACGCGGCGTGTGCGGTAGCAGCCGGAAAAGCAGGACATACTATATAAGTTTCCGATGATGGGGCCTGTCAGTGTTAGCTTGGCATTATTCATGCGATCTGATCTGAAAGGGTTCTTCAAGTCTCTGGACTGGCTGGTCCACCGTCGAGATGAGATGCGATGCGATGATGGGTCGAGATGAGATAACGGGAGAGCTCCACTTGGCCGGCGATGGCACGTGAGGCTAAACCGGCTGCACGTTTGGCCGCAGGAACGCTCCGTATTGAGGCGGAATGAAGGAAATGAAAAAAATATTAGGCAGACGAAGATGGGATTGTAGCTGAGAGGAAGGATCATTCTGACTTGTAGGCATTCCAATCCTCCGCCCCTGCTAGTCAGGAACGTAGAGAGTCAGCAGAATCTCGCTGCCTGCGGTTGCTGAACTGTTGAGTTGCCCTGTGCTCCTCCCGGTGCCAGTATCGGCCATCAGCGATATCGGGTTCGGGACGCCTAGTCTGTCCACTAAGACACAAAAAGAATAATTAGTTCAACTTGGTCGAGTTAGTCGAGCGAAAGCCATCCAGGGGAGAAGCAACGCCAGGGGCTGTTTGATGGCGGGGCGGTAAGCACACCGTGTGGCCACCAAAAAAGGATCGTTGGCGGTCTGTCGTGGCCATCAACGCTTGGGGGTTGCTGCTCATAAATAACACTTCTCTCCTGTGTCTTCTCCAGTCCAGCCTCGCTGTCGTCTCTATCCACGCCGTGCAAAGTCCCAGGAGGTAGGTCATTTTGCGCTCTTGTGCCTCCCCGTTTGCTCTCCTTATCGCCTGTGTGCAATGTTGGGGGATTAGGACGACGATCCTCGTGGTCCCACAATCTCGACCCTCATCCTCCAAGCTGTTGCAACGTGGTGCAGACGAAATTGGAAACGCCTGCTGACCATATTCTCCGTCCTTATTAGGTGCTCAGAGTCCCTTCGTTCTGTGTCTTTGCAGCGTTCTATTTCCTTGCGCACTTTGCCTACACAGAAAGTTTCCGTATCCAGCAGACCTCCTTTTTCGCCGCCACCATGTCTGCTCGTCCTCAGAACGTTGGCATTAAGGCCATTGAGATCTACTTCCCTGGCCAGGTATGTCACCTGAATTCTCTGGCGGTACTTCGCGCAGACAGAGTGGGACTGAGCTCTAACTCTCTGGATAGTGCGTCGACCAGAAAGAATTGGAGAAATTCGATGGCGTCAGCGAGGGGAAGTACACCATTGGTCTGGGACAGACCAAGATGAGCTTCTGCGATGACCGGGAAGGTGAGTATCTTCACCTTGGGAGAACTAGACGATTTCCAAACTGACAGGCCGAACCCCCGCAGACATCTACTCCATGTCCCTCACCACCCTCTCCTCCCTCCTCCGCAAGTACAACATCGACCCCAAGTCCATTGGCCGCCTGGAGGTTGGTACCGAGACTCTGCTCGACAAGTCCAAGTCCGTCAAGTCGGTCTTGATGCAGCTGTTCGAGCCTTCCGGTAACACCAATATTGAGGGAGTCGACACCGTGAACGCTTGCTACGGTGGCACCAACGCCGTCTTCAACAGCATCAACTGGGTTGAGTCCTCTGCGTGGGATGGTCGTGACGCCATTGTGGTCTGCGGTGATATTGCCCTGTACGCCAAGGGCGCTGCTCGTCCCACCGGTGGTGCGGGCTGCGTGGCCATGCTCATCGGCCCCGATGCTCCCATCGTTTTCGAGCCTGGTCTGCGTGGATCCTACATCAGCCACGCGTACGACTTCTACAAGCCCGACCTGACGAGCGAGTACCCCGTCGTCGACGGCCACTTCTCCATCAAGTGCTACACCCAGGCTGTGGATGCCTGCTACAAGGCCTACAACGCCCGCGAGCAGACCCTGAAGGCCAAGAACGGCACCAACGGTGTCGAGCACGACGACAGCAAGACTCCTCTGGACCGTTTTGACCATGTTGTCTTCCACTCCCCCACCTGCAAGCTGGTCTCCAAGTCCTACGCGCGGATGCTCTACAACGACTACCTGGCCAACCCCTCCCACCCGGCCTTTGCGGACGTTGCGCCCGAGCTGCGCGACATCGACTACGAGAAGTCGCTCTCCGATAAGAATGTCGAGAAGACCTTCGTCGGTTTGGCTAAGAAGCGCTTCAACGAGCGTGTCCAGCCCACCACCGAGGTGGCGACCATGTGCGGTAATATGTACACCGCCAGTGTCTACGGCGGTCTGGTCAGCCTTCTGAGCAACGTGAAGTTCGACCCCAGCCAGCCGAAGCGCATTGCATTCTTCAGTTACGGCAGTGGTCTGGCTAGTTCTATGTTCAGCGCGAAGATCGTCGGCGACATCTCGACGATCGCCCAGAAGCTGGATCTGCACAACCGCCTGAACAGCCGGAGAACGGTGCCTCCTCAGACTTACGACGATGTAAGAGCCTTCTAGTCTCTTTCGTAGGTGGATAGACAACTAACTTTGTGCGACAGATGTGCCTTCTCCGTGAGCATGCTCACCTGAAGAAGAACTTCAAGCCGGCTGGCAACATCGAGACCATCCCCTCAGGCACCTACTACCTGACCGAAGTGGACGACATGTTCCGACGGAAGTATGAGATCAAGGCGTGAACGAGATAAACGTCCCGCGAGACAAGGTTGCGGTTTTTACGAAAAAGGGAAAATAACCCGCTCTTCTCACTTCTCTTTTTCTTCGTTGGTCTTTTCCATATTCCCCCTTGTCGCGACATGGATATCGTTCCTTTTTACGATCATCTCTGCGATGGCCCGGGGTTGGACGTGCGAGCGAGAGCTGCACCGAGATGTGCAGCCATAGACGTTGCTTGCAAGAACAGGCGGATCCTCGGTGGAAGAGGGCTGCCAGTCGAATAATCTAATCGAGTAGACACTTGAATAGAGTGGGTGTCGATGCACATAGGACTTTCATTTTCCCCGGTCAGATATGAATTTATAATAGTTTAGATAGAGAAACCGCCATTTGTCTCTTGAGTAACCTCTATCCTTGTGCATGTAAACCCCTGTCCGACCTTCCATGATTATCATATTTATCGTACGCTCGAAGTTCTCGATTGTTTCACGTCGTGGGGAAGAAGCGTACAGAAGTGAAACACGGCACGAACACGACAGACAAAAAACGAGATATCTGCAGAAAACAACCAGATCTAGATTGGAAGATACTATTGCTTCTTCACCGTCTCTCTGACTCACGCGATGGTGGAAAGAAACATGAAACAACGATGAAGCCAATCGCGATCGTTGCTGAGCACGGGACGCAGCTTGTCTGGAGCAGAATCTCTTCCGTTCCCTGCGAACTTCCTCCATCTCTCCCTGCATGAACCGTCTCCATCATCCCTCCGCACTGACTCACGCGTAGTAGTGTGCTTCTTTACTTGACGTCCATCTCCAATCGTTTCATTTATGAGGTTGTGTTTTCTGCAATTCTGCCAGCGGGCGTTGCGCCTACCTTCGATCAGCGTTCGCCAGTTCCTTCGCGCGCCGGGGGCTCATCATGGTGGCAGCCATTGAGCGAGCGTGACGCCGGCCTTCACGGCCAGCGCGTACTGGAACTGTTGACCTCATCGGATTGGGCATTATCAAAATAGTATCAGCTTGAGACTATTGCAACCGCTCCTACTAGCAAAAAAATGTACCAGTGTCATTTTGCTGCTGTCCACTTGGAGCCCTGGGCGCTTCGGGAGATTATTCTCCCCACCATGGGCGGCGCTCTGGACAAGAATAACCTGGGACTAAACTTATCTGCTCCATTACCATAATGATATATCATTCTTGCCGCCCAGGAGCAGCCGGGCCGGCCAGACGCCGTCCTCCAGATGGCATGGACCACGTCAGGACCTGATAGATTATGCTGATGTTGCTAATTATACTCCCTCAAGCAATTCTGGACATGCTAACCGCCGGAATTACGTAGCATAAGATCGACACGGGGATGAACTCATGATCAGGTATGCAAAATATAGGACTTTTGGCGCGCGACTGCTGGTGATCATTCCGCCCCGGCCAGCGCGCCTCTCCGGACGAGCCTCGCGTCGTTTCTCATGAACTATAGCGGGCCCTTGAGGTTCCAATATGGATCTTCAAGCTTAGCTCTGTTGCGCCTCTATGGAGAACCTGGCTGCTATGGAGTTGCTTTCATGTTTCATGTTATTCTGGTTCCACTTACTGGATGGATAACTCTGTCTTTTCTCTACATGGTGGACTCCTCTCTTGGGAGCATTTAATATCCAAGCATTCTCCGTTGGTCCTTCATTATCTTTTCAGTCCATTCAAACGTTCCCTATTTCCTTTTCCATATCAGTCAGTCTATTGTACGCATTCCACCAATAATGTTCTGATGGCCTCGTTGTTCAGCCTTGTCTCCAACCCAGTTCTTTTCCTGTGTCTCATTGTCTCCAATCATTAGGCGTTACCGTCGACATACACCGAGGAAGCAGGCCCTTCCTATATTCCCGCTTTGACTTTGTACCTTTTCTTCTACTTCTCTCATCGAAAAAACTGACATGTCGAGCTTTTACGCTGGATCGTTTGAGCCGTCGTCACCCGCTGATGGTACCATTAACGGTTACATGCATTCGGATTATTACTATACCAGACCCATGACACCTCCAGTTTCGGCAGCCATTCCTACTTGGAGTGAAACTGGCCATGCCACTTCTGGCTCCTCGGCCTACTCCAACGACTCTTCTCCTGCGTCTGTGGTCACTGGCACAACTACCCCAAGCAGATCACCAGCTAGACAACATGTCCCAGCTTTACTGCCCAAGATCAGACCACAGGACATCGTCGTTGAGCCTGCATCCGCTGGTGGACCTCAACGTCATCGTCGAGTTCTGTCTAATACGCGCAACCCGCCTGGATTCGTTCCTTATCCGTCCAACCGCCCTGCCATTCAAAGGGTGAGCTTTATCGACTCCTCTACCGCGGACTGTGCGGTCGTGTCACCCGCATCGACCACTCCGACAATCACTGCTGGTCGTGCCTCTCTTGCTGGGTCACCAGTAACCTTGACGCCTTCTCATAGACGCAAGGTCTCTGGTGGACATTCTCGTTCCGGCTCTGCTTCGAGTATCGATGAAGCAACTCTAAGCCGTTACGGTTATCCCACCTATAGACAGCTCCCGAAGTATGTCTCCCAGTCACAAGTCACGCCTACTACCCCGGCCACTCCTGGCCTTCTTGTCAACCCAATCTATTCTCAACCCCTTGCCAGCAGCTTAGCTCCGCCGCTGGACGGCCTGGCTCAGCTGCAGCCCATGTATAATACTACTACTGCCCTTACTGCGCAAGCGAACTATATGGGTTCTGCTCTGAACGTACCCATTACATCGCTGGCCCGGGTAATTCCTACAGCGGAGCGTGCACCGTCCACCACGCTTCTTGATTATCTTACCGGCCCAACACAGGCCATTAATTTAGTGCATAATTTGAGTGTTGTCCCCAGTCGCGGTCTGCAGAGCTACTTCTGGTGGGACATCCGGAACCTCCGTAGCTGGTCGTCTTTCTCACTGGAGACGATCAACTGCATCAGCGGACTCACCAAGCTATTGACGACGGAAATCCCAGAACACCTTGCCCCTCCAGCTATCGTTCCATCTTCACGTCTGTCTCCTGAGTCTGAAACAGCTCTCGTGGAACTCTTACGGGATGTCTATGCCCTGCGTGTTAATGCTGCATTGGCAGTGTCTCAAGGTCCAGACCATTTGTCTCTTTATGTCTCTCCAGATGCAAACAGTGCGGGAAACAGAGCTGGCGGCCCCCATTTCCTCGCAAATTACGCCTCGGACACCGAACGTACGACTTCTGGCTCTCCGCGCGGTCGAGTCGTTGGAGTCGTCAAGAGCTTCGATCGCTGGAACACTGGAATGCGCAACGAAGCGCCTCATCGGCGAGTTGAGTACCTCAATGGACTGTCCCATCTTCAACGTTGTATGCGTGAACATTCCTGCCGGTATGGCTTCATCATGACGGAAATTGAGCTTGTCTGTGTCCGTGCTGGTTGCGACGAGGGCGATGACGTGCCTTATTTCGGTTTTCTAGAGCTGGCGACTCCAATAGCGACAAAGACATCGTCAGCCAGCTTCGACAATGTCTCTGGCAACACAGTGGACAATTATCCTCCTTTTCACTCCCCCGCTACCACAGACTCCTCACGCAGCGTGTCTCCACCGGATTGCAACGACCCCGACGGGCAGCCAGACAACCTGAACGTCCCCATGACCGCAAGCATGGCTCTATATTTTCTTCTCATGCTTTCGAAATCGGTCCCATTGCCGGATCAACCGTCCGGCCATCTGAATGTCGGCGGGCCCGGCGCACTTACCCGTCAACGTGTTCTGCCAGAAGGAAGAGACAAATGGATTCCGGAGCCACAGCTCTCAGAGCGTCGCGACGCAAAACGTTCTCGAGGCTGGGTTTGGCCCCAAGATGCTTGGCATCGTCGTGAAGGAGGTTCAGCTCGTGCCAAAGCTAGTACGGCAGAAGGGAAGACGAAGAAATGGCACAAGTGAATTGTGAACATATTTGACTATCATGCAGAAGAGGTTTTATGTTTCTGGTTTCTAGTTCTGTCCAGATAGTATTCGTCTTCCGTTAGTTCAGGTCCATAATATTATGCATAGAATAATACAGTATGCCCAATATACCATCTCTGTTTTGGACATATTTAATTTCTCTGTCTAACATCTCATAAACATGGTCACTGTTCCACCGCAAGCCCTCTCGATATATTGTTCTCAACAATATACTCATCACGTCTGATATGTAATGTAGATGTATATGGGGGCTTTCTTGCATGTATTTCTTCTCCATGACACTGGTTGTCTTTTTTCCAATCAGTGCACCAAGAGCTACGGAAAAGCTGAACGACTTGGCCGGAATTAAGCCGGCTTCTGCTAACGCCAGTCATTATCACGTAATGTGTATACCTCAAATTACCCAAAGAGAGCAAAACTCCATTTTGAATTACGCCCACACGAAGTATTCAGGTAATCTATTCTTCGATATGCAAAAACCTCACATCATCTACCATCGTATACACTCTCTCTACTGCCGCGAATGAGGACAGGATGTTACGAAAACCCAGGACGTGATACCCGAGTCTTACTACACTGGAAGTGGACACGATTGACCTGGACTTAGTTGGTCATCGCTCCAGGACTCGAGTTAACCCTAGAGCATGCAATGGTAGTTAGTAGGCAGATAAGTAACTTGGTAGTTCCTACCACTTCACAACGCCCTCTAGTAGATCCACAGAGCTAACTGGAATCAGATCGTGATTTCTGAGCAATCGAATATTACCATAGTTAGTTATATGACCTGCGCTAAGTAAGCTTCCGATTTCCCAGATCGATCGATTAGATATCATAGCTGGGACCTTGATGGACCGATTGGGGATCTTAACTAATGGGGACCTTGGGAACTATGAGAGTACGAGTACCCGGGGAGTTAGGGCCAGGCAGGTTAAGAGACCCCTTTAATACGTAATATGATATATTAATCGATTATGGTTTCGTTGAATTGAATCTGTTTCAGAGGAGATTGGTTGTGATTCTCTTTTTATTTGCGGTTTTTCTTCGAAAGAGCCATCACGCGAGGGTCCCGGACCGATCCGATATAGATTCGAAAGGACTGCACGATACAGTTAAAATGACGACGGCACAGAACGGGTCCTTTAGTCCTGATCTTCCTGACGTCCTTGATGTGTTGATTGTCGGTGCCGGACCATGCGGTCTGGCTGTTGCGGCGCGTCTGCAGGAGGAGACGCCCTCTGCGATATTTACGGACGAGGAACATCAACGATATCATTGGATCAAGCGGCACAGCGGCCATATGGCACTCGTTCGGGCGCATAACAAGAAGATGAACGGCGTCAAGGCAGAGAAGTATACCGGTTCCAGAGGGAGCAGTTGCTGTGGTCGAAAAGGTTGTCAATCGCAGCCGGAACCACCGTCATCGAAGTATTCGACACTCGTGCTGGATGGGTCTGGAGATCGCTGGATGGAACGTTGGAACAGGTCTTTCCGAACGCTGGAGATAGAGCAGCTTCGAAGTCCTATGTTCTTCCATGTCGATCCGGGAGACCGAGACGGCATGCTCGCCTTCACCATGGAAAATGGCAGGGAGAAGGAACTCTGGGAGATTCCTGGATGTGTTGGACAGGAGATGAGCAAGCATAAAAAGAAGAAGAGGACCAAGGCAAGGTATGTGTTAACTCCTTCCTTGCGCCGAGTATACTGCAAGTCTGACACCGTGAAGAATAACGACCGGTGAAGTGGAGATCAACGAGCGTGATCGCAAAGATTACTTCTCACCATCCACGAAACTCTTCCAAGACTATTGCTCTTCTGTTGCTTCGCGCTATGGATTAGATAACCCTGGTCAGGTATTACAGCAAGAAGTGGCGGATATCAAGTTTGATATCGTGCCCGAATACTCGTCAATCGACAAGATCTTCACCGTCACGACAAAGGATGACAGGAGATTTTATAGCCGCACTGTGGTGCTGGCTATTGGACCTGGAGGTCCTAAAATATTCCCCTGGCAGCTCTCAAGTACGGAGGAGATGGGAGCCTGTCATAGTCTCGATATCAAGACTTTCCCGAGTCCTAATGTGAAAGCTCGGATCAAGAATCACCAGGAAACGAACGTGGTAGTTGTGGGAGGTGGACTCTCGTCTGCGCAGGTAGTGGACATGGCTATAAGAAAAGGGATCACCAAAGTATGGTTTTTCCTGCGAGGAGAACTGAAAGGTAAGGCTCATACCCGGTTGAGGATATGGTCTGAAAACAATTTTGACTCTTGGAGCAGTCAAACACTTCGACATTGACCTGCCGTGGATGGGAAAGTTCAGAAACTTTGAAAAGGCAGTTTTCTGGACCGCCGACGATGAAGAAGAAAGACTCCAAATGATCCAGAAGGCACGCAATGGTGGCAGCATCACGCCCCGATATTACAAAATATTAAAACAGCATGTCGCTCGCGGAAGACTCTCCATCCACACGCACACGGTTATCGTCTCCAAGGAATTCGACCCATCGTCAAAGACATGGACACTCACCACGGATCCTCCGATTCCTGACCTCCCCCGCATAGACTATATCTATTTCGCCACAGGCGCAAAATCCGATGTCAGCTCGCTTCCATGTCTGCAGAACATGAACCGAGATTATCCAATAGACATCCGACAGGGTCTGCCTTGCATTACTGATGATCTTATGTGGAAACATGGCGTTCCTCTTTTCGTTACCGGTCGTCTAGCAGCACTCCAGCTCGGACCTGGGGCGGCGAATCTCGAAGGAGCTAGACTTGGCGCGGAGAGGATAGCATGGATGTTGGAAGAGATCCTGGGAGATAAGGATGAGTCCAAGGAAAAAGAACCGTCATTGATGTCCTTTCCAGGCTTGGGAAACAGATATGCAGGCCTGTTTGATACCAGAGAACCTGTGGCGAGGGATCATCTCACGCGAGAGTTGTAGACCTTGAGTTGAGTAACATCAAGGACGATAGAACCAGTGAACTGAATGTGAAATATATTTTTGAAATCAAAGTAGTCTTATCGAGAGCTATGGATGCTTGTGATAGCGTCTGTTAGAGAAGTAGTTAAGAGCTCATACTCCACGACTTCGCATCTGTCAAGGTACTTGGACGAGAGAAGGCGGGGAAGATAAGTAAGGACCAAGGTGGTTCCGCAGCGGAGATACTTAACAACCCAATCACTGAGCCGACATTACAACGTGGGGAATACTGATCGCATCGCAGCGAGTATCAAACCCAAGATCATTCAAATCCATGCTTTCTTCCCTCTTCTTCTTCCTCCTGCTAACATTCTAGGCCTAACTGGATACGACAGAAGTGGACAGATTGTAAGAAGCCATGGCTGTTCCAACCGACGGCGCCTCCGGATCCAACGATGCCGTTCCAGCTTCCTCAGGGATGAAGAAGCTTCGATTTCTTGTCATCGGTGCTGGATCTCGTGGAAATGCATACGGTCGAGCTGTGACCGTCGCGACGCGGGGCGTCATCCACGCCGTTGCTGAACCACATGCATTCAAGCGGCGGGAGTTCGGGAAGAACTATATCTGGGGATCTGGAGGCGAGGCCTCAGAGGGCCAAGAATTCGCTGATTGGAAGGACTGGCTGAGATGGGAGACCGAAAGAAGACAGAAAAAAGCTGCTGGGCAAGATGTCCCAGAAGGCATCGATGGGGTTTTCGTATGCACGCTCGATGAGATGCATGTTGAGATATTAGAGGCTATTGCGCCTCTGAATCTACATATCCTCTCTGAGAAGCCTCTGGCAACATCGCTTGATGATTGTCTGTCCATCTACAATGCCCTTCGCACTGGTTCGCCGTCGAAGATCTTCTCCATTGGACATGTTTTGCGGTATAGCCCGCACAACATACTTCTTAGAGATATCATCCTGACGGATAAAGTCATCGGAGATGTTGTCTCTCTCGAGCACTGCGAACCTGTCGGCTGGTGGCATTTCTCTCATAGTTACGTGCGTGGTAATTGGCGCCGCGGAACACCCAACGGGGATGGTTCCCTTCTTACAAAGTCATGTCACGATATTGACTTCATTCTATGGCTTCTGTGTTCGCCCCCACCGGGCTCAGCGGTGAACCATCCTCCTCATGAACCTCGATCCATCTCTTCTATGGGCGCTTTGACGCAGTTCCGTCCCCAGCGGAAGCCCGCTGCTGCAGGGACGGCGACGAACTGTCTCTCGTGTCCTGCTGAGCGGGTTTGCAACTACAGTGCTCTCAAGATCTACCGCGATATGCACCTGGCCAAAGGGCATACCGATTGGCCGGTCAGCATTGTGTGTCCAGACATTGAAGACACGCTGACCACGTCCGGCGCTGCGGCAGCGGAGGATCTGCTCCTCAGCCATCTCCGCCAGGATTATGACCGAGCCAAAATGTCTGACGAAAGCATAGCCTCCCGGACCTGGTATGGCCGCTGTGTATATGAAGCGGACAATAATGTTTGCGATGACCAGGTAGTTACCATCTCCTGGGACGACGACACAGTACATAAGCGCCCATCAAAGACTGCAAGCTTCCATATGATCGCTCCGACGGAGAAGCAATGTGAGCGTCGTGGCCGTGTCTACGGCACTCACGGTGAAGTATCTTACGACAGCCGCACAATCACCATATACAGCTTCGCCACGCGCTCGACCACGGTGATCGAAGTCCCGCGCCAACCGCCTGAGGAGGAGAAGGCACATGGAGGCGGAGACTACGGTCTGACGCGGGCGTTCGTGGCAGCTGTGGATGCTGTTGAAAATGGCGGAATGGAAGTTTCTGAAGCCCAGATGAAATTTGTCGGCTGTAGCTTAGAAGAAGCCGTCCGCAGTCACGCAGTAGTATTCGCTGCTGAAGAGGCCAGGCGGGAAGAGAAGGTTGTAAAGTGGAAAGACTGGTGGGAGCAGAAATTGGCAACTGTGGGCACTATTTGATGTTCACCAAGGTTCTTCATGACCACGTTACGATTTGACGATCTGGACATTATTATTATAATACTTCTTTAGCAAGAACTTATATTAATCAACACTGTTATGTGGCGCTACAATAGCCGTTCGACTACGATGATAGAACTTCATATAGTTGACTGGTTATTATTTGGAAAGCACATGTGCTTGGTTCGGAATAGCCTCGTATTCGTAGTAATTAAATCAGATTAATGGGCGTCTCCCATGCTCCGCTTTGATGTTCTCGGTGCGTATTACTAATGCTCTCTATATCCATATCATGTCATTCCCTCAGTCATCAGAATCCTGCTCCTATCACAGGGAAGTGACCGACGCAAAAGAGTAAGCACATTAAGCTACTCGCGGCAAATCATAGCCATCACGTTTAGGTCCTGACGTCAGGCTCCTCACGTCCAATGTACTCCTTGAACTTGAGCAGAGACATAGCGAGGGCGATGTTGTCCTTCAGGTAATCCTGAGCATCCTTGGAGAACTGAGACTTGTCATCCTCGTGCTTCTCGATGTACAGACGGATGGTAGCACCGCTGCTGCCAGTACCGGACAGACGGACGACAATCCGGCTGCCATCATCGAACCTAACATAGAGACCCTGGTTCTTGCTCACGCTGCCGTCAAGGTCGGTGTACGCGAAGTTACCAGCATCGGTCACCTTACGGCCGGAGACAGTGGAGCCAACAAAGGAGTCCTTGTTCGAGACCAGCTCAGACAAGTTGGCAACCAGCTTGCCAGCAGCCTCACTGTCGACATTCTCGTAGTCGAATCTGGTGAAGAAGGTGCGGCCATAGGTCTGCCAGAAGTCATTCTGGATGGAAGCAATGCTAGGGGTCTGGCCGGGCTTCTGCTTAGCAACGCCCGCAATGATGTTCAACCACGCAACAATGGCCCAGACACCATCCTTCTCACGGATGTGGTTGCTTCCGGTACCGAAACTCTCCTCACCACAGATGGAGATCTTCTTGTTGTCGAACAGGGCACAGAAGAACTTCCATCCCGTGGGGACCTCGTAGCTCTGGAGTCCCTGGGCCTTAGCCACCAGGTCGACAGCTCCCGAAGTGGGCATGGATCGTGCAAGACCATACACACCCTGCTTCTGGAACCAGGGGATCAGCTTAGCATGGTGCGCGATGATAGCCAAGCTGTCACCGGGGGAAACGAAGGTCTTCGCTCCATAGATCATGTTGCGGTCTCCATCACCATCACTGGCGGCACCAAAGTGAATACCGTTCTTGTCCACAGCCTCGACCAGACCGTGGGCGTAAACGAGGTTGGGGTCGGGGTGACCGCCACCGAAGTCTGGGAGCGGGGTCGTGTTCTGGGTGCTGCTGGCAGGAAGGCCCAGCTCCTTCTGGAAGATGTCGACTCCATAGGGACCAGTCACACCATGCATGCCGTCGAACAGAATCTTGAAGTCCTTGTGCGTGTTAAGGAAGTCCTTAATGAGGTCGAAGTCGAAGATCTCCTTGAGCATTGTGACGTAGTCAGCGGTCGAGTGGATGACTTCGACCTCGAGACTGCCATAGGTCTGGGTGCCAATCTTGGTGATATCGATATCAGGGATCTCAGCGATCTTGTATGAGGTGAGCGACTTGGAGACCTCGTAGATCTTGTTCGTCACGGACTCAGGAGCCGGGGCACCGTTGCCAAGGTTGTACTTGATACCAAAGTCGGCATTGGGACCTGCGTTGGGAATCGTAGGTCAGTCTACCCGTCAAGTAATTGACCATTTTGATAATGAAGATGGGATATGGATATGACATACCACCAGGGTTGTGACTGGCAGTCAACAAGATACCACCAGTAGCCTTACGCACACGGATCACATTGCTAGCGGCCGGGGTGCTCAGGATACCGTTCTGGCCGACCAGCAGCTTCTTCACGCCGTAGGCAGCGCTGATCTTCGCGATCAATTGGATGACCTCGGGGTTGTAGTAACGGCCATCACCACCAATGACCAGGAAGGCGCCCTCAGCACCCTCAGGGATGGAAAGGAGGATGCTAGTGATGAAGGATTCGGTGTAGTTGGGCTGCTGGAAGACGGTGACCTTCTTACGGAGACCAGAACTGGGAGAGAAAGACGTCAGCATTGTCCATAGCTACACATAGTCAGGGATGCAGTTCAGTTCTCAGTTGTATACATACGTTCCAGGCTTCTGGTCCGCAAAGGGCTTGATGTCGACGCTCTTGATAGAGGCCATGGTTGCTATCGTAGGATTCAGAAAGTTATCACCCAGTGGATCGCAGTCCGGGAGGACTGGACGGTGCAGAGACAATGGAAGTGGCAGAAGAAATAGAAACGAGCAACGCTGAAGTGGAAGGGGAAAGAAAGAGAACGACGTTCTTGTCCCTGATCTTCACGTTGTTTTGTTCTGCTGTCGAGCTGGCCCAAGTGGGCCATGGGAGGGGCGAACAGGAAGGAGGGGCAACTGGCGTCATGTTATCGTGTTTCCCGCTTCAAGTCTGGCCACTGGATGTTTATTCTTCTTATTATTCTGCTGCCCTTCCTACAGGTGCAAATACCATAGTAACTAACTTATTATTAGTACGATACTCTCTCTTCGAGCAATCGATCAATTTTGATCCAACCTCTTGACTGACCACCTGTTCTTTCTAGCATCTCGCTACAATCATCCAACAACCGCAGCGGTGAGCTAGTGCGGGGTCACTCCAAGCCGCCCTCGAAAAAAAGCGGCTTGCTTCTAGGTCCTTTGCTACAAATCAGAAGAGCCATACTCGTCCTGTGCCACAGTACCGTCCAGCCCCGAGGTTTCATCGTGGTTGCGCCGAGCGAGGACCTCTGGTATCAAGTTCCCGAATCAGACGATATTGATATAGAGTACATAATCCCAACCCAGCTTTTACTCCAGACGGGACTCCCTTCTTGGAAGCAGTCAACAACTGCTCGCATCATCATAAGTTAGTCGTGGGTCTTCCAAGACCTGGTGCGGAATCTTAAACAAGGCGAGGAAGCCAATTTCCCCGTGGACTGAAATACCCCGAGCTGTATCACAGAGACATGTCGAGCTTAAAGCCTTTTCTGGTCACTAATGATAACTTCAAGGACGGTGGTGGGGTGGTAGCAAGTTGATTGATCAACGCCACGACCTCATCAGTTGTGCCCAAAAAGCCTCTCCTTGTAGAATTTCATCTCCTCGATACTCTCTAGTATATCATCTTTTGCCAGGTGCACTTCCTTTTTGGGCGGGACGTCGCTCAGCAACTCATCGCTTCCCCAGCGTCGCGCCGCTTCCTTGATCGCGCTCACGTCCAGGATACGATAATGGAGCCATTCGAGAACTTGCGCGTAAGGACCCCGGGAGAGAAACGCTCGGTCTGCGTGAACGCTGTTTCCTGCCAGCAATGCGGTCCGCGGCTGCGGGACGTATCTCTTGATGTAACTGAGTAGATCGGTTGCGGCGGCAGAAGGGGTCGTGGAGGAGGAGAGAACAGCAGCTGTAAGCCCAGTACGACCGTGAGTGTCGATACACCACTCGTTCATGGAATCCAGAGTAGACTTGGGGTGGTGAATGACGGCTTCGAAGCCATTGGGTTCAAGGAGCTGAAGTTGCGCGTCGGTGATGAAGCAACAGATTTGGAGGATCTGGTCAGTGGAGGGGTCGAGACCTGTCATCTGAAGAGGATCACACAGTCAGCTTTTGCGGTCACTAGCAATAAAAGAGCGACACGCAATTCGCTAGTGGAAGCGCGGTTGGCTATGAACGACGCGAAACCGTGTTGTGAAGGCCTCACCTCGCAGTCGATCCACACGAGTGGACTGGAAGAACGCGTTAACGGCATGCTGCTCTGCCTTCTGCAAGCCCAAGGTACGGTGTAGACCTGTTTTCGTACAGTCAGTCCGCCTTTGTGCAGACGCCTGTGGACCACGGAGTTGGAAAAGAAACGACGCGATCACAAACCCGAGATGTGGGTTGTGGTCGTAATAGACCCTTGAAACCACAGAACGTCGATCTGGCTCGCCAACCGTACAACATCGCTGACATTTGAGACTCGATCTGAAGAGCAGCTGCAATCAATGTTGTTTTTGATACGTCTAACGTACATACAACTATAGCTCAAGTCGGTACACTTTGATCACGAAGAAGCACCACCTCCATTGATAGTTAGTGTTTCATACTTAAGCGATGCTCAACAAACAGGATTTCACATATACGGTTCTCGTTCATGTTATTATGCTTTCTAGAATAGACTACAACCAAGAAAAAGAATCAAAAAATCAATAATCAACGAGCTTAAAACGACGCTCCCTATAGAAGATCTACTCTATAAATATTACGGTAAGGTCGCCATGAAACTATATCGGCTCGTCCCGGGGTTCGATCAGGACTTCGTTGACTGCAACATGCGGGGGTTGGCGTAGCGCGTAAACGATCGAGTTCGCAACATCTTCTGGGTCGAGGATCTTCGCACCCGACGGCTCGCCATATTTCTTGATAGCCTCAGCGTCAGTGGACATTCCCAGCAGGTCCGTAGCCGTGTTGCCTGGCTGGACACTGGTCACACGCAAGCCTGTTCCCGCTGTCTCGAGACGCAGTGATTGAAGCGTTGCCTCAACAAAGAACTTGCTCGCCGAGTAAACGCCCAATCCGGGGAAGACCTTACGTCCTGCGTCGGACGAGATGGCGACGATGTGGCCGCTCTTACGCGAGATCATGTCTGGCACTGTGGCAGCCAGACAGTGAAGGAGACCCTTGCAGTTGACATCCACAGTACGCTCCCACTCCTCTGTCTGCGTGTTGGCCATCATGGTGAAGTACATGACTCCAGCACAGGAGACGAGAATATCGACAGGGCCAAGCTCGTCGTTCGCAGCACGGATGAGGGCGTCTACCTGCGCCTTGTCCGTAACGTCTGTTTTCCGGATGATGACCTTACCTTCGCGGACCACTAGCCGGCGCTTGACAGCTTCGAGAGCGTCCAATCGCCGAGCTGCGAGCGCTATGTGGCATCCTTCTTTCGCCAAAGCCACAGCAACTGCCTCGCCAATGCCAGAAGACGCGCCCGTTATAACTGCCACACGTCCGCTTAAGGGACCTCTGGTGATGGGCTTTGCAGATCCTCCGAGGGCATGCTGACGTGAAGGAGGGTGCGGTAGCCAACCTCTGGCAAACCAGTGGCGCGTGTAAGTCTCGAGCAAGACCTTGTCCACCTTGGGCCGTTCAACGACCGTACGGAAAGGCCTGGTCGCTGCATTGTCGAGGACAACAATTCCCCGGAGAAACTCAACGCTCGGCATACCGCTGCGAAGGATGTCGACGGTAAATGCGCCGTCGCCGCCCTTCACAGAGCCTCTTTTCTCGGTCCAGAGTGCAACCCATTCATCCCATCCGATCCTCTGTGTCGGGTAGCCAAGCTCTGCAAGGTCCTCGAAGACCGATCGGGTGTCTACAGGGTCTGGATCACCGAGGTGAAAGATAGTTTGTTCTGCATGAGTTTGGCCGGCAAGGTGGACGATGGCTTTGCTGACAAAGTCCACCGGTGTCATCTCAGCACGCCAGCCTTTCACATCGGGAGCATGACCAATTTGGATCGATTCTACGATCAATGCCGTGAGCAGATCCCACGCATTGGCAGCACCAGTGAGACTGTGGCCGCTAATGGTTCCTGCTCGGTGTATCTTCACCGGCAGTCCGCGACGGCCGGCCTCGAGGACGAGCTGCTCCGCCACCCACTTGGTCTGGCCATAGCCATCGAGCAACTTTGTTGGGACGTCCTCAATGTCCAATATGGTATCTTCGGGCCAGCCTTTCTCCCCAGACGGCGGCAGAACACCGTTTGTGGACACGTATTGCACCGTTGCGTCGCCTTTGCAAGCCAAGCGGAGAATCTCTTTTGTTCCACCAACGTTCGCACCACGCAATGCAGCATATGGATACACAAGGTTGACTGTGGCAGCTGCGTGGATGATGACATCAACGCGAGAAGCGAGCTCTTCGAACGCTTCCGTTGAGAGACCGAAACGGGGTCGAGACAAGTTTCCTGGGAGGATCTCGACGCGTTCCATGATCGCATCGCTCCAGAGCCCTAGGTCAAGCAGGTTTCTTCGTAGCCTGGCAATTCCTCCAGGCTGGTCGTCATTTGTAGGTTCATTAAAACGCACAAGGCATACAATATGAGCAGAGGTGTTTTGCAGCAGGTCGTTGAGTAGGAAAGCGCCCAAATATCCAGTGACACCGGTGAGAAGCACCGTGTTTGCTTTGTTAACTGAGCGTATCGTGACACCAGAGGATGGTCTGATATCGTCATCAAGAGTAGAATCCGCACGTAGTACCGCAGGGAGGTCTGCTTGCACCGCTGCAGCGTGTCCATCCCTCACAGCACGCACCGTTTCCAGATGGCCAGCAATGGTTGAATTCTCTGCGAGACGAGGGATAGGAATGCGGAAGCCAAAATCTCTCGATAGCCTAGAAGACAGATCCGCAAGCAACAAAGAGTGTCCACCCACGTCGAAGAAGTTATCGGTCGGTTTCAGCAGAGTTTTTGATGTCTTGAGAACCGCTGCCCAAGCTGCAGCAATGTCATCAATGCCAATCGGATCGTGCTTCTGGCCATTACCATTGACCGGGGTAGTGATGCGTGGTGGAGGAAGGCGTTTGAGATCCACCTTTCCAGAGACATCATGAGTAGGCAACTCATCCAGTTCAACCCATAGAGCTGGGATCATGTAATGTGCAAGATATGGTGACAGAACGCGACGCGCAGCTGGACTGTGTCCTGACTCGTCAATCTCTACCGCGGGACGGCCCCCAGCACCATCCTTCTCGCGGACAATATACGCAACCAATTGCTTTTCCAGACCTTCACCATGGGCAACTACTGCACATCGGCTGACAGCTAAATGCTTGACAATCTCATTTTCGACCTTTCCTGGCACCACAGAGTAACCACGGAGTTTGATCATAGCCCCAACGCGACCAGTGATCTCAAGGAGGCCCGAGGGCAGCAGTCTCGCTCCATCTCCAGTTCTGTACATACGGGCCCCTGGTGTGGTATCAAATGGATCGGGTGTAAAGGCCTTGGCAGTAGTTTCAGGAAGGTTGAGGTATCCCCGGGCTAGTAAAGGACCACCGATGAAGAGCTCCCCACTCACGCCATCTTCCACTCTGTTGCCGCTCTCGTCGAGAATATAAGTATGCTTGGGGTCCAAAGGCGGACCAACAGGACAATACGAGGCTTCATTGTCGAGCATATCCCGAATATCTCCACAAGCTATCTCATGGGTCTCACAAGCACTGTAACAGTTGAGCAGGCGTGTCTTTGGAAGGGCCTTGATAGATCGACGGGCTAGATCGGCTGTGACCACCTCGCCGTTGAACCACAAGACGCGTAAGTCTGGAAGCTCATCTCCTAGATTTGGATGGCGAGACAGGACGGTAGCCAGGAGTGTGGGTGTCATAAGCGTCTCGGTGATATGCTTGGAAGCAAGAAGCTCGACGAGTGCGGCAGGATCATAGCTCACTTCATCCGGCACTGCGACGACCGTAGCTCCTCGCAAAAGTGGACGTAAGATTTCCCAGATGAAGAACACATTGCAGGCCACGCGATCTCCGGGTTGAACGTCTTGAACTCCGAATCTGAGGTTGTACGAGAGCACTGGGGCCCGGTGGGGGTTTGCAATTCCTTTGGGCTTGCCAGTCGTACCGGACGAGTACGACACAAAGGCAAGTCGGTCCAAGTCATCGTCAGCAGGCAAGGGAGCCGGCTCCTTCGCATATCCATTGGCTTCTACCGGCGGCTCATCGAGAACGATGACCGGCACCCCGGCTTTGATCTTACCGACCTCAGCCCTATAGGTGACCACTACAGCCGGGTTTGCATCTTCGACCACATCGGCCAAGAGATCAGGAGGGTAGGCAAGCTCCAGTACAAGAAAAGCGCCTCCAGCACGGAGTGCGGCGAGGCAGGTAATCACATAGTGAGCACTCCGCGGCAGAAGCACACCGACTAGACTGTCTCGACTGACGCCGTAACGACGGAGACGAGCGGCTAGCTCACTAACCTCCTTGTCTAGCTCAGCGTATGTATAAGTGGTTGTCTCATCTTCCAGTGCAACGGCATCGGGGGTAGCCTGGACCTGTTGTATGAAGAGGGCGGAGAGGTCTTTGTTGATATCAATGGCAGGCATTGTGGGGTTAGGAATGGACAACGGGCCACGATCGAGTCAGGAGCTATCGACGATCCCAGGTCCGAAAGAGAGAAGGACGCAATTAGTCTCTAGCGAACGCGGTATATCAAAGAGAGAGGATGAATGACTGAAGATGGCAGTCCATGCTCGCTTGGTGGGAATATGAATTGGGCCCAATGACTACTGCCAACGCGGGGTGGATAAAAACGCAGCGATGGCGATCGGTGGGCGGAGGGGACTGATAAAAGATAAAAAGCAATTACCTCAATTCCTTGTGGAGAAAGTCAACCGGGACAAGGGAAAAAAGAAAAAGTCGAAGTTATCATTGGTACAGACGGGATCTTGTTGTCTGCTGCCAAGGTACCGCAGTGGCGTAATATTAAATAATAACCCCGATTTTTTGTTCTTCTTAGCGTGACTCCGATGTTAGGACATCATCTCTTCTTACTGCATGCTGTGGCAGCAAGCAGCTGGGAGAAAAAAAAAAAAAAAAAAAAAAAAAAAAAAAAAAAAAAGGCTCTTGATCTGACCCGATTACTTATTACCGGAAACAATATTTGTTCATATTGAAAATTGTCATAAATCACTTTCTTAATCCATCTTGCTAGTGGTTAGTTTTCCAATATGCACGCGACAGCAATTCCAAAAATAGTGCTCCGTACTGGACCGCTTTTTTACTTGTTATGTTCAATTGCTGTGGTTGACCTCAGTTATCTATAATATAACAAATCAAACGCTAGATGATCTGTCAATTGTCCGTATCCAGCAGCTCCTAAATATAGGATGGAACTGCATGGAACCTACTAGATCACTAGGATCTAGAATTTTTGTATGCTAAAGAAAAATATCCCTAAACCTAGAAGCAATCAAGCAAGAAAGCAAGCAAGCAATTATTCAAGTTGTTCAGGTCAGAACCTTGCTTGCGTGCCATTCGATATTCGACATAACATAATTAATTGATCAAGTATCCTCAGACGACTAGATCGAGGTTAAACCATTTCTTATGGCGGATGCCATCCTATCATGAGCTGACGCGATCTCTACACATTCAGTTAAGTTCTACAGATGCAGAAGAGTCCGTAGAACCTCATTAATGAATATGGATACATCGATTGGAAACCCGGCTGCTCAAGGATGTTGACTTCAGTGGTGTACCTCGTTCAGGGATCATGGTGACCTTCTTTCTCTGAGGCCAGCTCTATGACATGTAGGCAAGAACTCCAACAGGAACTCTCCATATATCCGACAGATATCAACATCAATCGACCGTCAGAAGTTGCTCGTAGAAAGCGCCCATAGTCTCCTCAGGGTCACGAAGATGGATCTCCAGAATCCAATGCCGCTTATGTCCATCAGGACCGGGGCTGTTTATTTTGGTCTTATTACCCTTTGAGATGTAAAGCGTAATTTTGTCATTTGGGATACGTTCATGTGGGAATGACCCAATCAGATGACCAGCCAGTTGGGCACCGAACCGAAACCCATACTGGTTGGCGACCTGAGATGCGACATCGTATAGCTCCTCGCCCGTCAGATCTGGGTTCTCATGGAAATGCGCCTTGACCGTATTGAACACGGGCTCTAATGCATCGCGTAGTTGTTTCTTCTTGGGGTCATCTCCGAGAACAAAGGTACGTCCAAAGTCGGCTTCCCAGGCTTCGAAGACAGGTCCTAAATCGACATACAAGATATCGTCCGGCTCAATGATACGGTCTGGAGGGTTGTCGGCGAATGGTTTCAATGTGTTTGGTCCGCTTCGGATCACTCGCTTATGCCAATGAGTTCGAATATTGTAACGTTTGGCTCCAAGTTGGTGGATTTCGTCACTCAATGCCTTTTCACTGATACCTGGGCGGATGAGATCCCTCTCGATCTCCTCAAAGAGTTGGACGGCTTTATTTTGTGCATCTAGAAGATGAGCCGCTCGCGAGACCTCTTCGTCGGTTAAGATATTGTTGCTCATTGTTTTGAGAAGTACAATTGATTGAAAAAAAAGAACACGACAGATGTAATAGTGGCTTAAAAGCTACATTGTAGGATTGCTACACGTCTCACACGAACTTTTATACCCATACGTCTAGAGGTGGGGTTACCGTTGGCTATGATTAGGAATTCCCGCGCTCTCTTGCGTGGCCAAGTTGTCGGGAGTCTTGACCTTATCAGGCCACCAGTTACGAATAATGATTAATTAGGCTATAAACAATTAAGCCCTTTTTCATGCTAGGCTTATCAATTCGGTTGTTGATGTTTCAAAGCTGTTCTTAAAATCAGCGAAGAGTAAGTTAATTATAAGATTTAGGAGGTGATAAAATCTGCTATTGCAAGACATATTCTGCACGAAATTCGATTCATGCCCGTCAATAGCTGACAATGGTGTGCGCTAGCCAACTACTTTGCTAGATGCTTGTTTCTGTCAACTTGGTTAAGGATGATATAAGCTGGTGGATAACTATATACTGCTCACTCTATACCCCATCCAGGGCTTATCTGATTAGATCCTAGAGACTATTATTTGAACTTCTTTGGGGAGTGACACTATTCTCTTGTAGCTGTAGACGAATACTCTATTGACTTCTAACAGTCACTATGGTTCTCATTACGGCAGTTAAACGCCTGCACTAGAGAGAGTATCGTTACACTTGAGAGCTATAGTAAATATAACTCTGCATGAAAGTGCAGTATATATCTTATATTGAGTTAATTTGGCTAGGTTGACAGCAGAACCTAGATGGAATCAACTGAGGAAGCAGAGATACGCAAGTGTCTCGAATGGGCTTGGCCGAGTGGCCTGCATTTATGGCTAAGTACTTACGCTGCACAGGGTCAGCTGCATGGACTCAGTCTAAGTGCAATCTTATTAGTTGGTCCGATCGTAAGCATCAGTTGCGTCAGAATATTAAATGTTATGACTCTGCGCTGACAATATTCAGATTGTCAAGTTACACTTTAACTCCGAAGCTGCCCGCAAAGAGACGGCTGGCGGGTCTTGCTTAGCAATTCGCAATTCCGCCAAAGGACAAAGTCACAATCCTTCGCCACACGCCCCGCGACAGACTCCAGGTTTATATGTACTACCATATTTACTATTATTGATCACATCTTCCTCAGACAAAGAAAATCAAAGCCTCTAGAGACGCGAGGGCCCGATCCAGGCTCTCCTCACTATCCGTCACCATGAAGCTCATTCTCTCCACGGGGTACGTTTTCGCAACCCCGCCATGTCACCCCACCATCGTGCTTTGCTGATCACAGGACACCGCGGAGGGAAATAGAAATATAATGAATGGCGGACCGTCGATCATACGGCGATTTACGACAGAGAAATCCAACGTCGAATTGATCAACTCTCTGCGATCGAACTTCGTCGCAGCACAGCACGTCGAGCCAGGGCATGCGAATGGCGCATCTGATCCGCAGAAGCACGGGATACCGCAGAAGATATCTTATACCGATGACTACTCATCGTGGACGTCTCAGGAAGATGATACGCTCTACATCCCCGCGATAGATTTCTCACAATCGGGACTTTCGGAGGAACGTGATCAATATGACATTACAGTGAAGCTATTCTACCTGCCAGGTATCCCGGCTTCGCGGAGATGTGCGCATACGCGGCAAGCAATTGACTTGGTATTGAAGGAACTACATGTTAACTCTATCGATCTCTTGATTGCCTCCTTCCCGGGTGTATCGTTCGATGCTGATGACGAGGGAGAAGAGGAAATAACCCCACAGGCTGAAGGTCAGCCGGATGACTTCGACAGCTTAGTTCAAACATGGCGATCGTTGGAAGACCTGCATGAGAAGGGTATGATCTCCCAGATCGGACTGGCAGAGTTTGGCAGTGACAGACTAGCCAAATTCCTTCCGCAAACGAAAGTCAAGCCCTCGGTCGATCAGATCAATGTCAAGGACTGCTGCGTTGTGCCCAAGTCCTTGATCCTGTACGCAAAGCAACAGAACATCCAGCTACTGACCCATAATGACTGCACGGACATCCTTCCGAGAGGGACCACGAGAGAACTTCTCGGGGCGGGTGAAAGCGGTGCCCATATTCTGGCTTCCTCTCCTGATTCCGGTGACGGTATCAAAGGTGACATCGAGCCTCAGTGGGTTGTCAAATATACAGCCGTCGTGAAGGACCGCGGAGTCATTGAGAATAAGGGATATTTTGCACTCGCTGAAGTCGGCAGCTGTATTGAACCAAGACCATGAAGACGATTCCTTGTCCTTTTTTGTCCCTCTTTGTAGCGAGGAGTTCTTTGTGATTTCTTTCAGCGGAAATATGCATCCATGTTGTTTCAGACGGTCGTCAGGGCATCACCCTACTCTCCGAGCACACCATTCGTCTCATAGATATACATCCATATGCCACTCATCCAATCATGCTCCTCTTGCGGCCTCTCATTCTTACGTCCTCCAGCCTCTTCAGCACGACGTTCGCTCCCCGATAGCTCTCCCCGTAGGCTTTCACAACCTCCTCGAAGAAACCCTCGGTCTTGGGATGTGTGCTGCCAAATGCCCGCTCCAACACGTAGAGATCGACAGCCCTATCTTCATCTTGAACACTCTGGCCAGCAAGCCCAAAGTCAATTAGGACAACTTCCCCATCCATACTTGGAGGGCCTGTGACGGGAGTTTCTGCGGATGGGGTGTCTGCGCTTTGGACTGGTCTCAGGATGAGGTTACTCGTCGTCAGGTCACCATGAATGACACCAGCCTTATGCATGCCACCAATTGTTCGTCCGATCTTCCTCATCAGACCCCGCACACGTTCTGCTTCCTTCTTGTGTAACTGCGAAAACGCATCCTGCGACAACTCACGGTGCTGTTGCCTGATCCAAGCTTCCCATCGCTCGAAGACAACCCGCAGCGCTAATCCATCGATCCATTCCATTAACAACCAAGCCGCAACACGCCCGTCCTCTCCTCCCTGGGCTTCCCAGTCCACCGCCAGCACTCCAGGGACATTGACTCCTTCGCGAACGAGCTTCGCCAAACATCTAGCTTCCTGCAAGACGCGCTGGCGCGTCAGTCGTTTATCAAGGATCGGATGCCTATATGGCTTCGAGGGACGAATCTTAAGCGCAGCTGGAGTTGACGGCGTGAGGAAGGTTGTCTTGTACAGATGGGCTTCGGCGCCTTGGGTCAAGAGGGCAGGCGGCGGGGTCGTGTTCGTGAAAGGTGCGGGCAGAGCAGGAGGCGCGTAAGGTGACGGTTCGGGTGCCATTTTGATGAATGCTTCTCAGTCGAATTATCTCTCCTTTGCAATCTCACAAGAGAGGCCTGGCCGGTCTGTAGTCAACAAAAAGAAAAATCCACCGGAACAATGAGTGAGGATGATGACACAGAAATGTGCCGTTCTTTTTGGTGGGGCAGCGGGTGAAAGTCCGATGGAAGAATTTCACCGCCCATGAATTCAGATGCTCTCGGATCTTTGGATCGTGGGCATTGGCATCAAAACTAGCGTATCCATTGTTCATCCATCTCAATAACCGACTCTGTTTTGACGATATTCACGCAAAGTGTTGTCAAATAGATCCGCTATCTGAGCCCGCAAACCCCCCTCAAGCAATGCAAACCGTCTCAGGGGAGAAAACCCAGTTCGATGGATGTCAAATGGTCAAATGCTGGCACATAGATATAGGTAGTACTTGGCTCTAGATCACGGTAGTGTGCTCTGGCTACTTAATAGCCTTCTAGCGACCAAGCCTTGACCTTATTTCGAACTTGGACAACTTCGTTTTGCCTGTCCGTCTTATTTCTAGGACATGCCATTGAACTTCAAGCAAACCTCTTGGATTGACAAACCTTGATCATGGCATATAGGATCTCATAGATATTGAATCGATGGTAGACCATGAAATACCTACTACTACCAACACTGCACTATTGAACTTGCGCAATATCAAGACAGCTGACAACCAACCTCCTTCAGTGCAGCTTGATTGTCCTCCGCATATCATACCAAATATAATTCATATTACATCTAATGTCTATTCGGACAGGCTCCATGAGAGTATCCGCTGTGTCCACGGTAGCCAAGCATTTCATTTCCGAAATTAGGTCTTTCACAATCCAAGTGTCTCTTCATTCTTAGCGCTCTCCGCGTTCATATCAGGCAATAATTCTCGGAATAATAAATAGCCTTGTGTTAATCGTTTTTTGGTCCCATCACAGTTGCCAAGACCGGTGTTGCGCGGCCGCAATCTGAAGTGTTGGGCTCAGAGCTCGTAGCAACCTTCCAGTAATAGATTAGCAGTGTTTCAAGATACTTACTGTATATATTGCCAAGACAGCGGGATTCTGGAGACGACAGTTCTCTTGGCATATGCACCCAATACTCCTCAGGCAAAGCTGCTCAGTGGCAGATCTAGAAGTTCAATTCTCCAAAGCCCACTTACTTAAACCAAACTAAAGCCACAACAGATCCACCACTTGTGTTTTCGCTCTGCTGGAATCTTCTTCATAAACACGCCCTGCATGTTGAACCAACAAGGAATACAAAGTCCTGAAACAAGATCTAGGGCTGTCATAGAAACATGGGACCAGTGAGAGGAAACAAGCATGTAGAAACAGCTCCCATTGATTGAGGGGTTGGTTCGAATGGAATACGAGCAAGACACTCCCTAAGCCTTGCCCCGCGGATATACCCTGGCGTGAGGTTATTTGTCTAGCTCTCCAGTAGACTCGATCTAATCGTAAGCAACCCTCTTAATCCCAAGTCTTATTCATTGAGTGACAATTATAGGACATTCAATTGGTCCCCTTTATTCTATACGCTGACGTACGTGTTTCCATGTTCCTCGAATCTAACCATGCCAGTGGGTGCTTCTTCTATCAATTTGATATGTCCATGCGGCGGATTGCAGCCTGTCTGGGATCTGCGGCCTGTCTGTGGAACGCTAGTTCAAGTCACACTCAATATTCGCAACGTTGTGGCAACCTCGTTATACCAGTTATGTTTGCTCAATATGTCAATGGAGTTAAGTATACGTAAGTTTTGACATTATTAACCTTGGCACATAAGTGATATATACTTACTGTTTTTAGCTGGGGGGAACGGGGGAAGGGGGTTATAAAAGGCACGTCCAGTACCAGCAGTGTATAGCAATTCTTCATTCCAGGGCGATTCCTCTTCACATCCAAATTTCCTTGCTTTAACAGTTACACTATTCCGTTCAGGCACAATGGTAAATATCAGCAAGTTAAACGCCGCCGCCGTGCTGGCAGCCTCTCTCTTCAGTGCCGCAACAGCTCATCCCGGAGAGCATCACGATGTCGAGCATGTCAAACGTGAACTCCAGACACGTGAGATTCTCGCTACTAGGGCCAGTAGCTCCCTGAGTAAATGCGCAAACTCCCCCAAGTTCCAAGAACTGAAGAAGCGGGCCGTTTCTCGTCGTTCCGCCACTGCTACGAGACTACGTAATGAAAGGGGTCTTGCAGCGGACGATGGTAAGAGAGCAACATTTATGTCTATTTGATGTTCCATTTGACTAATTGGAATTTTATAGCATACCTTCACCGTCGGGATCTTGCTACGCTGGAAAAGTACGAGAAGGTCAATCACAACATGACAGGATCAGTCAATATGGCCGATCCGTCTGTCCTCTTCAGCTCCAATACCAGCTGTATCCTTACTCCCGAAAACACGATCGGTCCGTACTACGTTAGCGGCGAGCTCCTGCGCCAGGACGTCACAGAGGGGCAGCAAGGTGTCCCTTTGCATCTGGAAATGCAGTTCGTCGATGTCAATACATGCGAGCCTGTTCCTGACCTTCTCATTGACATTTGGGCCGTACGTTGATTTCCCACGAACAACATTTTCCTTGCTTACATGTCTGACTCTATCAAAGTGCAATGCCACAGGTGTTTACAGCGGTGTCGACAGCACCGGAGAGGGAGGTTTAAATTCAACTTTCCTGCGCGGTTTGCAGATGTCCGACAATGACGGCGTCGTCCAGTTCGACACCATCTTCCCGGGTCACTACAGCGGTCGTGCTACACACGAGCACACTGTGGTCCATACGAATGCCAGCCTACTTCCTAATGGCTCATACACGGGTGGTACGGTATCGCACATCGGGCAGATCTTCTTTGACGAGTCCCTACGCTCAGCTGTGGAAGAGACATATCCGTACAACACAAACACGATCGAGGCTCTTTCCAACGACGATGATATGTGGGCTCCGTCTCAGGCGGATAACAACTATGATCCCTTTCCTGAGTATGTTTACCTCGGGAATGACATAACCGGTAAGATACTCTGGCGTCCTCCAGTGAAATTATTAAATAGAATCTGACGTTGTCATAGATGGTCTTCTTGCCTGGATCAGCATCGGTATTGATCCTAGTGCGAATCGCAATTCTAATGCTACTGCTGCTGCCTACTGGGCTGCTGATGGAGGCCACAGCACTGGCAACAATGTCGGTCCAGACGTAGGAGGCTCTTCTCCATCTGGGTCCCCGCTACCCTCATCCAGCTCTGTGTTGAGTGTCAGGGATTACAATCTTAAAAAGCTCTTCGGTGGCTCGGCACATCGCGCTTATTAAGGGCGTGATTTAGAAGGTAACTAACACAGGCTCTGTACATGCTTCTGCTGAAACTGTACTGTACTTGGGGAAAACAAGCTTTCGTGTATTATTTATCTTTTATATCATACGTCACAAACAGAGTATGCTATTTTGATCCTGAGATGTGGAATTCACATCACTGTATTCATTATAATCTGCTCTTGTGACATGTCGTCAAGCAACAGAGCCGTAGGACTATTGCTTAGCTGGATAAGAGGCCGTAGCGCGGTCGAGTGCATATTTCCCTACCACATCGGTGCTCACAACGACTTCACTTTCAAGAGCAGGGTCAATATCGGTCCTCAGAGTTTCCTTATCTTTTACCTCCTCATCTGGGACGTGTTCGTGAACGACTATCCACGTAGGAATTACACACAAACCTAGAAGGCGTCAGTTTTTTCGAAATATACTGGATGTCTTTGTCTTTCGCAGAAGAAGAAAAAGAAAGTAAAAGGACTTACCTAGTAAGATTGTGTTTACAGCCATTGGCACACGGCCACCATACCAGTTCCTCGAGTTGAGCCCGTAGGAAACAGCTTCACCAAAGCTCTCCTGGCCTCGAAGGATGCCGGTCAATCTAGTGAGCTCAGCGATATCTTGTGTTGTCGAGCCAATAACATAGTAGAGCCAGTTCTGCGCAGTCTGTTGCGCGAAACTCCACAGGAACAGCGCGAATGCGCCTTTCACAAAGCCTCGACTGGTGTAATCAAGCATTGGCGGATTGGCCGTGTATTGCTCCTGAATGATCCAGGCATAAATCCAAGTCGCGACATGTACCAAGATAACATAATACCAGCCATATGTGATACGCTTCTTTGGACTAACTCGCTTCCAATCGAGCCAGTGAGAGATAATCTGTGAGGCAAGTAGCGTCACAAAATCACCGACGAAAGCGATCAAAGCCCGTGCTCGTACACCGAAATAGTATGTTTCGAAATTGCTGGAATATTCGTTGAAGTATGCGGCCCAGAAGATCGGAAGCAACAGCACGACGTTGCGGTTTTTGCAGGTACGCCAGAGAGCCTTGAACTCTTCCTTCCATGACTCCTCGACTTGGATAATCACGGCAGATCCATCTGTCCGCTGCACTTTATCTGGAGGCGTCAGGAGTAAGGCAACCGGGACAGCCAAGCATTGAAGCACGATGAAGACGATATAGGTTGAGTATCCCACGCTGCCTTCGCCTTTGGCCTTGATGTTGAGGCCCAGCACAATGGCATTTCCGATAATAGGACCCATGGTCCGCCACCACACCCAAATATTGAGATATCTGGCCCTCTTTGAAGGCTCCGGGTATCCAATCGCAATAGCACCCTCGCTAGCCCAGAAGAGTCCGGCGGATATACCGCATGCCACTGAGCCTACCAGCACAAACCATACGTTTCCGAATCGATTATTCGTGTAAAGTCCAGCGGCATAAACGGGGTATCCGACCGCACCCAGTAGAAGAGTCCATTTCAAACCAATGCGATTTGCAATAGGTGCGCCAAGGATGCAGAAAAATCCCATGAGGGCAAAGACGAGCGCATTGGCAGCGTTGACCAGGAAAGGCTTTTCCTCACCACCTGCACCAAGCGAGTTCATTGCATTCCATAGACCTGGGGCGAGGAAGCCAACTGCTCCAATGACAGAGGCATTGAAGAGAGACGTCCGGTACCAGACTCGTTTGACCGGCGCTCTTCCTCCAGCACTACCTTCGATTTCAGCCATTTTCGCCAAGTTGGGCGGACAGTTTTGGCGATTGAGAGGAGGGTTGTCTGGGTAAGACGGGGAATAGTCTATAGGTCTTTACTACATTGCACAGCTCCTTGATTATATACAACATTTTCGAAGTAACATTTTCGCAGTCCTTTCTGATATATCCGACAAATAATTTCCCAATGAGGTAGGTGTAATATGGCCCTACACCGAAGGATCCACGTGCAAAGGCCAGAGCGGCGAAATAGAAGACATGGAAACGTTTCTCGCTGTCGTTGTCTGCCATTAAGTGTGAATGCTACTACTGTTGCAAGATATAGGGCATATGGCGACATCGTCAAACTAAAGCTCTGGGCAAATTGGCCGGCACTTTTCTATATCGGGACGACTAAGCTTCTTAGCGCATCGGATATTAGCGGCGAAGGCTTCTACTAAAGATTTACTCTAATGGCGATTGAAACGTCAATTTAAACGTCATGCTCTGGGATGTTCTGGCCGCTTATTCCATAATTTGAAATGGCGGGTCTTGGACTCTTTGAAACCCTCAAGTATATGGCATTGAGGACTATATATTAGAACATGCGCAGTCTAGAATTTCACGGAATATAGTTACAGATTGGTAGGATAGTTATGCAGCACCCAGCTTGAGATATACTATAGCAGTTTCTTTCCAATCCAGCAAGTCCTGGTGAGATTATTCTCTTTATGCCCAATTCTTCTTCTGCTAACTATAATTATAACATATAAGGGACAAAGCGGCACTTGGAGTATTAAAGTGGCGACATCTATCACGTGGCCTCAGTAGTAATAAGAGACGGATTAGCATCTATGGGCCTGCCTACGTTCTCTTCGTCTATATCTAGTGGACATTGGGCACTGAATGCATTGGATTCTTCTATCGCCTTAGTGTATTATACAATGAAATACAGATCACGTATGCTATCTTCAGATTTAGCTAACCCATGGAGGGCATGTCCAGACTAGCACGAGGCTGGCCCTGCGGTAGCAGGGGATATGATTCCGCTTTCGAGACTCGCAAGGGCAAGATCTCTACCCAGGATTGGCCCAATGCAGGTGCAGATTTCACTCCACGCAAAGCTGATTCTGTTTTAAGACAAGACAAAAACTGAAGACAGAGATGGGACAATTTCCCGTCATGCACAAATCTTCTTCTTTTTTGGGGGGGGCGCCAGGTTTTCACCGTCGCTTTGAGGACTTAACATCAGGACAAGTCTCCGCATTTTCACACGGATATCCTTACACCACAAGACTGTTTTGCGATGACGGAAACATCTCAGCTGGGAGGAAGGTTCTTCATGTCTCCCTTACCGTCTTTGATCCAGTTAGGGTCAATCAGGCGTTCCCTCTCGGCATAGAGTTGCTTGTAGGCACCACGGATAGTGCCATCGCTAACGTGTGCCACCTGAGAGATCTCCTTTGCTGTCTTGCCCTGGCCCATAAGATATGATGCCATGTATATGCAAGCAGCAACAATCGACAGAGGAGAGCGTCCGGCGAGGTCTCCCATCGTGGTGACGCGGTCAGACAACGCGGACGAGACGTTGGTGACTTGGAACGGAAGATCCAACAAGTTGCAGAAACGGTTGCACAGATCACTCGGCTTCGTCGAGGTGGTTGCAGTGTAGGTCTCATTCGGATCAGGAACACCTTCACCGTTGAAAATAAATGTTTAGTATGCCTGAAATTATCAACGACAGTGACATGGCCAACTCACCTCCATTAGAAACAACAGAGTTGATCCTCTCCAAGTTCTGTGCCGTAAAGAATTTCTCCAGTGCCTTGTAGATTCTGCCAATCTCCTTCCTGGTGACCTTGGTCACAGCAAAGATCTCGGTAAACGTCCGAGGCACCTTGCACTGACGGCAGGCAATGAAGATGCAACCAGCGATGATCACGTCCTGCGATTTTCCCTTGAAGGCTTTCGCATCATCCACAATTTTAAACAGGTACTTCGCCGTATCGGCCACGTTCTTCTGGATATTGAAACCGTCGCAGAGGGCACCAATCTCCTTGTAAGCTGCCAAGAGTGACTTGTTGGTCTTCTCACTGGACTGCTTGTTCTGGGCACGGTACAGCTGCCGAGACTGACCGGAAGCTCCACCGGCGATCTGAGTCTCAAGTTGGTTTCCGTTCAAAAGCGGGTTTGCTGCATCTCCAACACGAGAAGGATCGTCATTGTTCTGGTCATCATTGGAGAAGGTACGCCACTCAGAGTGCATATCTATCTCACGGTCCGCAAGGACCAACCCACAGGAGCCGCAGACTGTCTCATGCGAGTCGGGGAACTCCAGATTGGGTGGCACTTCTTTACATTCAGGACAGATGAGGTGATTGGAGAGGTTTTTCCTCCATGGCGTTTGATCCGCCCTCGCTCCTGGTGCCACAGTCGCCATTTTGCTCGGTTTCTTTTTTGTCAAAAATCGCTCTTGCTGACGCCTTCTGATCTTCTTGTGAGAAACTCTGAGATTATGTTTCGAAGCGCAAACACGAATAAACAGCGGCGAATACAGCTTGGCGGCTGTATTCGAACGGGGAAAGGGGGGGCTCTAGGGAGTGGAGTCTAAGAGCCAGAGTAAAGAGATAGTAAGCTGGCTGTAGCGCGTCTCGAGCCTGGCCTCTTATGCCACTGCTGTCAGCAACGATGTTAGCACTGTAGTCCACATATATTGATTGAGCAAATCTGAGAGATCGGTGGATATGAGGTCTTGGAAAGGCGGAGATGACCGTGCTATCGCCTCATAACTGTCCAGCAGCTTGAGGACTACCCATCAAACCCACAGAGGGCCGAAGCCGGACGGTGCTTTACCTTTCCAAGACGAGTTCGCCGATGAGGATGCCTTCACCAGCGTGTCGAAACCACAAAGCCTCGAGATTCTAAACGAGCGGAGAAAGCCCCGAGCCTGACTTGTCCGACCGCGATGAACCAGTCAAGGTCTCCGTAAGACGAGATGCGCAAGCGGATTAGTCTCACGAAAGGGGTCGCAGAACCGTGTCAGGACACAGCTGCCAGCGAGATCGAGCGGAGTCGAGTCGAGCACAGCAACGTGGGTGACGGGGTTCGATGACAAGAGGCTTGTGGGTTGTAAGAAGGTCGAAGGCTGGGGGTTCTGACGAGGCTGACAAGAGTTGAAGAGCGGCGAAGGCAGTCGAAAGAGTAAGAGTTGGCTGGCAGAGCCGCAGCTGAGTCAGCCAGCGCCAAGCCCTCCTGCCCGGCCAAAGTCGACAGTGCAAGAAACCCGTCCAACTTCACGGAAGAAGCATCCTCTGCCACTTCACGACGTCCACACCACCGCCGCGATGATGTCCCAGTCCCTCAGAGCTTCGGTAAGACTGCTTTCCCTGACGCTGCCGTGCCATTGACCCCGTCATTGACCCTCTACCAGCGCTCTCTCCTCACCCGCGTCAGCCGGCAGCAGGTCTCTGTCGCCCGCCGGACCTTCCTTACATCCGCCGCTCGTCAGGGTACGTGGTCACAATCGCTCCCTTCCTAGCATATCTGTTGTTTATCGTCCACTAAACCGATCTATTTGCAGCCGACCCCGTCCAGGACCTGTACCTGCGTGAGCTCCGCGCCTACAAGCCCGCTCCCATCAAGCCCGGTGATGCGGAAGCCCACGTTCAGAAGTTCTCCGCTCCCAAGCCGCCCCCATCGCCTGAGGAGGCCAACATCGCCAACGAGCTGAAGGACTACGAGGCCCAGCAGGTTGAGGTTGAGGGCCAGGCTGCCGCTGGTGAGGCCGCCCCCGTTGAGGAGAGCTGGTTCGAGGAGGACGAGGAGCCGGCTGCCGCCGCTCACTAAGCTATGAGAGAAAATGTTTGGACGCATGAAATGGGCTTGATGGGCTTTACGTGAACTGACGTGGTCCCCGAGTCGTGTGTCCATGGGGAGCTTGTAAAATAGACCTGCTTCGAACATTTTGCGGCTGCCTTTACAATACCAATATCATTGTGACATCTTTCAAATCCTGTGTTTCAACCCGTGAGACCTCAAGACTCTACGTCCCAGATGGTCATGATAGGCTCGTAATATATCGTGCCTCGCAAGCTGTCGCTATTGCGCGGACTCTGAGACTCTGGTATTGAATCACCGTTATCAGGTATCAGGTCCTGTAGAGTATAGCCATATCTCCTCAGGATAGTGTGTATAGGACATGTGACTTTTGGTCACTCTGTAGTTCTAGCACTGGTGCTTTATCCACTGCCTTTTCTTATCATAGCTGTGGCAACCTCCATCCGATACACTGGAGAAATGGTATCACGTTCCCGAAAACTGCACATTTTCCTATTCCTCCGTACACACTTAGATCCAGGCACAGAAGTGGTTCGAGTAACGAAGTAATAATCCACAGGTTACATTTTACTCATAGAACTTCTATGATTCCTGAAATCGGTCAGAAGAGTGGGATAGACGAACCTGCCAATGACGGTTTTGGGGCCATGCGGATGTTGCACAGCCGCTATCCGGCTGGAGTGAGACCTGGGGACACGAGAAACTGTGGGGAAGAGCATGGGTTGGCAGTTGGCAGTTGGCAGTCGGCAAGTCTTCTCTCCGTCCAGTTCCGTACCCGGTACCTGCCCGGGTTGGGAGAGGAATAGGAAAGGTAAGAGACAATATAATAATAATCTGTGTGAAGTTCTGGATACTTCGCATGCGAGAGATCGGAGCTTCAAGGGTGCGAGGCTGTGACAGGCTAGGTGAGCATGCGTTGTATGGCGTGCGGGATATGTATATCCATATATATAAATAGACGGATAGCGACCGGATACAGTGCCTCCGGAGTCCCAAGGGAGGGTTGGAATGTGCGAATGCCATCTGGCACAACAGCGGGCATTTTGATGTCGTCATCAAGAGACGCCCGTAATACGACGGTGACAAAAGTTGATTGATTCTGCCCTACGTGCACAGTGACTATAGTACATAAATCCTGCATCCGAGGAGGGTCAATAATATCACATCCACGATACCGATGAGGCTCACTCGGATCGGACGGAGGCCGGAGTAGGGTCGAAGTGACGGACCGAGATTGATGAACCCACGGGGAAGTCTCTAGAAGAAAGTTTGAACAAGGGGAATAATGCTAATGTGACAGACACAACGTGGGATGGTGTCGAACCGCAGGGCGATGCTCTTCCCAAGTTCCCAACCTTTGCGCCCACTTCAAGTTGCTGATGAGTGTCAGATCTGTTTCTCTGGAAGCGGGCACCTTTGACACTTTCTTTTTATTTTCATTTAATTCATCGGCATCATTGCTGTAAACTCCAACCACCAAACCTTGGGAGTTGCCGGGACACTGCGTCATTCACAGCCACGAGAATTTGAGTGTGGCGCAGCCAGATCTGAACCATATAATGATAGCAAGTCTGATTCGGAGAAACGGGTAGATATGGAACAATAACAAGTAATAACGAACGAGAAAAACAACGATACCTATTTACCGTGTCTGTTCCAAGATCGGAAATTTTGAGTTCATCCAACGTATTGCGCTGTAGCTATACAAACCTAAAGCAAGCTACTCACGAAGTTTAGCGACGGGTGTCACGATACAGTAGCTGCAAGCTGCACGCAGGGATTCTTTGGCTTCATGCACAATTCTAGCGAGTATGGTATAGCGCTAAGGCGATGCTGTATCTGAAGGCCGGCGAATCGTGTCGATCATGATGGCCAGATAAGTGTGCAGGAAGTAGTGCTTCGATTAGCCTCTGTGCTTCTGAGCTTTTTTCTCTTTTCTTCTTTCCTTATTTGGCTCTGCTCGTTTTGCATTGCCCTGAGCTGGAGGCTGTGGACGTCGTGTGGAAATTCCGCGCCGACCAACCTTGGGCGTTATCTGAAACAAGCCGCATGACTGACCCAGGGAACTGTTGCGGTCAAGTCATGTTTTCGCCCCCTTTGATGAAGACGAGAAGAGGCTTCAAGTATTAGGGATGACGACAGTGTTGATAAGCACTCAGCACTAGGAGATCCGTTAGTTTTGGTTGTTTTCTCCCTCTCGATTTTGCCTCTGCAAGAATGTGCCAGAGCCGTCCGTAGTTCTGTACCCGGATCCACCGGTGGACAACACTGGTTCTCAGCTATCCTCGCCGTCAGGACGTTAGTTTCTCCAGATAGCAACAGTAGTTTGTCCATGCGGCTTGTAGATGTCCCACTCAGCGAACGGAACAGCAGCACGGAGGGCCGGTCGAGCGAAGGGGGGCGCGGTCGTGGACCTGCTGGAGGGACGCAGGCTACGGTGTATCAGTTAGTTCAGACTGCTAAGTATGTGTTCTGGAACTAGCGAGAGGGAAACGAGCTCGAAATGCCCTATCTACTGGACTGTCGCTAGTGACGACGGGGCAGAAGAGAGTTCGAAGCTCAGAGAGGTGGAAAGGGAGAAGAGCGGCTCCCGTCAGAGAGATCGAGCGGTTTAGTCAAAGTGCCGGTCTCCATCGGCATCCACCCGTGATACTTACTCGGCGTCATTCGATATATGTAACTCTCTCTCTCTCTCTCGCAGTGCTCCAAGCTGCTGGTTAACTAACTAACTAACTAACTAACTATCAACAATCGCTCAGCTCCCTTGCCTCTGTTGTCGTCAAACAATTTCTCACCCCCCTTTCCCCTCCCCCTTCCCCTTCTCAGCTTCCCGCACCGCCAAGGGTATCATCCCCGTCCTGCGATCATCTATCGTCCTTCGTTCAGATCAGCGGCTGCCCTTTGCATTGCGACCCCCCGTGCACTCGCTCCTTCAGCGCGTCTCCTGCCAACAAACACTCTTCCTCCCCTCCCCAACCACCAGACTAGACGAAGGCAACCTTGGTCGACCGTCATCATCCATTGTTGGCTCCTGGTTGAGGCTTCATTACACGGTTCCATTGTGCCTGTGCGTCTGGGCAGAACCATTCTGCATCTGTTCCAGGGGACGCTTGCCCGGCCACGCTGTATCAGGATTCAAGGGCTGGTCCATTTGAAGATCTAGCTGCCGCGACTGTCTGGTATCCCGTCACCAGCGCGACGTGCTCTTCACGTCACCCGGTTCGAGTTCAATGTTCCCCGGAGGTCATCATAGTTGCTAGATGCGTTGACCCTTGCGGCGCTCAGCTGAACACGCGCTCGTGGGGGGCTGGCCTCTCCAGACGATTGACACAAATGGCTCACTGTTCGGGGGACGTCCACGTTCCCCTCCCCTCATTGCCTTCCTCCGACCCATTGGCGCGAGAGTCGTCGGTCATCATGTCCCAACCGCCTCCGGAGACGACCCCGGAGGACACTTCGTCCTTCCTACACCGTTCAGCCAGCTACAATCACCTACCCGATGTCCAGGTCGACCAAGAATCGACGGACATGAAACGGACCTTCTCAGACGTCAATCTGGCTGCTCTCAAGGATTCACCCTCCAAGGAGAGCGTCGAGACGGAGAAGGCGATCCTGCGGCGGGCTTCTCAGCGGACCGCAAATGGACGGCCCAAGATCGCAGTATCCCAGTTTACACTGTCCGCGGAGGAATTGAAAGGTGCCACCGGGGTCAATATTGAAGACGCAGCCACGGACCCCGTTCCGGAGACGAAGCCGCCTGAACCGGTAGTACGGCCTTCTCGGGTTCGTTCTATGTCGGGCAGACTGGCAACATTGGCTCGAAAATCATGGATCTCGACATCCTCTTCCTCCCGCTCTCCGTCTCCGACGAAGGACACCAAACTCAAGGGGATGCCGCTGAATGAACCGTCGCCGGTTAGACAGCAGGATCCGTCATCATTGAAAGCTCCTCCGGTCCCCGAGATCCGAGAAGATATCATCAGCAAGCCAGCTCCAGCGGAGCCTGGACGGAGGAGATCAGTACTGAGGAGGGGTCGACGACCATTGAGCGCGCTAGTGTCAAGAAGCAAGAATGACACCCTCACTATCCGCCCAATCCCATCTTCAACCTCGCTACGCAGCAAGACGTCCTTTGATCGGCTCGCCTCATCTGTGAATATTTCAACGCCCGTATTGCCTCCAGTGCCAAAGGCTCCGGCACTAGCTCCCACAGCTGGCATGGATCCGCCGCGCAAGAAGGACGAACTGTGGGGTGTCTTCAGAGGCCTGGAGGGCGATTACCAGAAGTACGTATGGGCGGGGATCCAATTATAGTGTCAAGTGGCTGACAAAAAGAGATATACAGGTTTCAGTCGAAGTCTAGTTCTCTTAAAGCGAACGTGCTGCGGTCGTCGCTGCTACCCTTCCTCCACCGTTACAGCAATCATGCGTCATGTAAGACATTGCGGCCAGAAGATCTCGACCGTCGAGTAAATATTCTGAACAAGTGGTGGACCGGACTACTGGAGATGCTCAATGGGAGGAATAATCAATCCATATCGGGGACGGATCGACCGGTTTACCTCGAAGCTGTTGCGGGTATCATGACACGGCCCGAGTGGAGAATTGCCTTTGCTGTATCTCAGTCCTGGCCTCCTGTCTCGCAGAGGTCCTCTACGGCGAGCTCTGACTGCTCAAGGGGGTCTACCGGGTCTGATTTCCTGGTCGAATCGATCCACCACAATATTCGAAACATCTTCACCCAGAACCTATTGTCCCAGATGGCATTTGTCGTCGAGCGGATGTCCATGAGACACGCACCTGCCAGTTTGGTGTCGTTTTGCGGTAAAGCCTGCGCGTACGCTTTTTTCTTCTGTCCTGGTATCGCAGATATTCTAGTCCGACTCTGGAACACACCGCCGGATGTGCTCCGGCGCGTGCTGGCCGAGTCCGCGGTGTACAGAGGGTTGGACACCCGTACTGTCGCGGGTGACCTAGCCTTGTGCTTCCCACCAGCCATCAGAGCGTTATCGTTTTCGGGACATGCAGCTATGATTCGGTATCTACGTCAAAAGCCAAACGTTCCCTTGAGTGCCTCTCGCATCCCATGGAATGGGCCTTGGATGTCTCGCTGGTCTGGCCGGGATACAGATCTTTTTTTTGTCTTCGTCAAGTATTTCCATGTACTTTTCTCAGAATTCGTTCCCGGGAATCTGGAAAAAGACAAAAGGATTCTGGCTCCAGGGTTATTGTCAGTCCACGGACAGCTGCTGGTCGTCCTGGAGGATACCCTGTATAAGCAGTCTATTCCACAGATGCCCGAGAACCCGCACGCCGTCGCCTCTGTTACTTTCGACGACTTTATGGAGGGCCCTGATGCATCTGCCTCTGCAATGCCCTTGGGAGTAGCCAACTGTCATCGCTCGATGGCCGAAAACCGATTGATAATTCTCCTCCGGGACTTGTTGTCCGAGTCTTCAGCAGAACCCTGTGCTGCTCGGCAACTGTATGCAGAGTCTTTCTGCAGTATCATGAAAGCAGCAGCCCGCAAAGTCTCGCGCTTTGACCACAACGCCTGTTTCGTCCTGTGTGATTTCCTGGAAGAAGTCGGTTCTATCTTCGTTCGCTTCTCTCAGTTTATACAGACTGAACTATTTGACTGGGACTTCTGGTTGGATGTGTGTAGACAGATGATGAAGAGTCATAATTCCCTCACCGAGGTCCGAGTCTTTTCATTCTTCTTTTGTATTTGGAATACTTTGACGAGCTGCGAAGAGCGGAAAGGCGATCTCTGTCACGGCATACTTCTGAACGAAAATTACTTCTACCATTACTTTAATCACTGGAGCCCGATGGTCCGCTCTTATTTCCATCGCCTTATATGCTGGAGGGTGGCTCGTTATAATGGAGATCGCTCTCCAATGGATTCGTGAGTTTCTCTTACTTGCCAGATCAGACCGTGTATCCACTTCTAACACTTGATCACAGAAGCATATATGAGGCGCTTGCAGATAGACTGGAGCAGATCTGGGCGTACTATCTTACTTTCCAGTCACGAGCTGAGAAGGAGCTCAGTGCTCCTTTATCGTCTGCTCCTTGCAGTCCGGCCCCTGGCCGGAGAATAATCATAATACGAAGCGACAATCTGCCTTCTCCCCCTAGCCTCTTTGTTTCCTTTGACCGTGTCGTTCCCCCACCTTCATCGGTGCAGCCTACAGCTTACCGAAACCATAGCAGTCTCAAACTACATACGAACGAGCCCCCAGCGGAACCAGCACCCGCCCCCAAGAAAAGATGGAGTATACTGCGGACGATGTTCGGTTCGCCTGCAAATCCGAAGCCGGGTGAAGTTACGCCTCCTGGGAGCGCTTGCGACGAGCTAGAATCACATACAGCCGACGAAGGGTCGAGTGGCCCCGGTAGCAAACGCGACTCCGAAGACAAAAGCCAGCCACAAGCTGCCCCTGCCATTCGCCGTCCGCGCACGCCGCATCAGCAATTTTGCTTTCGATTTTCTCTTGAGTGGCTAGACCGCCCGCAATGGCCTAGCAAGAACAAACGTCTCTTTCCCCCCCGCTTGCCTGTTGCCACTCAGTTACATCTCCAAGGTTGCCGGTCTATGTCTCGTCATCCCTCCACCGATTCGGTCTCTGATCTTGACTCGGATTCGGAGTCCAGGTCTGCTCGAGCATCTGGTTCCGAGACAGGTTCCGACGACCGATCGGCGAGACAAGACCACCAGCATCTCGGAAGGCAGCAAGTTAAGGGACCGGAACGGCCAACCAAAGAAGAACTCCTCCGGCCGCGGAACGAAACTCTCGTCGCTAGCAAGTATGCAGGACGTGCACTTGCGGAGTGGGCACAGGTCGTGTCTGAGTGTGACAGTTTCTTTGAGAGGAGACGCGACGAAGGCGTCCCATGCGACCGCCTCGTGGAGACACCAATCCTCGGTGTGGAAAGCTTTCGAAAGTGAACATGGATCATCTCTCCCAAGATATACCCTTTCGCGCTAGCGGTCAATGGATTCTTGAGCGGGGCAGGAAGGTCCCGTTTGTTTATTACAGACATACATTTTTCAATTTCTAAAATTCCCTTCTATCAAAGGCGTTGGGGTGGGAGTCTGAATCATCTATATACGTGATCATCTATGGCGTCCGGTGGTCTCTTATCTTTTGCTTTCAATGTCTTTTTTCCCACTTCCCTCCTCTTGGAATTGGAGGCTGCTCGGATTCGGTATTGCGCTATTTCACGCGTTCAATAATGACCTCTGTATATACCATCGGTGACGGGCGTTTTCTTTTTCCAGGGTTTGACCCGCTGTATGGTCTGGTGTTTTGAGTAGGCATTGCTGTTCGGACCGAGCTGGGATACTGTCGCCTACAAACTATGCATGATGCTTGTCGATCATGATATCTATATTTATCCTTTCGTAGGGCTTCTCTGCTAAGCGTGCCTGTCGGGTAAGTAAGATTAACCCATTATCGATGCTGGATGCTGCTGCATCTCCTCTCCCGAAAGTGCGTTGGAGCTTTTTGACGCGACGTGGGCAAACTCCATGCTAGCGTCGCTGCGCAATGCAATCGATGATCGAGCGTAGAAACTCAACCAGTAGAATCGTTTGGCACTATCGCGTGCGCCGATGCGAGGAGGGGTCCCCATCTAATATACATATGGGATGGTGGAAGGATAGCTCTTTCTAGATAACACAAACCAGATGAAATGTCCGAGCGTCCTTTTTACCGCGCATTCCGCTGTTATCCCGACTGGGCTCACGGGCCGAGCTATAATTCTCTTTTGCCGCCACGGCTGGTAGCCTCATGGGCCGACTTAGACTGGTATCTGATAGACGTTGCCGTCATGGAGGGGCCGGTCAGGAGCGAAAAGACGTACTAGTCTAACCTCCAAAGTGGGCATATGCCCTCGGATTTAAGAACGGCCTCCATCTTACCGGTCGTCGTTGACGGCCGTTTCGAAATGGGATAAAGAAGCAGCAACTGACAGAAATGAATGAGTTAGCAGTATCTAGATTCCAGCGGTGCTCTATCATTTTCACTGCTATCACTGACATGTTTGGTGGCGAGGATCGCCACCCTTTCTGTCTATCAACAGATAAGACATCTTCAACTGCTTCCATCCCCTCATCCGAGTCGGAAAGAACTAGCATGACCATGCATACTGGTAGAAACTTTAGTTGCCTGTCTCTCTTGGGTCTTTCGCATGAACCACACCGCAGACATCAACATGGCGGTATAATTCCAAGTTGTCAAACTTGAAGGAAGCGATGCATGGTGCATGATCTACGGTCTTCGTGGATAATCGCGCAATCCACAACCTGAACCAGGTAAAACGGCCTACAGAAGCCTCATGTAGATTAGATAGTCTGCAGTTGCAGCTGCGCCAGAGCTATTATAGAACCGGGTATAAGAAGGGAGGTGCAGTGCGGGCCATAGACTCCTATCCTCGCTATTTTGATAACGGATGAAGATCTTGGACACCGCTGCTGCGAGCCACGACAAAGCAGTAATGCAGGAAGAACACATAATGAAACCGTTGCACATACTGATGGGTCGTGTTAACCATGGGTTGACTGCATAAGTGAGTGCACTGACCTCGAGAGTAATTGTCGTGTATGTTTCAGACGATCCCATTGTTCTTGCATTTATCCGCTCTTTCTTCTTAGCGGATCTGGGACACTATATGCCGAGGACCCTTGAGCCTTTAATGCCTATAGAAGAGGGCAATTATTGAGAGGCTAACGCTCTGTGAGCGTTTTATATTGCGCCATCGTTGTACGGTATTTCGACTGCCCTGTTAGGTACAGACAGTAGAGAAAGATGCCGCGCAGAACAAGACAAGGGCACCTCAAATCGGAATAGATAGTGACTGTCACATGTAGATATGTTGCAGTTTATAGCGTAGATCATAGTTATAATATTTCTCCATAGAGCTACGGCATGCCGATCACGTTGCGGTCTCTTAAGCCTATCGGAGCACGGCCGGTGGGCTTCACTTAATAGCATTAGTATTCGCAAAGTGTCCAAGTCCTTCAACAAAAACATCCGATGTGGTGTAATGGCTAACATCGCTGTCTCTCACACAGCAGCTCGGGGTTCGATTCCCCGCATCGGAGTCATCGGAAATTTCTTTTTTTTCATCACCGCCATTCCTCTCTACATACTATCGCAAATATTCTTTTGTTTTGCATTTTTAAACGACTGTGGCCATTATAATCAAGGCTGTTTTTTTATAGAGTTCATGTTCATGCACTACCTATCTTTATCGAGAAAATTAGCTTTTGAGATGAAAATTGTCAGAATTCGTATCCCGATACGGTGCCACGTTATCGCAATTTATTATCTTGCTTAGGGGTTCAGCTACTAAACCTATGACCCGAACATCTCGAAGTATACACCCGGGACTTATGTGATCAATAGTTGTATAGATACTACATTAGCCCGTTCCTTCATAATATGATGAACATGCTTTGTTATTCGGAAAGACCTCGTCATTGTCAAATCCACTTCACACGGTAGTTCGAGGAAGTTTACTCTAGTAATGGCCATGTAAGATGCGGTCTTGTGGCGATGATGGTTATGCAAAATATGCAGGTGGCATGCTCTGCAAGATGCAATATACGCTGGAGGATGTTCTAGGTTTCTTTAAAAAGGAACTTTGGGCAAGTATCTTCATTGGTAGGAAGGGAGGAGCGATGGTCATGTGCAGGTAGTTGAGCTCAAGGGTTTAAGAAGCTGCCTGAGAACCTCAAAAAGAGAACCACATGAATGGGATCGCAATGGAGGTAAAGAGTATCATATTGTTTCTCATAAGCAAGTCAAAGAAACGTATCATCGAGTTCTATCTTCACCAGATCCAAGAGTGGATCAAAGAGCAACGTTAACTCGAAGCAAACATTAATTGCAAGGTATTGCGGATCGTCAAGCTTTCATAAATATAACTTTTTGTCTTTCCCATTCGTTTCGCGCGGCACAAACTTCTCCACAGGAGGGAAATATTTCAATTTGAAAAGCCACCCGAATAGAAGAACCACAGCCGACACAAGGAGCGACTCTAGTCGATCTGACATCGTGATTGGGTCCTTATCGGTACCTCCGCCATCCCAGTTATCGCAGATAGCCTTGAACACAGCAGGGTCATCCGTGATGACACCGTCTACGCCCTTGCGGATGCTCCAGCGCATTAGACTCGTCTTGTTGACCGTCCACACGAATACTAGGCGGTTCGCGGCTCGGGCTTCTTCAAGGAAATTGCGACCTAGTGGACCCATAAGGATCTTTTGGTTGACATTGAAAGAGACGTTGGGGATGGAGAGAAACTGGCGAGCGTAGGAAAGATCTATGCAAATCAACGCTATCGGATAATCTGGAAGATATTCTCTCGCAAGTGGTAGGTACTTTGCCTATACGATGCTGCTGTCAGAATGTGTTCAGGGTCCCATGGAGTCTGACTACTTTCTGGGGTTCCATTCGTCAATGGCATAAGATGGTGGTATTCTGTACTTACCGACCAGCATCCAAGCACGATTCGTTCACTCCACGGTTTCCGGCCTGGTGCAACTGCCGCTGCAGTTTCGGCGATTCGTCGCATAATCGTCTCCGGGTCATTGTCGATCTAAATCACGAGTAAGCAGGCACATACAAACAAGAAGAGTCATGGAAAATAAAGGGACTCACTTTGATATCCAGCAATAGCCAGATATCCTCCAGCCCCGGAGAGGCAAGATACTCAAGCAGATCTGATAATCTTGGCATGCTGTCGTATGGCTTCTCGAGCGTTCTCAGCGTACTGAGATACTCCCAGTCGCAATCGATCACGCGTTTGTCCACCCCAAAACAACGCTTCAAAGTAGCATCCTGGGGCCATCAAGGTTAGAGGACTTGTGAAGGTGTAGTTCAACGGGGATACGTCGTATGTACATGTGAGATTACTACAACTCCATCTTTCGACAAGTGCAAATCTGTCTCAATCGCGTGACTGCCTGCGTCTATGGCACCTCGGAATGCTCCCATGGTATTTTCTGGGAACTTGTTTTTGAATCCGCGATGTGCGATGATATGTGGGAGTTTCCGCCCACGCTTGTTGCTTGTCTTTGTTTCATAATTGGCTGGTAGATGAGGTCAACTCGGGCGCTGCAAAAGATAGGGGAGGATGATGAAAGCATACAGAGCGCCAGATGCTTGCGTTCCCTTAGCAGTGGGGTCTCCGGCGAGACAGGTTCTGTTGAATCCAATCCAAGAGAGGACGACATATTTTCCAGCAGCGGAGTATGTGCCTCCATCGTGGCCGTTGAGAACGATTGTTTAGATAGATATATGCGAAATCAAGTATCAGTAGAAAGGATGAGGATGGGAAGTAGTGATGTGATCTAAATGGCACTTCTAAGATAAGAAGCCTCGCCACAAACTTGGTACTTCGATGTGGGACTGTGCGGGGCTGTGCCTGTGCTGGCGCCTGGCGACTACTCGAGTAAGATTCTTAGACTGATGTTGATGATGTATGCTCGATCACCGCAGGTTGAGCATGGCGATGCAGAAACAGCGACCCACCGGGGTCGATTTAGTCCAGCCAGACAAGACAAACAAGTAGATACAGTTGACGAGAGCGTATGGTAGTGAAGAAGAACGATTTCAAGACGGGACAGGCTAAGTACCATATGTCTCCCCGCGACCAAGGGGCAGGAACCACTAATGTTTCGATATCCAGACGACCATAAGATGCCAACCTAGCTTCTCCAGGAGGGCAGATTCCAGCGCAGATGCTGATCGCGTCTGGAACAATACGTAATAATGTTCATCGAATATACCATACTGAGTCCTCTGCGATATGAATCATAAGGTCGGCTGCTTTGACGTCAAATGACACAGCAAGTGGAGAGTGTCGATAACTTATGGTATACGACCGTCGATGTATACCCGGTAAGGGGTTCAAGTTACTATCAAGTTGCTAACATAAACTCCCTATGAGAGCAGTCAAGCAATCAAGAGTAGAATAGGAGTTGAGAGGCATTCTAGAGGCTTATTCTCTGGTTCTAGAGTCCATCAGATGTTCATACCAAGCTGAGCTGATGCCAACGCGGATATCTCGGAGACGGTTGCTTAGCTTGCTTAGCGCGTGTCGGACTCGAGCGGATAACTGGAACTCCTGAGGAGACTGGTTGCATAGTTGTCATAACGACCTGCCGTAGTTATTATTAGAGGGATTTCGCAGCTCGTCCAGGCGTAGGAGGATAGTGGGGGGTAGGTTCCTTTAATAAGTAAAGCTTGACCCATTGATGGCGCTGAACTAGTAAGCAATTTTTGAAGCTTTTGAAAAACAATTACTGATTAATAATAGATTAATCATCAATAACTGAGCTGTCACTAACGTTAAGTAGGATTTTATCGCTAAAGGCTAATTACCTTAAATATTCCTATAAAAAGGGATAATTATAATGATTTTTTAAAAGGATATACTAATATTTATTATTTAGAATACTTTAGGAAGGTAAAATAAGCTTAAAAGGGGGGTTATTATACCAAATTCCTTGAATATCGCTGAATATTAGAGGTGCGGCGATCTAACATTATAAACTGACTTAATGTTGGCCTTAGGCTAGCAGTCTATACCAAATAAAGTATCCCTCTTTAGATGCAATGCTCCAACGACTGCCGTTCGGATGCTTCAAGATACGGCGTAAAACCAGACGCTAGAGGAAGTGGAGAACGGCGAACTATCCATAAGGGGTTGGCGTATTTTCATGCCAAGGCACGAACCTTCCCATATAAGGGATCCTACTGCTCCAAAATTACGCTGCGAAATCCCTCTATTTACTACTTTAGGGTAACTAGGTAAACAACTACATAGGAGTAAACTTCACATATCTGATCAAGACTCAAGCTATCAAACTAGAGGCTAGATAGCCCTGTCACTGGTGGTCCAAGGCAGCATTGACGATCCTCTGCTAAACATTCATTTTCGTCCCCTCGCTTCCACTAAGGTTTGCACTGATTGAGAGTGTGTTGTCCGTCAGAAGTGGCTTATTGAATCAAGTAGAAAAAGTCAAGTAGAAAAAATATCTCGAAACCTTTCACCGCTAACTAGAAATTGTATTGGAGAATAGATCTCTCAACTAGACATTAGGGGAGCCAGTGCATGAAACTCTATACCTGCAGGTATCGGCTAGGTGTACTCCAATTCCTAGTATAAAGGCATTCAGATTTGCCGTATCGAACAAACAGACGCAACTGGGGGCCCCTATTCTTCAATCTTTATGCATCGATGTAACATTCCAGATGTCGAAAATGGGTTGGCAATTTCCTGTAATAGGACAGGACTGCAAGATAAGGTCAGGGAACATGGTCACTGATTGCCTCTTCTTATGTTTCATATGCGTGATTATTGTTAAAAAGACATTAAAAAATATCGTTGAAATGAATATGGAATATTAAAAAACACCCAAAGGACGGTGCTGGTTTCTGTTCGGTTCATGCTTACGTGCACACGATCATATTCGCTCCTTTTTCTAGTACGATATTAGCTACATAATCGCATTATCCTCGGAGAAAGTAAGTGTTTTAATCTTGTCGAGTCAAGCTTGCAATCGGGGCCACAATCTATTAGCAGAAAACGAATATCATATCGTCGCTTGGCACTTCATTTGGGTCTGATATATCTCTGACAGTTACTTCTTTTCCAGGATGTACTTCACACAGGAGCAGATGGAGGAGATTCCGAAAATCAGGCGACAAACGATACCGAAATAGAAGTGCAAGCAAATGAAGTGCTAGATAGAGGTAGAACATCATCGAGACAGCCCCTTGTGTTATTGAAAGAGAGATCTTAGAATAGGTCGTCCTAGTACTAGCTACTGCAACGTCCCTGGTTCTGATGAGCCGGTATGATGCAAGAGTAACATTCGGCATGGTACATGTGATTGTACAGCAGACAATCATCCGGCCTCCTACACCTGTATGTCATGCAGTTCAGCGGGTTGGGGAGCTTGGGCGAGCCGGGGAACGGTAGAGGAGGAGGTTTATGTTTATGTCTTCCCTCTCCTCTGCTACTTAACGCCTTAGTGTTCGTGGATGTAGACTGTGAATTGTCCACTTCTCGCTGGTCGCCGTGCTTCGAATTCGGAGCCCATACTGGCATAGCGTCTTCGTCAGGATGCAAGAGCGCATTCTCGTCCGTAACGGTGCGGCCGTCCACACCCCTAAAGGTCTCCACCAGCTCTTTGTTTGTCTCGTCATCGTAGGAGAGGCTCCGGAGCATGCGGGTAATCTCGTCCGGACTGAGCTGCTTGTAAGAGACGACATTCCAGTCATCATCGAAGTTGCGCAGAACACCGTCAACTCCTAAGTGAAGGAGGCCACCGCGGTCATCTGTACCGTCGTCGTTGGTAGCTTGACTACTAACTGATGACCCAGTAGTGTTGGAAGCACCACCCGCGGTTGGCTATATCCATAACTGTCAGTAACTAAGCCTTGCATCCATCTGGATTTTAGGTGAGAGGAAGTGCATACGGTAGCTGATACCATGGAGAAGGCAGATAACCAGGCCGAAAGGATGAACAGGAAGGATATCATGGTCATTTTTATAACAGCGACTGATTTGTTTGACGATGATGATAAGAAGAGTCTCTTTTGCTATTAGATTGTTTATACGTCCAAATGCAAATAGTAAAAATAAGAAACTTCTGGAGCTTTATACAGGAAGAGGCGGCATTTGAACCTATGGAGACATAATCGACAAAGACAAAGAAAGTTTTGAGCTATCGAGTGGATTAGTTTTCCCTTGTGGATACTCAATCATCGAGGAAGCAGTTGTAGTAAACAGTTAGTGTCGATAGGTTCATCTCTGCAAAGTGCTGCTCAATGGCTTCTTTGTTTCTGTGACACATCGCCACCAACGCACGCAGAACAAAGAACGAATATGAGCAGCCATTTGTGTAATCTCATATATAGTCGAGAGTACGGTGGAGTAAACGAGATAAGGACAAAGCCATGAATCCGCGAGCTTCATTTCTTCCACCACACTTTTTCGGCGAAAAGTACGAGAAATAATCATGAGTCGATAACTGGATGTAACACAGCAGAGATCCTCAGTTGGTTTCTGAGAGGAACTTATGCGTTGAGGGGACATTCCGTGTCCTTGAGAATCTGAAAATTATAAACGTGTAAGCGGTATATATATAAGGTTGCTGATCATACCAGATGTTAAATAGGTACAATGCTATGGAGAGAGCATCAACGCTACCGGAAAATGGGATATGAGGAAGGGGATATCATTAGGTGAACCCTTCAAACGGTTAACATCTCATTTGTACGACATAAAACAAGATGAATATAGAATTATATAATTGAGCAGCAGGAGGTTATTATCGAGACGATACTCGAGCTAGGATAGACTCAGTAGTATAATAAGCGTTGGAGAGAAGAACTTCAGGTCACACAGAAAACATAGAGGAACTTCTGGTACTAAGAAGGTATATTTGTGTTACAGCATAAGATAACTAACAGTGGGGAAAGCCTCTTCGGTATTCATTTTCTCACTTCGTCTACTGAGAAGTGGCTGCAAACTTCAAAGGAGTGAGGAAAGGGCCCCCGGTTCTCTTTAATCTCATTCATTTGTCGACTAGTACTGTACGGTACCTGGGACATTATTATGACATGGACGATATATATTCGAGCAAAGCATAGGAACAGATTTACCGGAGAGAAAGCCGAGGCCCGAACAGCAACTTCAGCGGACGATGGGTCTTTATGGTCCACAATGGTTCGTCTTGAAATTATACGTTACTCCGTACTCCACGCAGGTTAATAGCCTAAATACCGAAGAACGCTGACAAAAATTAGTGTCCTTGAAAGCAGAACATCTCGACCATATTTCATGGGACTGTGGTCTCGAAGCAATAATATCCCAGAGGGTCTTCTCTTTCCTTTTTCGACTGGATTAGTTCTACAGTATCGGCATGGAGCTCTGAAAATAATAATGCCACACGTATTTATCCTGCAGCTGGTAAGCGCGGATATACTTCCCTTCTTCATCGAAGCGCACCCTAGCTCGGCCAATAGATAGAGTTTCACGCGGTATGTTAACGGCCGTTTATAGGATTAAGGGGCCTCTTTTCAATCTCAATCTACTTGCCCCGTACCGTGTTCCACCCCGTGGCTATCGAGATTTCCCGAATACCCTGACTTGAAAGCCGACTCAGAAGTCAACAAAATTGCATCGTAACATCGCATGATTCCCCTTGACTTCAACCGGGGGCAAACGATCCGACTGTTACTCGAGTCATAGAGGCAAAATCCGATCGCAAGTTAAGTCGCGATTACTTAGCGGACCGTTGCCCCGGCAGCTCGGAACATTTTCCAGATGACGGATTCGGCGATCGGCAAAGCAGCAAAAAAACGCCTCTCGCAGTCTCGCCTCTCTCGGTCGCTAAGATCCGCCAGGTTCGGAAACTCGGTCCGTCGTGGCTTCGTTGTCGACGACTCATTATTATTGAACACTATGGGTATGCTATGGTATGTTGTGTTATACTCTACATCCCAATAGTTGTAGATAGAGTGATTGTGATCGAAGCGCAATAATCCAGGCTTGTACTGTAGACAACATACGGCATGCCTCTAACAATAACCTTAAAAACGATAAAGATGGCCAGAAATGTGAGCTTCCTGAGACATCTCAAAACTCAAAACTTCATATAGTTCTCAACTCACACGTCGACCCAATAGTACGTCTCGACAGAAGACAAACTGAACTGTTGATAATAGCACCAGCGTAGATATACATTAGACTAGATCGAAGAGTGTAGGTCGACCAGATCGCGCCCCTATAAAAGCTGTCTTGTCACACTTTGTTGGGATCAAAAGGAACGCATAACTACCTAGTTCCGGGGTAGCGCAGCGTAAATATATAACCGTTGAGAGTCTCAAGTGACTTCCGGAGAGTCAATGCCATGACCTCACCCGGATATAAGATCATAAGATGGATGCAGGAGCTTTGACAGTCGACTATGCGGTATGGTATCGCTTTATATGCACCTAGTTGGAAAGAGAGGGACTAAGCTGTCCGTTCTCAGCTGACTCTTTTGACATCATATATAATCTCAACGACACGCTTTGAGGTCAATAGCCGAGCACGATGACTGGCTAGATTATCGACTGTACAAGGATAAGTGAGCCCATATTCATAGTTGCATCCACAATGGTGCATTCCAGACCCATTTTACGTTGTATTTTGATGGGAACAGCTCTCACCGTTTCTTCATTTCACTCGGTGCGTGGAATGAACTTCCCCGCACCCGATCCAACTAGGGTCTCAAAGACCTCACCGTGATACATAGCTGCATGATCTAGGTAGCTTAAGCGGTCCTTGTCGAAGATTAAGATCAGCAGATCAGCACCACGAGACATAAGTAAGAGAACAAACAACGGAGAATACGGAGTAATAATATATAATAATACTGATTGCAAACAAGAAGAACCATGCCTGACAAAGGCTCATGTCAGACCTCGTCCGCCCCCAATTGTGAATAGATAGATAGTTAAATTACTTACTCTCGCTATTGAAAATGACAAATCATAATAATGTAGCCCCAACCCTGCACAAGGCCAGGGAAACCAAGTTTTTATCCGGATCGATCGAAATTCGGCGCATCGGCATCCTCAGCGGCCCGGGCATGGCGCCGGATTTGCTTCACTTCCTTACAGACTCACACTAAACCAGCTATAGATACTCTATAGCGGCGACATTCCGCAAATCCTTTAAGCAAAAAAAAAAAAAAAAAAAAAAAAAAGAAGAGAAAAAAAGAAAATCACTTGTACTGATCGGCCCGGCCCTGCCAAGCCCGGGTCATCCGGTCTCCGCATTGAGTAATCGTGTTCTACCAGTAGCAACTTGGGATTCCATCCTGACTATCCCGTCCGCTGCCGTCCAGGGTGTAGCTTCTGTGGAAAAAGCCCCGTCCAGGTCGTATCCATAAGCAGAATCAGTGGCTCGCGATCGAGCTGATCTAGAGTAAAACTAGAAGGCGAACTGGTGAATAATAACGACGTTAGTCAGCGGGCCACAGCCAAAGAGGCGCCCTCCGCGAAATTCCTGACAGGATCCAGATATCTCCGATCATGCTTATAAATGGGACACCGGGCCCCCTCCTCTAGTCGCTGCTTGTATCTAATGGGTTCAGCTCCCAATCTCACACGCAAGCACCGTTGGCTTCTTCGCCCCCAGCTCTCGCCCGCATGGCATCCCAGACACTCCCGGCCACACGCCAACTTGGGCGGAGCTCCGAGAGTAATAGTTCGCTAGACGATGTTGCGAATGAAAAGCAGAAGTTCGCGACAGACTTACCTCGTGCGCGACATGGCAAGGCGGACCTAAAGCACTCGGCGGCCTCCAAGCGGTGGAAAACATTCTGGTCCGCCTTCAGATATCTACAGGGGCTGACGCCGAAGCAAGTGGATGACTTCATGGCATCCTACGTCATCTACAATCTAGATTGGTCAAACGAAAAACAGATGATCGAGGTTCTGGGGAATGATTATCAGGAAAAGGTCGGGGACTGCCTCAAGGCGTACTATGGGGTCCTCAATCATCTCTGCGCCCTGGGCGATGTCGAAAAGATGTATATCCCACCTTGGATGAGCCGGAAAGCGACAGTGCTCGAGAACCAATTGCTGTATGAGGAGTCCATAGCTCAAGATATCGGCTTGAAACCCGGCGACAGGGTATTGGATCTAGGTTGCGGTCGTGGCCGTGTGGCAGCGCACATGGCACGCTATTCGGGAGCCCACGTTACTGGATTGAATATCGACCCTAATCAGATCGCCCAGGCACAGAGTTTCAACGAGGAGCGCGGCATTCCTAATAACTTCGTCGTCCAAGATTTCAACAACCTGCCGCTCCCCTTCCAGGACGAGAGTTTCGACGCCTTCTACCAGATCCAAGCCCTTAGTTTATGCAAGGACATTCCCGCCCTCTTCCGCGAGGTCTTCCGCGTGGTCAAGCCCGGCGCAAAGATCTCCTTGCTTGATTGGGTCAGCTTGCCAGCGTATGATCCCCAGAATCCCGAACATGCCGAGCTCATGCGCCGTGTGAAGCCGCTAATCGGCGCGGTGGGGACCCCTACTCCCGAGAGCTTGGAGAAAGCCCTAAGAGACGCTGGCTTCGAGGTGCTCAAGTCTGATAACGCCAGTATTGATGGCCTGCAAGCACCGCTGATCGATACTGTTGACGGCTACTTCCGAGCAATGCGTCAGCTCATTCTCGGTCTTGTAAAACTGCATCTCATTCCACACCATTTCAAGACGTTGATTAACCGTTTCTGCTTGGATGGGCTGGCGTTCATCAAGATGGATAACATGCGACTGGCTACCACGAGTTATCGTATCATAGCGCAGAAACCAGCCAAGGACTAAGCTGAGGGGTTGCGGATCGGGTGTCGTGGAAGAGGATGGGCGCGATTGATGGTTATTGGATGGCTTACAGCAGGAGTTCTTTTCTTTACTTCGATTCGACAATACCCTTGACGGCACAGCGCGGACGGTATTTCACCCTTTCACGAAAGGACATATTGTATTATAATAATCCATGGGCTTAAGTACATAGTTTGGGCTTCGGCCTTTGAATCAATCATATCATAAAACACTGTCGTCTTCGACAGTAACTTCATATCCGCAATGTTCCTTCATGTGTTAAACTTTGTAATATACATTGTTGTACCCCAGGTCAAATCTTCTTACTTTACCTTATTTCCTTAGCGTATAGCCTTTGCCCCTGAAGGGTAACCGGTGGCAGACTTTCTCTTGCACTTGCAGACGTCAGTGGGACGTATCCGTGTGACCCCATTCGCTATGTCCATGGGAGGCAAAAGATTCTCGAAGGGAGCTGTCATTAGTATAGTTGGCACCGTAGCTACGTTACAGGATCCTCTGAAGGGGAATGAATGTATTGATATATAGGATTAGTATTCCGACACATAATTCTGGAGCGCTAATACATATCACATATCACATATTGCGTTGTAGAGTCGAGTGAGCTTGCAGTATACTTGTATATAGGCCTCTAGATACAGAACGTCTGTAATCCGTATCATAGTTTATTGCCACGGATGTGCATATTACTATCAAGGCACAACGCGGCAGACAAGAAGCTTTCCATACCGATCCGACCATTTAAAGATGATAGTCATCCTTAGAAAGAGTAGATGAGATTGTATGAGTGTGAGAAATCTAATTTCCTCTTCTGGGGACTCCATGTCTGCAAGAAGCTTGTCGGGTTCGACACCTAGGAGAGCACGCCATGCTTCGCGGGACCAGAGAATCGGTGAAAAAGCGAGATTTTTTGAACCAGAGATGCTGTGAAATGACTGGTATCTTTCATTGATGTTATATGACAATGGATATGAACTAGAGATGTTACCAGTTTCGTCGGTTAAAGCTCCAATCTGGAGGATCAGAGATAAGAGTCAGATTTTCTAAAAATGCACTGTCTGGTTGAATCCATTCAGGGAGACTCTGGCTTACTACTTGTAGATTCAACCAGAGCTTCAGAGATTTCCCACACTGACCGCAGGCTGCGGTAGGAAAGTTTGAAAATAGCGGCATATTACAGCTGCGTTTGGATTAGACACAATATGTAACCATGGGAGAGCTACAACAGACCATCCCGTGTTGTATAGCCTTCGACGCTTGTAAAGAGAAACAAGGTTTACGGCGGTTATCATAAGATTCATATAGCCCGTATAAGTCTCTAGTTCCACGTTAGAGTACGATACGTAAATGGAACTTGTAGTGTCACCATGAGGCTGGGCCCGAATGCTAAAAGAGCGAGAGGGCTCGATCGTCAGCGTACAAGTGGCTAACCCAGAGGATCAAGTACTCACGACTCGTCGAGATCGGCTAAGGTAAATCTTAATTTAACCACAGCGGATTCAAACGTCTTAATGTCGAAGACTCAAAATGAACGTTAGCCTCTTACTGTGCGTGAGGGTGCAATAGCAATACCATCTTCGGTGTATTGTTGGTTGACGAACTTCGATAATCTTCGAAGTGACTTGCGAAGCCATTGTGCCTCGAGTATGTCAGGATCTACTTCTATAGTGGTTGCTGCCGTCGTAGAAAGCCGTGAAGTAGGTTTCCATCTAGCCCCAGACACAAGGAGTACCGTGGAGAATGGTGTCCACTTCCTGGAAGACAGCATCATCATGCCATAGAGCGTTAAGATTGCTTCGCCCGATTCGTCACAGACTCCTATATCGACCTTCTCCGTCGTTTGTCCTCTGGAATTTGTAACTTTGCAGGAAGTGCATTAGGTCGTAATCTATCACGAGGCATTCACAGACGTACCGCTCGTGATATTCCCGACGACCTTAACCAGGACCAGAACGCTCGGTCCTTGCCCACTTCTGGCTGACTCTCGTAACTCTCCTAATGAGACGAGCCCGGAGGGTGAATGGCCTTCTCTGTATCCCACCGGTACCCTGCAAGCTTTCGGTAGTAATGTATCTGGGTGTACCGTCACATGGCAAGTGGAGTCGCGCTCGGGAAATAAACTAGTTGTGAGCCTTGCAGGATTGTCTTGAACTTTCGTTGTCTTTGGGGACACATGAGGGGCCCAGATCGTCAAAAGCGAGCCGATTCCGATCCTATATTCCGCATTTATATACCATAGGTTGATCTGGGGCCAATATTAATGAAGGCCCTGTTAAGGTCAGTAAAGATGGCAATCATACTAGGATGGATCCGGTATTGTCCTTGGCGAGAATCTTGAAGTAGCCCTTAGCAGCACGCTGATTTTGGGGAGAAGCGCACACATCGTAGATACTGATCACTCTAACGGTTATCTTCACCTTCGTGGGCCCTGGATCGAGGTTTCCAATCAACGAGTCTTTGTACTCGTGACGTGATTGCCATGCATTAACAGCGTTGGTAACTTCTCCATCATCTCCGGGACATTCCTCAACACTGATCACTTTTGGAGTGCTGCAACCCAGCTTCCTCTCCCGTGTTAAATAGCGTTCAATTGTGGCTCCAGGGCCCATCGTCGTGTCGTTTTGAGTTGATAGATGAGGCAAGCATACAGACTTCAGATGTGACTGAAGATATGTGGGATGACTAGTTACGATGTGAGATCCGGACCATGAGCGGAGGCAGGGTCACGTGGCGGATTACGGATATTCTCAGTTCTACTGTGGCACAGGAATTTGCAATATGTATAGGGTACTGCCTTTGAATTCAAAAGAGCGACTAAGGACCTGTACCTATAGTTGTACTAGAGAGAAGACCACCTTCTACGACGGGCGTCGTAGATGCAGGGGGACACTGCTTTTTGAGAGCCCGAGAGAGAGCCCGCAAGAAGTGAACAGCTCGATTATGAGAATCGAGTCACTACGCTAGCTATCAGCATGTAACGAGCTCAGAACAGCTTGTGCTCCAGAGTCATATCAGACTCGGGCTGAAGGCCCACGCAAGCACGGAAGATGTTCGTGAGAGCGCTACGCTGCTTAGCCAAGGCATTGACAACAGGGGTCCCGGGAGGAGTCAGAGGGGCTTTGAGCATATAGCTGAGAATGCTCAAGACACTGTGGAATCCCTTGTAATCCTTGGAATCCTCGCTGTCCGCATTCCAGCTGATACGGGTCATCATCTCAGCAATGATGACTAGGTCGATAATCAGGGGAGAGGCCAGGAGAGAATCCTCGCAGACGTTGAAAATACTGATAGTCTGGTGGCCCCCCAAGAAGATCTCGGCGTAGTATTCATCCAGAGCACGCTTGTTATCGCCGACAGCAGGCATGTACTTGATGACGACGGTGTGGTCAGGATGCTCTCCCTTCTTGTAAAGAACAGTGTTAGCGGCGACCATATCGTCAACCACATTGGACTTGGAAATCTCCTTCGAACGGAACTGCTTCTGAGAGCTAAGGTTCATTCCATCATTGTTGCCCAGGTGATTGTAGCTGGCGATAGAGGTAAGTTTGATACCAGCGTTGATCAGGAAGTCAACTAGCGCAGACTTCATCTTCGTCTGACCGGACTTAAAGTCATCGCCTCCGATGAAGGCGTTGTGCTTCTCCGCAAGTTGAATGGCGCCGGGCACGAAGGTGTTCTGGGGAGAGCCATTGATGAAAGGAACATTCTCCAGGATGGAAGCAACAGCGAAGACGGTTGACGGAGAGACTTCCTCATGGCCGCTCTTGATGGCATTGATCAAGTTGTCTGCGGTGTCATTCACGCCAGGAACGATATCCGCGTACCGCTCAGTGTTTGCGGTCCACAGAACAATGACCTTGTCCAGTCCGTTCTTAGACTTGAACTCACTGTTCACTTAATGTTAGCAAGGCTTCGCGCTTGTGCAGGGAGAATTTACACACCGGATATCGTTGCGGAGATGTTCTACATGGTCCCAGGATGCCTTGGATCCGTTGATAACGTTGTCGGCACGGGCCTCCTGATTGGCTGCGATGAAATCAGGGTAGTAGATGCTAGGCAAGGGCTTCATCTCGGCCATCTCTTTGCGCACGAGATCCTTCAGGGTCGGCTCGAGAACCTTGGCACGATCCATGGAGTCGGCAAGGTTCAGCGAGCTGATATCCCAACCTCCCACGACCAGATCATTGGGGTGCACCATCGGAAGGAGGTCGTGGAAAGGGATGTTGATCTCCTCACCGGACTTAGGGTCCGTTCCAAGCTTGACCGTGGAGCCCATAACGACCGAGCCGTAGTAGTTGGCCTCACGCTTACCCTCGCGAGTATCCCAGGCCAGACCACGGCGGTTGGCGATGATGCCCGCAGTCACGGTGGATCCATTGTTTCCACCCCAACCAACGAGCATCATGCCCACCTTTCCGACCTTCCTGTCGACCTTGAAGTGGTAGGTGTCGGTCTTAGGCTTTGCGACGAACTTGTTGTCGACACGAACCACCTCAGTGGTGTGGTAGGCGTACTTAGTGTTGATTTCATCATCGCTGTAGACCACGTTGGGAGAATCGACAGTAAAGAGAGGAGAGACTTGGGGGCTACCCGACCCGTTCACGGAGCCATTGGCCACATCATTCGCATGGGGAGCCATTGTGCAACGTCCGAATCAATCGAGAAAGTGTATGTAGTAGACGTGCTTTCTCGTTTAGGGCGTGTAAGGTAAATCCGATGCCCCTCCGCGAGCGGCTGAGCGTCGGCTTCCGTTGAACGGGTGGTGCCGCCTGGAAAAGGTCATTGTCAGCGGATGAATGTCTCGAGAACGACAGCAGAAGCAGCCGATATAGGCCTCCCGTGGGCTCGAAGAGGTCACAGGTCTCAATGGCCAGACAGGAGGAGGCGCGTTATCGACACCAAGACAGCACACTTGTGCCGCGTGGAAGGGCGTGGGGCTACTTACGAGTTGAGGAGTGTGGAAAACGTGGTGGCGGTTTTTAGATGATCACTTTAGAGATAAAGTGACCGAGACTGGGGGTAAACAATCGATATCGAGGAACTGGGAAACTGGGGAGACAACCGACTGTTATGGTGGTGAGGGAAGAAGCAGGACTCGGACTTGGACGCGGGGAGAGCGAGCGTTTTGTACTTACCGGGACGGGACCACCGCTCAACCGTTCTCCTGTCCCTGGGCCTTCCGCGAGCTTCCACTCGGCCATTAATATTATTATTCCTGTCGCCTGAAATCCAAACACATCTAGCCTAGAGTTTATGGAGTTAAGCCCGCGTTAGTCGATTTCGTATCACCGGATGCTGCTGCGCTGTCTTCTGGCCTCTGGCGGGTGTCAACGTATTGCAGTGGGCTTTCTTAGCGTCGCTTCTGTGCTCTTGCGCCAATATCCACAACAGACCAACCGCGGCGGCGGGGTTGAATAATGGACCCAGTGTCCTTCTTTGGATAGGTATGATACGTTGTTCATGAGAAGACCCAGAGCACCCTGTGAGATTCTCGATGGCTAACAATAATCCCCCCTCGCTAGAGCGGCTACATCTCCAGTCCTGTCCATGCCTTTCTACTCCAGCTTTCCTACCGTACCTAATAATAGGTATTAGTATGCTATATGTACCTGACAAAGCCTACACTTTACGACGTGTCTGGCCAAATACTAGTATGTGCACGAGGGCAGGATGCCGGATCACCATTGCGGAAGAGCGCTACTGCGGCGGTATTTCTTTTCTCCAGACACGATCTACAGCTCTACGTGAGCTAAACGAAACTCTATTGCTGGCAGTCTCGCTGGGATAGATACCACATGGAAGAACAACAGAATGCTGAGGGCGCGCCGATCAGCAGTAGTATCTTGCCTGAGAGTGTGGACTTGTGTGCTCTCGTTGCTGTTTGTGGAGGACATTATTATCATCGCTGGCTTCTTCCGCCGGGGGCAGAGATCCACGAAAGTTGACTTGCAGGAGATAGTTAATAATAATGTAGCGGTCTGACATAGTTACTCTAACAAACCTTGGTACGGAGTACTCCGTAGACAGAACGGAACAAGAACGGTAATTACTAGGAGTACTGTGATGGCCAGAATGGACCCTGCCTTTTCCATGGAACGATGGATCTGCTACAGTCTTTGTGCTTCCACTTTATACACATTACACACAGTGCAATTGCTAACTATCTCTCGTATTCTTACCCTCGATCTCTCGTATGATGCCCGTGGTTTGCTGGGGAAGTGGGCCTGGGGTACCATAGTCCAGGAGACGGAAAACCGCCGACGTCGGAGATGGCAAAAACAAAATAAACGATCACAACGCACGTGGTCATAAATCTGGCGGGCGGATTCATGCCTGAAGGACGAAGTTCAATAAATCATACAGAAAGAGATAGAGAGAAGAATGGAGACACAGCGGAAGTGAACTTGCCCAAGAATTATGCACTTTAGAGAAACTCAGAGGCTCTGTCAACCGGCAGCAGCTTGGACATCTGCAGCAACTTAGAAAGAGACACTTCCTCTTTGGACAGCTTTTACATGGAAAGTACTCGAAAGACTGGGTGACAACACTACATACCTAGTTGGTTAAACACTCCGGAAAGAGGGATGAGTCTATCTCCAGAGCAAGAATAGTAATAACGACGGTAATAACGATGGACGTTTCTAATTTTACGCTCCAGATCGATCTTCAAAGGGCTTTCCACCGTTTCCACGGACCGAGTCATCACGGGACCTGACAACGATGATCACGAACAACCGGAGAAATTCAATTGCTGCCTCTTGCGATGATGATGCTTGTCTGTACTCCGTACTCTGTACTCTGTACTGTAAAACGGAAATCTCCATGGTCCATATTATTCTATGTATCCGTGCTTCTTGACTGTCTCGTGTCGCTCAGACCCTCAAGTGGAGATATATCTACTTAAAGTACCGAGTATCTGCTGTAAATACACGCGGCTCTGCCGCTGACCGCCACCTCCATTTCTCTAAGTAACAGTTGCTGCTCATGTTCTGACCAGTTACCGCCTTAACTGACCGTTTTGGCTGAGGTCTCATGTGGTTGTTTATTTTGCAAATGCTGAAAACCTTTTTCTCCTCTTCTTATTTTCCCTCAGTCACGTCACTGACTGTTGTTGATGGCGCGAAGATGCCTGGCAGATGCAACCCTCCGATCGCTGCCCCGTGCAATAATACACAACACGCTTGACAGCGCCCACACTCAGACGGGAGATGCAAGACCGCTCCTGAGCAGATCACCGAGTTTGCCGTGTGAATGGCTGGATGGCCACTTGCCCTCATCCCTCAATCGGAAAACCAGCCAAGCTGTCGACCCAGGAACGGGTTGAGTCGCGGGGAGTTAACTAGGGATAGCTAGTGAACTCCCGTTAGCTTTGACGCCGTTGTTACCCCTGATCTTCCCCGGCGTTCTGTTTGGCTCGTGCCCTCGACTCTAGTTGGCGCCGCAACGTCGATTCCTCGCAGGAGTTTCAGGGGCTACAGCCTGGATCGAGCCTGGAGGTGCACGAGACTCCTGTCGTTGCCGCGTCTGGTTAACATGGGAAAAGGAACAAGGCCCGCCAGCTGTGACAATTACTATATAGCGGTCGAGGAAGGTTACGGTAGAATTGCAGTATATCGACCTCACGACACGCGAGCAGTATTGCGGCGGGACATTTGCCCACGCATCCCATCAGAACCGCCAGTGAGTACTCTACCACAACCTCATAGCGTCTATCTAGATCTCTTACTGGATGGGATAGAGTTGGCACGTTTCGCGCAGTTGGTCCGTGAGTCGCTATCCTGATTGGAAGGCTATTATCAGACCCATTATCAGACCCATTATCGACCGATTCATCTCCCGTAGGGCCAAACAGGTCCGTTACATCGAATGCTCCGACTGGAGCTTACGCACTGTCTCGAGCGCGCGCAGACCCCCCCTCTATTATTCTTACCCCCGTCTCTTCACTGTGAAAGGTCCTATTTCTTTCTTTTCATGTTTTCTTTCAAAGCAAAGGCTTAGGCACTGGATTGCCCGACCTTTTCGCGTCGACGGAAAGTCGTACACCAGCGGAGGACCTCTGCACGAGAAGTGGTGTCGCCTTCGATCACTTAATTGTTGTGCAGTCCAACATAGCGTGTTTGTGCGAGCGTCGCGCTGGACAGAAACCGCAATGGCGGACATGGCGGGCCTTTTGCCCACTATAAAATGCTCTAATTGCAATGCTGAAGTTGAGATATCTGCGATGGCGGAGCATGTCTGTGTTCAGGTGCCACAGGGTGAGACTATGTGCTTTGTGTGGTGTGCAATTGTCTGTCAATTTACTTACGGTCTCTCGCAGCTTCGCCTGTCTCGCCGCCTCCAGATCCTGAGGATCCAATTCCCTACGCGCCCCGGTCTCCAGATGCTGGACCTGTGCAGGGGACTGCTTCACCGAAAGCCTCGAGATCAGGTTTACCCCGAATTGACCCTTCAGTAGCGAGTACGTCCGGCTTATTTCTTTGATAATGGAAGAGCTACTGATGCTGTATCTAGACCGGCCTTTCTTACGCCCGGATCCACTTACTCCCGCCAGCAGCAGTTCAAGATACAGTCCATTCTCAGCGGGAAATAAATCACCCTTGCGCAGGCCAGAACGAACCGTGACCTCTCCGCTGCCGAGACCTCCTTCGCCGGAAGTCCTCAATCTGGATTGCGCATTTCCGCCCTTTCCACTACCTTCCAAGTCTAGAACTCTACCGCAGCCGAAGATGGCATCGCCTGTTGCGTCTAAACAAGAGACAAACTCAAGTGATAGAGGGGAAGGCTCTGTTGGCACCAGAGGCAGCTCTCAGACGTTTTCATCGACTCCTGGTGATCCAATCTCTCGGCCATCGACTTCAAATTCCAGTAGACGTCCTTCCGTGAGCAGTGTTTCACGGGGAGCGCGCGGCTTTATGGATGATGAAGCGCCTCCAATGCCCTCTGGTCTTCCGACTGGCTTCACATATGAATCTCCATCCGTCCCCGGAAACGAGCAGAAACGAGCAGGATATGGCGGTCCAGATTCGGAGATCACCGAAGAGCCTCAAAGCTACGATAATGAGTATAGAAGTAGTTCCGCGGGCCCATCTCTGGCACTGCACCGAACCAGAACCTTGCCCGTTACCCAGGACGGAAGATACAATTCCGATTCACTTAACGAACTTCCCCAGAAACCATCTGGAGCATCTGATGCATCCCAGCTAAGACGGCCGACCATCTCCGAGAGAGATGTGCTTCCTATCCCAGAAAATAAGGAATACCGATCTTTTGGTTCCTATGCGACTTCATCGACTGGCTCGTCGCCTTCGGAAACTACAAGTCAAAGCTCCTTCTCCAGCGCGCCGTCGGTATCCTCTAGATCATCGAGACGGAAGCCTTCTGATCTCAGCAAGCTGGACATGGTTCTCAAAGAACTACAGCCTTTCCAAGAGAACAAGCAAGAAGCTTCCTACAATGTTGATACAACTGTCCTCAGTGAGGATTCAGTCCTGGCGCCTCCCAAGATTGGCGAAAGCTTCTATATGCCTGACTCCCCCACGGATCCTGCTATGGAGCAAGGTGGATTGTCTTTTATGTCCAATAATCTCCATAAGCATGACAATGCTCCTGCAGTTCCCCGTCCATCGATGACGAGGTCAGCCACAGAGCCTCTGGCACGACGACCAGTGGCACCAAGGAAGCGTTGTCGTGGATGTGACCAGATCATTACAGGGAAATCTGTGTCCTCTGCTGATGGAAGACTTACCGGTCGGTATCACAAGACATGTTTTGTCTGTTATACCTGTCGTGCACCATTCCAAACAGCCGACTTTTACGTCCTAGACGACCACCCATATTGCGCTCAGCACTATCATGAGTTGAATGGCTCTTTGTGTGCGACCTGCAATACTGGGATCGAGGGACAATATCTAGAAACTAACGAAAGAGCGGGTAGGGGCTCAAGTGACCGCCCCAAGTTCCATCCTGATTGCCTGAAGTGTCGGACATGTCGAATTGTCCTCAGAGGAGAATACTTTGAATGGAACGGCCACGTTTATTGTGAGCGCGATGCTAGGAGAGCCGCAGCATCTACACCTTTACCGGGACGCAGACGACCAACAATGCCATCGTCTCCTCTTGCGCAGTCTTATGGCCCTCCCCCTGGCCCTTCGTCCAGAGGCCCACGGCTTCGCCCTGAGCCGAGGGACTATCTAGGAGCACCTGGTGGTGCCCGTCGATTCCCCGAACGAAGGACAACTAAATTGATGGTAATATGAACTCCCGTTGCGCCGACCATATTATGGTGCAGGTGTGCAACATTTATGAGCACGCCTATTCATGCGATAATCTATGATACCTTCAGTATTCCCATTTCTTCATAACCTTTGAGATTATCTACTTATTCTCAACCCCATGTTCATCTTGCACTTTCGTTATTTACACTTCGGCATCTTACTCCTGTTTAAAGACACACGATATCTATTCTATCATGTTCCTGGACGTTCACCTTTCTTTACCATGATCATTTACCAGCATTATACCCATTCCATTCTTGGCGGACTGTTTGTCCTTGATCTTTAACGGAGAGCCGCATCAGGTTTATAGCTTTCTCTTTTGTCTTATCATAATGGCCAATCCCACCCTGGAATGTGTGGGTGGTATTTGAGCCTGCTTGACATCGATCACTCTATTAGCCTAGGTATTAGTTAGACCTTTCTACTAGGCGATATACCTTACACCTTAGTGTCTAAAATATATTGTTCAGACAAACACCATGTACCTTGTGTAGTTCACTGCGCTAGATAAACCTGACCGCTTTAAAAATCAGCCGAAGTGCCTTATGTATACAACTCGCAGAAACATCAAATAGGAGAGACTATTAATTTTCCAGTAAGTAAAACTTCATCGACGTGCTAAATATTATGGGGAGACACTGTCTTTCTTGACGTGAAGTCTTAGCCAGAAGTCTGCAATTTAGTCTCTGAATTATCGACTCTTAAGGTCAATGAATGACGTGCTGCGTTCGCCATCAGAGAGACATCCCGATAAAATAGGAAGGGCTGGATTAACAAGACCATAAAACGATAGCTACTTGCAAATGATCATTAGTAATACATAGACGTGTACATCTAGAGGTTTGTGATGGATCAATAGAATGTGGATATACAAAACAACTACAAGAAGAGTTATTGTTATCGTGTGTAATAATAAATAATTTGTACAGTATGTGTTATTTCAGGACTGCGTCGATACTCATGATATGGTAAGGATTTAGGTAGTATCTTAATACTAATATAGAGGTATAAATCATATGATGAAACTGTGAGGTATAGATAAGCGGCTGGTTGAGTATATATATGTTCGTGGGATGTATGTACATACATTCTGAAGGAAGTCCGCACATCTAGGGATTTCACTACCAGAAAAGGCTAAGTATGTTCTCTCCGATGAATAAGGTCTGACACCTTTGATGCATCATATCTCCTGTTGATCCATGTCACAGGCCACATCCTGCCAAGACGGCTCGGTAGACGGTTACAAAAGCCGGCCTATACAAATGCAAGGTGTCAGTATGGCACGTGTTCAACCAATCTGTGCAGTTTTAACTTTATTTCCGGGGTGAATCTCTATTATTGTCTTATTTATTGTATCTGATAAGCTTATAGTTGATTTACTATACTGGCTATCTCATGGAAGACCTTTTTCTTTCCTAATGGACACGGAGCTAAGTATGCCGACTCCTTCATCGCACACCATGTGCTTAGGCATCAAATCTGCACCGAAGGACCTGGTCTAGGATGGCGGTTCAGTCTTCGTACACAAGAATAAGGACATTCTCACTGAGCGAAAGGAATGATTGCCTCGATAGGGTAAATCATCAGGCCCATGAGCTATTACCTGCTTATAGCAACTGTTAATTCGAAATCGGTACAACCCACATTGGCACCAGACCCTTCCCCAGGTTCATTTTGGTGAGATCGGATGGCGAACCGTGAAGTGAGCCGTGTCTGGCGCCACTCCGGTTCCACGAGACCACTCCAAAAGAGAGGGCTAGCAAGCTTGCATTACTACATGGACCAATAAGGGCAAGTTTAACCCCAAGAGTCCAGTATTATCCCAAAACATCGCAGGACACTCCCACACGGACAATAGCCCGTTCCTGTTCTCTTCTTGCTATACCCCCGGTAGTTTGGAGGTCACAGGCAATGGCTAATCTATAAGAGACCTTCTATAATGATATGTCAAGGCACTCATCTTCGAGAGATAGGTGAGAATCCCGACGACCCAAAGTTCCTCCAAGTGCTGATATTATCGATCTTCTTCAGACTATACTCATTTTCCACCACGATGGCTGCATCACTCTGGAAATACCTTGGCGGCCAAGTGACGTCTGACTCACCGAACGAGAACAAAGGTGATTTGAGGGCCTTACCTGCGTCATGGTATACTTCTCAAGAGATATTCGAGCTTGAGAGACGGGCTGTATTCTCTAGAAATTGGCTCCTCACGACCCATAAGCTGAGGCTTCCTAACGCAGGTGACTGGTTACGTTACGATGTTGCTGGCTATCAGTATGTACTTGTTCGAGATCGCGAGGGAAAGATTAATGGATTTCACAATATCTGCCGACACCGTGCGTTTCCGGTAGTCACAGAGGAACAAGGATCATCCAGGATCTTCTCGTGCAAATATCATGGCTGGTCTTACGGTCTGAATGGCAAACTTGCGAAGGCACCGGGATACCAAGACCTGGAAGGCTTTGACAAGAGTCAGAACGGACTCCTGCCTATCCATGTCCATATAGACTACAACGGATTTATTTGGGTCAATCTGGATTCCGGTGAAATGCCACACATTTCATGGGAGGATGATTCCAAGCGTATCGATATCAAGTCCCAATTTGAGGACATCAGATGGGATGATTACACGTTTGACCACTCATGGGAAATAGAAGGAAGCTGCAATTGGAAGATTCTGGCTGATAACTACAACGAATGTTATCATCGTCAGACGGCACACCCTGATGTTCAATCTTCGACAGACCTCGCCGGATCCTCCGTTGATACGAAAACCGGGGGTATTATCCACAAGGCCCACTCCAAAGCAGAGCAGATCGCCACTGGACTCAGAACCGCTAGCACTTACTATTTCCCTAACGTCTCTATGACTGTCTCGTATGTACACATATCTATAAGATGTTTACTGTTACTGACCATACATAGGCCGCACTCTTTCTTCATCCAGAGACTTGTGCCCATCTCGCCCACAAAATCGATCACGAGGTATGAGGTTTATCGAAATAAGAACTGCAGTGACGCGGACTTTGAGCTTATAAACTCAATATTTAAACGTATTATGTCAGAGGACAAACGTCTCTGTGACCTCACGCAAAAGGGTTTCAATGCCGGTGACTTAGTCAACGACGAAATTCATCCGCGGATGGAGAAGGGACCATTGTACTTCCAGGGGTTGGTGAGAGACATTCTGGTTGAGCATCATCAGCGCGAAGAGAAAGCGAAGAAAGAGATATGGCCCGCTCGACAGGCTTTGCCAAAAACTGCTTCAGTTACCGAGCAGGATCTCCAGTTCTGTTCAAACTTGGCTTGTCAAGCTAACAGTGAATGTCGTTCAAACCTGGCGGCTCAGCCTGCTATGAATCTTGCTTGGTAGAGGACATATGTATCTGCCCGACTTTCCGCGTTATACGTATTAACCGATCTAACTACATTGTTTCTGCGGTCGTTGGCTCTTTTAGGATAGTGTATTGAGGAATTACTATTGCTATTGATGGACGTATCTACCCTCTTCCCTCGTAGCCTGAAAGATGTAGTTTGTAGGATAATAATTGTAAAGAGTCACTGCAGGTACTGCCTATGGCAAGTATGGCCCCGGTAAAAGAGGTATGGAAAACCATAACACTTCTCAGGGATATTATCAACAGACATTATTAGCGCTCTATTGATGGATGGACTACAACAGTCCGCGCAATATGGACTGTCAATAAAACTAACCAGCTAACTAATTCTCATTAGTGACTGATATGGCGCAAATTAGTGGAGAGAGAATACGGGGCGTATGACTGGCAGTGTACGCAATTACCTAGTAACGAATGCATAAGTGGCTGGTGGAGTGATCTTCAGACTTTCGTTGAACTTTTGCTGTATCGAGAGAATGAGGTTACGGGTATCTTGCGGGGTAAGGTATGTTCTAATGCTGCAAAGACCGATACATTCAAATTTTCCACAACCCCCCCTCTTATTTGGATCAAATCTGAAATTGGCATCATAATATCCCGCTGGTTCCGTTAAAAAAATCGAGTATCTAACCCAAGATGGACAACAAATCCGCCTTTAGCCATCGCACTCTAGAGGTCAGCCAAAGCGTCGAGAATTTCAGACGCTTCTCTTCGGAGAAAATGGTCAAAGCACGGACTTTCTTGTATACCTAGTATACATACAACCAGCCTCTTTAGCAGATCTCAACAGAGAAACGGGAGACTCGTGGTTTTCGTCATCAGCTGTAGCTTTCCCATCTCTCGGCTCTATTGTCGGATCGTCCTTCTTGCCTTTTAACCTACCAAACGCCTCAAGTATCTATATCTTGCTGCATAACTATCTCTTTGTCTGATTGTGTTCTGTTCTGCGATTTGAAACTACTCCAATAATGACGCCACCGGAAGGCACACGTCGCAGGCTGCGCTCCAACCATGCTTGTCTCAACTGCAGGTTCTAGCAGTTCCGCATCCATTTTCACTGTGCCAAGCTTAACTTAATCCAGGCGAAAGAAGACACGTTGTCCGGGAGAGAAGCCTGCCTGTTCGTGCTGTGTACGGCTAAACCAGCAGTGTTTCTATACACCTGTGGCAAGAGTCTCGTCGATAGATAGTCAATCTGTATATGATCTCGTGCCTCGCAATTTGCCATAAGCTAACTGGTTTCATAGAAAGATAGACTTGCGGAGCTCGAAGAGAAGGTCAATCTCATATTAAACGGTAACATGTATTACCATCTAGGACTCTGATTTCGCAAAGCCTTTTGACAAGTGTCATAGACCAACTTGGACGACACGTCAACGACAAGTATCTGAAGAAGCTAGCGAACGCCCAGGGATACAGTCCTCGGCCACTGCTAATTCTGCAACTACTGGGTCAAGCTACAGTACCAATGATACGGCTCTCGTTGATTCTGGCTGTGACTATAGGAGCCCGCAACATTCATCAATGCTAATTGCTACGGCAATAAGTCTTTATCTCGATCACTGCCACAGACAACCGATCTGGTGCTTCAACTTAGAAGAGCTCGGAGATCTAGCGTCCCACTCCGAAGAACTACTTTGCAGTGTTTTGGCGCTTACAATGCGATTTTCTGACGAGCGCGACCAGGAGTATGACTACGCTGAGAATGCGAGGGGCCTGGTCATGCTCCGCATTGCAAACGGTACGGTGGAGCTGGCAACAATTGAAAGCTTATGCTTACTGTCTTATTCTTCTTTCGTAGGTATGAATGTTGTGAGCTGCCTTCTTTAGAAATCAAGTTTGATGTTGACATTGCGACAGATGGACAGATGCAGCTTGGTCGGTTCTATCTCGGCCTTGCTTTTCAACTTTGCCGATCAGCGATGCTGGACCACGACAGAGCATACAGTCTCAAGGATCCACATATGGAGCGCAAGAAGAGAGTCTTCTGGAGTCTCCAGTTACTAGAGCAGACGTATGGCCAACAGAGCGGTCTACTCAGTGTCCCAACGGAGACTTGGCGCCCTCCTTATTTCCCCAACTGTACGGATAGGCAACTGGTGAATGAGCCTGGGCCAAACCCTCCACCTCTGCCCATAGACACCGTCGACTGCCCAGCAGGAACCGAAATAGGGATATGGAGCATGACAATACATTGTGGATGGGTCTGGAGTAAAGTAAGAACATACGTATCTTACTGTGCCAGCAATCGCCTAAAAGAGCCCTGGCGGCATGAGTCGATGTACTCTATGGTGCTGTCCGACCTCACCGAGATCGAGAACAGAACTCCACTTTGCCACAGATATGATTCCGTGCGGTTCTACGAGCGCAAACCAGAGGAAGTAGCGGTCAATCGAGCTTATTGGGTTCCCTGGCTGAAATTTCAGTTCATGTATCATGCGATTCTTACCGTCTTGAACCATCCATTTCTGTATATCATGGCATCGCAGCGAAATTCTAATCTCGCCATTCCAAACAGCTTTTGGAGGAGATCTTCAGAGCAGGTCCTGCTGCATGCGACGTGGATTGTTCGCATGATTGATATGGTTTCGGAAAAGGGGTTGCAACTCTCCGATCCTTTCTTTGCACACGTTGCTGCGATTGCAGCTACCGTTCAACTATATTATTGCTGTGCGGCTGATTCTAGACTCAAATACAAGTCAAGAGCAGACTTAGCAAAATCGAGAGACTTTTTGAGAAGCTTCGTACACTTCTCTCATGCTTGCGAAATTTTGGTATGTCCCCTGCGATATCTATGGATTGTAGCTGATGGTATCTAGAGCCATACTGTCGACAGAATAACGCAAATTGCATCCGGATCAGGCAACGTGAACCACGATGACTGGGTGACATCAAAGATTCATCTCAATATACCACTGATGTGGGATATATTACAATTCAGCTGCACTGACAAATATTCTCAAGCGACGTCGAATTCCAGTATACTGCACCCCTCCCTCATCCCAGGAGGCGCCAGTGAGTCTTCTGAGGAAAACTCCGTCCTTGAGATAATCGTTACAACATCACCGGAGGTCACAGTCAACACAGCTGATGGGGGCCAGGCTGTGCCTCTACCACTGTACAAGACCACCACCTCTTCAACTTCAGATCGTTCCGGTAACAATACCTCCCCAGACAGATTAATTGCACCTGTCGATAGTCTCATGTTCAATACGCCGTGGTTGTGGGCCGATTCCGCACAATTCGGTGATGTGAGCGATATAGGATATCATAGTTCAGCGCCTGCGGTAGGAGATATTGAAGGATCGGCGTGGTGGGATCTTGGAAACCTATAATGAAATGCGTCACACAAGTGGCGATTTGACTGAAGGCGCAGCTCCCATTCCCCTTATCAGGCTTTCCTTCTAGGACTAAGTCGCGCTTGTTACTCTATCTTGGCCTATCTCAACCCCTGAGAGATGACAGAGACATAATTCTGCAGCTGATCATAGCAGGGTCGTAGCAACTTGATATACTTAATTATCCCATGCAGCCTGACACGTCCTAACACAAGAATGACGAGAGCGACAACTTGCTAACCGACCACCGCTTCCAGCTGGCGCACGACGACAATGTCCCACAAATCAATCGAGATTGGATATCAAATACATGTATCCTGCGCGTGTCCTATGCTCCAGTCCTCACTTTATACTACATTCATACAGTCGCAAAGTAGTAATATCGAATTATCCAGTTAGCTTTACTTTTGGGGATAAGATATATCGAGTAAAGCGGATAGCCTTATGGATATCCACTGCTATCCCACTCCCTGATTGTCTGATATAGCGTACTTAGCAGACGAATTTGAGTTGCCTGGCATTCGGTCTAGTGCACCATTCTGATAGACTGCATTAAATAGCTTCGTTATACTCAAGTTATCGTTCTCCCAACATAAGAGGCGGTGCAAAGTGCAACCGAACGCATTTTTAGGCCTAGATTCATCTTCATTGCCTCCTTGAAAGCAATATAAGCAATGGCAGAATCAGCAGATATAAAGTGCCATTCTATAACCATATGAGTAAGTAGGGTTATTTCGTGCTCGTGACATATATTCAGTAAACATGGTCAGAAACTATGATAGGTTAACATTAAAGAAAATATAGTCTTTCCCTTTATAGATTTCTTTTCATTTCCCCTCATACTCTGTAATAGCCTGAGAGAAAATGAATACAAAAGTGGCTGAGCTTATTTCTCGAGTATGTTTGCCGCGTTGTTTTGGCGGACTGCGCATCGTATGAGACCCATTGAATAATCAAGATTTTCAAGGTTTTTGGTTTTTAAGAGCCTATGTGTGTCATCGCATCCAGTTCAACTTTGACCTTGCGTTAATAATTCAATAACTTGATCTTTGATGAGCTTCCATTGCCCGTACTGGTGCGACAGGAGACTGTGCTGGATGTTGAGACAAGACAAAAAGAGAGTGAGTAGAACTGCTAGTAATAGTTAACCAATCCTGGTATGAGGAACCCGATTCCGGATCAGGAAAGCCTGTCCCCGCGAAGGTTCTCATTTCTACTGTACCTAGACTACTCCGTACTCTGTACGGCTTCCCCACATTGAACTCTCAACCCATAATAAAACAAACCATTATGGCATCCACGCTGAGCTTCCTCGTCCATCAGACTTGTGATGCGAACGCGAGTAGACTGATATCGTTCTTCTGGTACGAAATCAAGCAATGCTCAAGATAGGAAAGAACCAAGAGTCGTATGTCATTCGTACTGTACTTTGGAGAGTTACTCGATCCCCAGGCCAAGCCCCAACCTTCATTAGACCCAGATCATACAAAAGGGGACATATGCCAGAAATTGCCAAAGAGGCCACATACGGCCGTTTAATTCGAGATCCCAGCTTGATAACCCGCACGGTCCGTTCTGCCGTTGAAACCGCACACGTGAGCGGTTCTGAGCTGTACAGTCCTGTAAATTTCTGTCGCATAAATAGGACACTCGTCACAGATTACAGCGCTGTCCCCCGAGTTGGGTAGTGTATCGATATATTCCCAGCAATAATGGATCCCAGCCAACATGTTGTCATTGTCGGTGCCGGCATCGTGGGTACCAACCTCGCTGACGAGCTGGTCTCGCGAGGATGGAAGAATATCACCGTCGTCGAGCAGGGTCCGTTGCACATGCCAGGCGGTTCGACATCGCACGCTCCTGGCCTCGTGTTCCAGGCGAATTCATCCAAGACAATGACACAGCTCGCGCATTACACAGTTGAAAAGCTGTTGTCCCTGGAAAAAGATGGCCAAAGTTGCTTCAATCAAGTGGGTGGGCTGGAGGTAGCTACCACACCAGCACGACTTGAAGAGCTCAAGCGGAAGCATGGTTATGCCTCATCATGGGGAATCGAGACGCATTTTGTGAGCGCCGAGAAGTGTAGGGAGATATACCCTCTCCTGGACGAGCATATTGTGCTCGGTGGCCTACACATTCCCAGCGATGGTCTGGCCCTAGCTGCCCGCGCGACGCAGCTGCTCATTGAACGCACTCGCAATGCTGGCGTTCGCTATCTTGAATCCACGCCTGTCACGGGAATAGAGAAGACGGGCCGTAAAGTGACAGGTGTGGTAACACCCAGCGGCACCATCCCGGCCGACCTTGTCGTCTCCTGCGCTGGATTCTGGGGGGTTGAGGTGGGAGCGATGGCTGACGTGCGAATTCCTTTACTTCCCCTGGCACATCAGTACGCGAAAACAACCGCCGTGCCTGCTCTCACTGGCCGTGATGTCAACATCCGCCCGAATGGAATGAATGCCAGCCTTCCGATCTTACGCCATCAGGACCAGGATCTCTATTATCGTGAGCATGGCGAGCAATACGGCATCGGTTATTACGGTCACCGTCCGATGCCAGTTCTTGCTTCCTCGTTGGGCCTAACCTCTAGGGACGTCGACGAGAAGAATATGCCTTCGCGCCTCAAGTTCACCCGCGAAGATTTTGAGCCAGCCTGGAAGCTATCCCAAGATATCTTACCTGCTCTCCGTGAATGCGAGATCGCGGACGGCTTCAACGGCATTTTTTCCTTTACCCCGGATGGCGGACCTCTTGTCGGCCAGGCGCCTAATCTTGACGGCTTCTATGTAGCAGAAGCTGTCTGGGTGACGCACTCGGCCGGCGTCGCACGAGCTGTAGCTGAAGTACTTACTATGGGTTACTCCACAGTTGACTTGACAGAGTGCGAGCTGTCTCGCTTCGAAGAGGTCCAGCTTAGCCGCGATTATGTGACCGAGACATCCCAGCAAAACTTCGTCGAGATCTACGATATCATTCACCCACTACAACCGAGAGAGTCTCCCAGGCAGCTTCGTGTTAGCCCCTTCTTTACCCGTCAAAAGGAGCTAGGTGCCGTCTTCCTAGAGGCTGCAGGTTGGGAGCGCCCTTACTGGTACGAAGCCAACGCAGCCCTAATCAACCATCTCCCGGCACAGTGGAAGCCTATACGCCGAGATGCCTGGACAGCACGGTATTACTCGCCAATCTCTGCAGCAGAAGCTTGGAAGACACGGAATGCAGTAGCAATATATGACATGACCTCTTTCCACCGGTTCGAGGTGTCAGGTCCAGGAGCCGTGTCCCTGCTACAGCGATTAACCACAGGCGATGCTACTATGACGCCTGGTACAATCATCTACACTTTACTTCTAAATGACCGAGGTGGGATTCGCAGCGATATATTTGTCGCTCGACTTGATGATGATCTATTCCAAGTAGGTGCAAATACTGCCATAGACTTGGAGTATCTCACACGAGAAGCCTACCACCAAGAACAGCGAACCCCGATGTTGTGGGTGCGAGTGCGTGATATTACCGGGGGAACAAGTTGTATCGGTCTTTGGGGTCCTCGCAGCCGGGATGTCATGAGTGCCGTCAGCGCAGACGATCTTTCCAATAAAGGACTGCCTTATTTCGGTGTGAAGAGAGCAACCGTCGCGGGTATCCCGGTCATAATAATGCGCAAGTCCTATGTAGGAGAACCAGGTTGGGAGATTCATGCTAGTACCGAGTATGGTGCACGGCTATGGGACGCTCTTTGGCAGGCAGGCAAGCCTCACGGGCTCATTGCAGCTGGCCGGAGCGCCTTTAATGCGCTACGGCTAGAGAAAGGCTATCGAACTTGGGGAACCGACATGACTACCGAACATGACCCATATGAGGCTGGTCTTGGCTTCGCAGTCAATGCAGATAAGAAGGAATATTATGTCGGAAAGGACGCACTCGGTCGGCGCTCCAAACAGACTCCTGCCCGACGACTGCGTTGCCTAACTATTGATGACGGCCGGTCCGTTGTTCTCGGAAAGGAGCCCGTATACTACAATGGCATGTCTGTGGGATATATAACCAGCGCTGCATTCGGATATACGGTACGCAAGCCTATCGCCTATGCCTGGCTACCTAGCTGGGTGAGTGAACGCTATGCCGTTCAGATTGAATACTTCGGCCGTCGGATTCCGGCTACTGTCGCAGCTGAGCCATTGTTTGACCCCGAAATGATCCGTTTATACGATGAGAATACACCCGTCGTATCCAAGGACCAGAAACCCCCGAGGTGCCTTCTATAGAGCACAAATGACGACCACATGTGGGGACTGTCAACTTGTTGTAACTTCAAACAGCAATACATCGTCATGCAGATGACGGGAAGGGCACGAAATTAGTATAAAGTCTCGGACTAGTAGCTAAGCATTCCATCATCCTCCGGGAGTCACCAAGACAAAACGCGAGAAAGCAAAAATAGGATTAAGGGGGGGAGAGAGATACAAATTATGAGCATCGGTGATGAAGCTTCATAGCTCTGATAAATGATCGGTGTATGCTTATTGGCGTAGGTAATACAAAGTAATCTAATTAACACTCTGTGGCATTTTAGTCATAATTTTCGCTCTCATTCCCATTGTCCTCCTCACTTTCACTCTCGCTCTCACTCTCACTTTTATCGGCAATATGTGCGGCAGCAGCATCTAGAAGGATATTCGGGCGACCCCGGCGCCTTGACGCTGCAATAAGCAGGTCGCTGTGTTCGTGGCCTAATTCTTCCACAAAAGCAAGGAGCATGTTTTTTGGGATATATCTCCCAGATGTTGCCCAAATGGGCTTTCCCAGCTCGTCCTTCAGCGTGAATGCAGCATGTTGGCCAGGTCCTGCACGCCAAGCCCGACGTAGGACCTGTAGACAGTAGTGGAAGTATAAGTATCTTGCCGCTGGGCGGAATTTCCCAATAAATTTCAGCTTCCTATTGTCTAGATCTCTCCATTTTATTCCGCTGTCCTTCTCCTCAATGCCGTGGTCTAGTTTGGACCATTCTCTGTCAATGATTCGGATCTTGAAATCGCGGATGTCCTGATTCAGCCAGCGCGTCAACACTTGCTGCGTTGGCTTGTCTGGCAAATCTGGAACAATAACCAAGACTCCTGTATCCAACACTTTCTCGATGACAGTGCTGATTATCAAGCCGTTCTTCTCTGAAAAGAGTTCAGGGGAGGATTGTTTCCCAAAGATTGCGTCCATAGACACTTGGCCATGTTTGTATGAGAATAGATGGGCTGCTGTGGTATTTTCCTTTGCGATAAATTTGTGAAGTATGGAGCACCAGGCATACTCTCCAGTCTCGTCCAGGGATTCGTACTTTTCCAGAAGTCTTGACCGAAAACTGCTCTGGATGGTCGAGTCTCTCTTTCCTGCCCCGGAACCTTCTTGGATGCCGAGGCCTAGAGTACTCGTGGTAAAGAACTTCATAAATGACCCGCGCAAGGTTCTCTTCGGGTCATCGAGAGAGAGAGCTTTGCTATGAGCGCTGAATGATCGAACACGATATTCCTGAGCGCGAATTTGCTCAAATAAGCTGCGCGCTTCTTCACTCTTTGCCCATGCCGAATCTGGTCCTTTGAACTTCGACAGTGATATTTCAGAAGCCACCCGAGTCTTTCGAAGATACATTTCCTCGACATCTGCAGCAGAAGTCCAAGAGTCTCCATCAAAAGACCCTTTGGCCTTTAGCTTCTTCCTCGCTAACTTGGCGTCCTTATCTAACTTCTCCTTCTCCTTCTCTAACGCGGGTATTTCTTCCATTTTCCTTTTTTTAGGGACATGAAGGCGGGGCATATCTACGAAGGCAGGCATCCTGGGCGGAGAAGACAGGTTTCAGCGGTGTACCTTTGGGAAGGGGATATAGTGGTGGTTATAACGATTCCGACAGTAGAAAAACGGTTTTCGAGGTTTGGTATCCGACAGTAGATACTTCGGAAAAGGGGGGATTTAACTGTGATTATGAGAAGGCTGTCGATGTTCAATCCCTCGACAACAGATATCCTGGGGAAATTGATCTAATCACGATTTTAGCACGGTGTTTCAATAGCTTTATTCCGTGGCGGACAGAAAAACTTGATTTATCTCGGAAGCTCGGGATGAAGATTAATGGAATGCTTGGTTCTCGTAGGAATCGAGCTCGAAGCTCTAAACTTTCGTCTGGGCCGTTGAGTATAGACTGATGTAAAGCGGAAGATGAAGGAGGAAGATGATAGAGATCACCTGCTAATCATTTACGGCGAGTGCAAGGCTCACGGCATAAACGGGAGAAGAGGAGCCTGCGGTAGCTAGGCAGCTGCCAGTGAGAAATCTACTTTCCCTAAACAGCACATAACGCGAAACAAGCCCTACCGAGATTACCCGGTTTAAATCCTATAATACAGGGTTCAAGGCATCACACTATTTTCTGTATACTCCGTAGTCAATTTAGTAAACAAGTTCCTCATCTACACTACAAGTCGCACTTGCCGATACTTGGGGATTACCCACAGGCGCACATGCCGCTATAATAGAGAAACAGTAGGATCAAGATAATAGTATCTCACACTGCCTAGAGTCTTTCGATGCAATTCAGTGGTTTAGGATATGGTTCTTAACCTGCCCCGGCCTAAGGGGCAGACAAACACAAAGAGTCTCAAAAGGATGAAGGCAGTGCTCTGTATATGACTATGTCCAACCAGAACAATTGGAAGATGCCGGCTATGGCAATTGCTGCGCCTACTCGTTAGATGTAGGTAGCGAGTTGTGTGAAGGGTGACAGACCCACTACCGCTATCAAAGATATTAGCCTGCATCCTGATTGTCTCTAACGGAAGATACAACACATCCCTGTGGTCTTCTGAGGAAGGCTGTAGAGTACGGCCCTAAATCTTGATGTGCACCTTCAGTCGAGCTTTGTTTTGCAAGCTTCTTCTGGGTAAGCTCCGATATTCTGCGCGGGAGGGTCGACGCAGTTTACCCGTCCGGGCCCGGAGAAAGTCACCGGTGCTGATGAATCTCCAAATAGCCTGACGTGATGCAAATGTTACTTTCTGGGACTATCGGTCGAAACTGTCCATCGGGGGTAGGAAAGGGGGTTCCTCTTCCCCCAGGAGGTACAGCTGACCAGTATGGGATTGTTTTGATCGCAAGGAACGACGACTTCTACTCTTGTTCTCTCATGCGTTTCAAGATACCACGCTGATAATTCTCGATCTCTGCCAGCTCAACCTTGTCTGCGAACCTCGATCATCGTCTTTTTGAGGCCGAGCAGACGGACAATGCTATCCTTGAAATCGTACCCTCTCTTACTCCTTCTACCCCATTCAGTTCAAATCAAAGCAACTTCGAACATAGTTAGAACTCAATAGGAACGTATCCATGGATCGTGTGCCACGTATTGTGATACTGATCGTGCTCGTTCCGCGAGAAATGTAGAAACGTCTGATCGCGGCTTAGGCTCAACCTTGCGATATCATCCTCAGTCATCTCAGGAGGATAACCATCCCGTGGCCGAAAAATGCCGAGAGGTCTAATGCGTGCCTCTGCTGGGATAAGCACTGCTTCCGAAGTGCTGGGTTCAGTATCGGTAAGTGGAAGGTATGGACTTGCGCCGAGTTCGAAGTCCATGTCAAAGGGACTGTGTGGGCCCCGACTGCCTTGACAACGGGGTTTGTGTTCAATGCATGCATCGTTTGGTTTTCGTGTAGTAATGTTGGCCACGCTTTGGGCTGCACTTGACGTTATTCCGTACATTTCTTCCACCATGATAATTCTTTCGCTCATGGTGGCTGCGTAGTCGCGCTTATAAAGCCCTTCGATATGATGCGCTCGACGTAGCAAAGCTAGTGCTGTGCGTCGAATTGTGGGTTCACGACACCTGATACACGTAAACCAAAGTGGCAGGCCAACACTGAGTTCGAACGTGAACGGTGGTTGTGTACCATCACGTCGCGCTGAACCTGTCAAAGCGATGCGGGATTGTTCGGCTATATTTTGAAAATTCGATGTATAAGCGTCAGTGGTGATGCGCAATGGCGATACGCAGACCCCGATGATAACGGATAACATTTCATAGTAAGTGAGGAGAAGGGCACCAGTGCTAGCTTGCAGCGCTGATAAGCCATCCTTCGTGCGAAGAGATTCCATAATGTTAGTGAAAGCAGTGTACCAGCTCTGTAACCTGCTTGACAAGACTTTCTGCCGACTCATCAGTTCTTCGGATATGTGGCAGGCATGCGACTGTATTAGGTATTCTTCGCAATCTAGTTCGAAAAGTGGGATCTCTATGGCTAGGATAACAATGGCTTCCCGTGCGGACTTGAGGGAGGTAAACTCCGGCGCGGATTCATGTTCGGTTTCCTGCAATAGCGGGCTCATTGAAACGCCGGTATTGAGAGTGACGGCTCCAATTCGGATAAAAATCGGGACAATTGTATCCTTTAATAAGGACGTTTTGGTTTCTGTCATAGCCGCATATGCACTCTGGGTCTGTAAAGCGAGTATGAGATGTACTCCTTGACTATAGAGGTGCAAAGCCTCTTCCATACCACCCCAAAGGGCCTCAATGCAGATAAATAAGATGCAGGTGATTAATCCGACAAAAGAGTCCACACTACCGCGCTCGATTCCCCGGCGAACAGCAGATACCGAACGCGAATACCAGACTAACGCGTCTTGTTGGTTTTGATTTAGAGTGCGAGCATGTCCCCGGCGTACAGAGACGAGATCCGGACAGGGATCGGGACTCTCGAACAGTGAACTTATGGAGATCAGGGCATCCCACACGGCGGGTTCACTCCGGCAGACCTGCGGGACGATGGTGAGCCAGAAATCCACATCCAGTCCACCGCCGACAAACGTTGCTGTGTTTTGGAAATAGTAGGCAAAAGCGCGACGCTCTCGCAGTACTGCATTGGATAATAATGACAGAGGGGTGTCAAGGATGGAAAAGGTGGAAGCCGAAGACCAATACGTGCGGGCAATTGGATTTTCGTACTCGCACTTGCGACCTGTGCTGGTGCATCGGAGGCAATTAGGCTTTTCTTCTCCACACTTGACTCTTCGGATTCTAGGGCATGATTAATATTTCACTCCTTTTGCAAGAAGAGAAGAGAAACTTGCTTGCAGGTTTTGCATCCGAGTCTCGATCTCAGAGGTCTAATTGAGGCGTCGTCCAAATTGACTGACAGGCTAAAGGACATATTGGCGATGTTCCAGACGCGGTACTTCCAAACAATATCTAGTCTTCAGATGAGCGTCTGTAGTACCTTTTCAGGGGAACATTAAAATCGTCCGGAAGATCATTCAACCGAAACCGAAAGGCATGTGATGCCGCACTGACGCAGATCTACGCGTTGTTTAACTTGTAAGTATTCTTGATATCTTTCATGTAGTTATCACACAAGAATTAGATGACGCATAAACCCCAGTCCGCGACAAGACTGCTCTCATTTTAGTCCAGTCTAACTGAACTTTGAGAGGAAGTCACTGGTAGAGTACTTATGCCAGGCCCTTTCTGCCGGATGCTGCATCACAATATATATCTGTGTATGCCCCATCAGGATAGCTATGCAAGTTGATTTTGGGGAGTTCGCCTTCTTGCTCTACAAAGGTCTCTGCTATAAAGAATAGTAAAGCGGCAATGTAGTGATGGTTTTTTAGGAATAAGATAGTCTGTAAATATTTTCTTTGGTAAATGAGGTGGATATCGAGACATGTAAAACCGGGAAGTGAGGGGATATTTGCGGCCTCTTAAGCGAACTGCCTGTGCGAAATCGGGGGAGTATAATCTGGGAGCCGATCTTCACTATGGATAATTAACTTAGTCAAGTAGTTTCCTACCTAGCTATAACAACGAAGTCGTGACTAACTAGTGGTGGTGCAATTCGGAGATTGGATTTAAATTTCATGAGATGCCGACACCTTTACCTTTGCCTTTCGAAATTCAAAACGCATAGACTACTTATATATGGGGCGGGCTAAATATAAACCAAGGAAACCGAGCAAGGAAATTAGCCAATAGGAATTGTAGCTTTTTGCTTATTAGCTTTTAGGGTAAGATGGTTATCGGGTGAGTTAAACGTAATTCATTAGTAGACTTCGAAATTTCAAAAACTTTCTCTTTGCGAAATTTAAACCCGAAGAATCATGAAGTCCATAAGAATTTTAAATTCAAAATACTACCCCTATAGTTTATAGTACAGTTTGAATGCTAGAAGTGGACGCACCCATCGTATTAGTATATCTTCGCCGACTACTGTACATGGCTGACGATAATCTTCCCTTACCTAAGAAACCGTCGGCTCATTGCGCATGCTTGCCTCCTCTACAATACGCTCCCAGTGAGTCGTCGCCATAAAGGCCCCTTCGATGAGGGCGACTAGCAATAAAGCTAATGTCGTTCCAACTGCCAAACCCAGAAGATCCCAGTGAAACCAAAATGCCAAGGCAAATGAGATCGGAATCCCAACCTGAACGGAGCGATTACTTAGCAGATGTCCTCCCGATTCGGGCAAAGTGGGATCATGGAGATAACGCAAGATCAACTTACCCCGTAATAGCAGAACAGGGCGGTGACACTTCCAACGTTCTGCTTTCCCAGTCCTCTGAGAAGGCCGTTACAGGACGTTGCCAGCGAGTCAAAGACCTGCGAAACTCCGACCATCGGTAAAACAGCACTGACGAAATGGATGACATCCGGGTTTTCGGTGAAAAGCGCAGGAAGCTGGTTCCGTAGCGTTCCTAAGAGAATGGCCACAAGGATTCCGAAGACAAAAGCAGTCAAGATCGATACCTTCGCTGCCCTTTTGGCTGCATCTGCGTGGCCTGCGCCGATCAACGTTGATATCCTAGTCGCCGCGGCAATAGAGATCGGAAAGTGAAAGTTGAAAGCGATCGCACCTAGTGTTGCGATCGTTGACTGTGCGGCAAGATGCTCCACGGAAATGAAGCTGGATGCCAACGTGAGAAGCTCCCATGCGAGCAGTTCGGCTTCCACCATCACCATCCCTGGAAGAGCAAGTCGAACCATTGGCCACCACCCGTGGAAAACAGACCGCGTGAAGCCATTCCAGCATTCGGATCCTGCGATGCAGGTGATGTAGACGGCAAGGATGACGGGCATCAGAGTCTGGGCAATGACGACGGCCATTGGGGCTCCGAGAAAGCCCCAGTTGAATGTCTTCAGGCTCAAGTCAGTGACCTTGGAGGGAACCCTGAGCAGCAAGTTTGAGGGGTCGGGGACATACCCAGACGAAGAGATAATTGAGAACTGCATTGAGTGGTGCGCACAAAATCAGAACCCATACGGTTGCCGAGAAGAGACCTTGCGCCAGCATGAATCTCTTCCCACACTCAAATGCCGCATAGCCCGGCGCGCCCAATACCAGGACGCGGAGGTACAACCCAGCCATCCTGGCGATCTCGGGCTGGATAAAGAGCTTCAAAAGGCGATCTGCGCAGAGCCATATGGCCGCGATCGGGATCGTCATGAACCACAGGAAACAGGTCATGCGCTGGCAATAAAGGCCGACGAGATCCTTCCGGCCTGCGCCGTACGCGGACGGACACAGCGTGTCGAGGCTTGTCGCGAGGCCTTGGTAGATTGCATAGCCAGTAATGTTTGCCGTGAGGCCCGCGACTGCGGTGGCTGCTAATTCGATCTTTCCAATATGGCCAACGGCAAAAATGCTCGCCGCCGTGAACGAGTACTCGAGCAGAAACGTGACAATCAGGGGAGCAGACCGGGTTAGAAGCAATTTGCATTCCTCGGAAGCGACCGCCTCGTCTCCAGGCGGCAGGCAGAGACTCTCCCCGGAGGACGGCGAGAAATCTGGGGGCACATCGTGGTGGTGGCGGTGGTGCTTCTGCCGTGTCTGGGGTGATTGCTCGGCGAGAAGAGGCGACGTCTCGGAGGGAGTCATCGTGGGGTGAAGAGGAAAAGAGCTGCGAACCGTGGGGCTAAGGAAAGGACAAGCCCGTGAAAGACGCAGAAAGTTGGATGTTGGTCATGCAACTAACACTACCTAAAATATCCAGCGACCGCTACTTACGGAGTACATAGAGGTTGCCGTGCGTAGTTCCAATCTCCTAACCATTGTCCACGTAGTGGAGTATCGCCAAGGGTGAAACCTAGCGGAATCGAGTTCAGAGATTGCTCGATGATCTCATACAAGACTGTGATTGACCATATCCAGACAACAGAGAACGTGAGCTGGGGGACTTCAAAAATATTGATTCTGATGCTTGACAAATGCAGACGGATCTCTGCCACCACGCAAGGGCGCAACTGCTCTAGGTACGAAGTACTGAGCAAATTACCGCGGAGATCTCGGTCGATCATGTCGATCTTGCATAGAAAGCAGATGGGTGAGCTGAACGAGTCATGATATATGTATGTATGTACGTACACACATACGTATATGTATGAGTGTATTGTACGCTAAATGTACTGTACTCTACAGCAAAACCTGATATCATGTGGGCTTTTGATGCACGGAATAACGGAATATTCCACAATCACCTGTTGTGCGAGGTGAGCTGTCAATGGAATGAACACATTTGACGATCACAGCTGACCTCCTTGCAGGTGTACTCGTGAGTTTGGAAAGTAGTCTGGTCTCACCATTCTTACCCTGTTCCATCTGAAGATTTTCAGCCCACAAGTCGCTTTGGACACAAGCATTAGTATTTTTCTTGTTTCCCTTTTTGAAAAGTAATAGCTTCCATAGGGCGCATATTGTACTGTACCTATTTAAACAGGGGCACAGCTTCCCCACCGCCCATTGATGCAATATTTAAGAATATGGAACATGCTCTAGGATAAATGCCTCGTCCAAGCCCATTGCACCTCGTTACTGAACCTTTGACGACGCCATGGCTGTTCAACGGTCCCTCAAGTTTTTGGACGAGCAACGCCTCCACTCTCGTCCACAAGACCTCAACCCAGCCAAGCGTTGGGTGATTGGCGCTGCGATCTTCCAGAATTCGAAATCGGAGGACCCTACTCTCCTTCTGTTGAAGCGAGCTCCCCACGAGACAGCCTTCCCTAACGCCTGGGAACTTCCTGGCGGACACGTCGAAACCACGGACGAAACTGTTGCCCACTCCGTCACGCGTGAAGTCCTGGAGGAGACCTCCCAGGTCGTATCAGAGATCATTGGCGAACTCGAGCCGATGACGTGGGAGTCCAAAACGAAATCCAACATCCAACTCAACTACGTGGTAACAGTTGAACCGGGGGTTACTGTCAAGCTGAATCCCGACGAGCACACGGAATGGTTGTGGGCTCAAGAAGGACAAATAGATTCACTTTTCATGACCGAGGAAATGATAAAGGTCGTTAAGAACGCATTCAAGTTTGCGGCGCAGTCCCTGTAGACGGCTGCTTCGCACTATTGCAATGACGGGGATAAATGGTGAAATCATGTACCTAGGTATAATCATTGACGACGCTTCATGACCAAGAGCATCAATATTGCACCAAACTCACACATGTACATGCGGCACCGATGTCTATATATGGGCAAATACTTCACACATCGCCTTTCAGTGTGAAGCTGCAGACTCATAGTTGAAGACACGTCAATTAACCATATAACTGAAAATTTCAACTGGACCCCCAAATATAATGCAGTCTATTACAAGTACCAGCACAAAACAAGATTCTGGTAGTAACGTTCCTTATACCCATGAAGGATGTGTTCTAAGCGCAGCTACCTCTACTGGCTCCAGGCCTCAAGGTGAAGCATGGCTATTTCTTTCTGACATGATGGATTGTTGTGATACAGCTATCCTCAAGTAAGCGCAGTATCCTCGGATAGTCCAAAAGCAACGTGGCTTACACAATGGCTATCATCAGAGAACACCAAGCGCCCTCCTATCAGAAGGTTTCAATAGAACCAGAAAAGAAGTCGAAGTTGTGAGTGGACAAGCTGCTGGATGATGTCTCGAGACGATGGGCGGGCCTAATCGACTTCAACGGAGATTAACACAGTGATCTGATAGCTGCACTCCTCTCGCAATCGACAGGCTTCATGGTATAATCGTCGAAGAGTTTGAAAAGCGTCTCTCGAGACACTGATGCGGTGACCTGGCATGGCCGCAGAATTCGCCCGAATGACTGTGCTGAGGGGACAGCAGCGCACATTATCGGAGGCACAGTGACACGAGGAAATCGCAATCCTGCTGCCAAAAGAGTTACTGGATGATGTCAAGCGGAGAATGTTGATCCTAAGCTCGTACTGCTTGCCATCCGTGGTAAAAGCCCTGCCAGCAGTGTACAGTAATACCTTGCACTCACCGTAAAGCGATGTGGGACGCGGCGAGGGGTGAATGATTGCATAATAGGCCTGTGTAAGCTATTGTATACTACTTAGATAGACCCGTCCGCTTTACAATTATAGATGGAATGTGTAGAAGTTGATAGCCAGAGTCAAGAATATTCAGCCCAGTTATAAAGTAAGGTAGCTCGTACGTAACAGAAGACGGAGGACGACCAATGAAATTGGCAGCGCCAACTAATTATTCTCTGTAGTAGTGCGATGTAGCTGCACGTCTCAGCCAGCCAGGCCGGGCAAGCAGTGATTCCTCAGCTCTGCCACATCCACAACAGGTTCTGAGGATCAAGACGACCGATTAGCTGATTAGCTGGAGAGATATAGCTCGAACCCTCTATGAAATTCAAATTCAAAACACGGCTGATGAAGCTTTCATAACATCATCCGTCATTGACGCAATTATACGGTGTAATATATGTAAGCCAGATCGACATTATATCCCAATAGATTCACTGACTACGGAAGATCATACTCCACCGAAGGGGCCATGTGGTTAGACATGTATGGTTAAGTGAACAATTGAGTACCTTGAGTTTAGGCCCTTGCAGTGCGCGAGAGATGGAAAAGCAGGTTGTCAGTCCTATGACTCGGAGGTCTGGGCTACAAGACTCTGCAGAGGAAGGATAATAGCTCACTGTAAGACCCACATGAGAATTCCTCGAGGTTTCTGGGACATCAGAGTTACAGTTCTATACGTGCGTTCTGTGGCTGTTTCCGATAGATTGATGATTACATGATCACTGTAATATTTTGTACGAAGTATGATGCCTGTTCCTCTGAATAAGATGTTCCTCCAGAAGCTTCTCGGTAAAGTATAAGTATGTCTATGTTTGTTAGACACAGCAAAGGTCCTGAACAATTTCAAGCCAGCAAGGAAATTAGTTCTAGAGTACGTGTTGAATCATATTCCTCCCATCACGATGTCCCCAATTCTCCAATTCCGTGAACAGCGTCGTCTTAGCAGACAGTCCAATGGCAATCCCCAAGGGGAATCTTGCTTGATAGTGGGCTTGGGTCAAAGAACAAAGAAGAAGGCTGTTCCCTCATTGTTGAAGCTTTCCAAGGCAGGTCTGGTACGCATTGCCGGCGCCGTGGATCCTTTCGTGAAGACCGCACCTATCGACAATCTTCCCATCTACCCCGGAGTGGACGATTTTCTTCGCAACAATGCCACGCCGTCAGTGGCCTACGTGGCGATCCCCCATCATGAATATTCGAAGGTGCTGCCTCAGTTGTTTCAGGCCGGTATAAATGTGTTGAAGGAAAAGCCAGTCGCCTGCAACAGCAGCGAAGCGTTGGAACTTAAGAAGCTTGCCGCAGCACATGGTGTTAAAGTCAGTGTGCTCTGTCAGCGACGATTTTCCCGAAGATACAACGCCTTGGAAGGATGGCTTCCTCTGCTTGGAAAGATCAGTTCTGTCCAGGTCGTCGAATCCATTGATGTCGCCGAGCTTGCGGAAGGTTGGCGAGCACACAAGGAACTTGCCGGAGGCGGTGTTGTGATTGATATGGGCTACCATATGCTCGATCAGCTCATTGGTCTCTTTGGTCGACAGTTTGAAGTCCAGCATGTCGCGCTGATGAAAACCCGTCACGGAGACTATGATGTGGATGATACTGCTCACATTTCGGTCAAATTTGGCGATGCTGTGAACGCGACGATCGTTATATCTCGCTCTGGCGCAAGGAATGAAGAGAAAGTCTCTGTCATTGGAGAGGCAGGCATTTTGACCCTGGATGGAGACCTCGTCCGTCTTTCCCTGCGTGATGAAACCGGTAGACTCTCACCACAAGAGGAATATACTGTTCAGGAGCCGTCTTCCCTTCTTCTTGAGCGAGGCCTAGTCAGCTTCATCGAGAATAACAATACCGACAACTGGGATCTGGACAGAGATATTGCTGTGATGCAACTTGTTGACGAGATTTATCGGGTGGGAAGTGATCAAATCGAGTCCAAGTCGGCACTGAATCCGCTCGCGAAGGCGTGGTCATGGCCAAAGGTAACACCAGATGTCGAGCGCGCCGTTGACAGACAGCTCCACGATACCCTGAGCATCTACAATAATGGGGGTGTTTTCGGCCGTTTTGAGGAGGCATTCAGGACTTTCCATGATACCCCAGGTCACTATGCCCTGTTGCACAACTCGGGCACAAATGCACTACACGCCCTTTATTATGCTTCTGGGCTCAGCGCTGGGGACGAGGTCATCGTTCCTGTCTACACCTTTCATGCCACCGTTTCGCCACTCATGCATTTGGGGGTGAAGCCGGTGTTCGTTGACGCCCACCCTGAAACCGGCAACATGGACCCAAATAAGATTTCCAGCGCAATCACATCGAAGACTAAGGCCGTCATTGTTACCCACATGTGGGGTGTTCCATGTGCTATGGAGGAAATTGTTGACATTTGCCGCAAGAATGGTATTCTTCTGCTTGAAGGTAAGTACTAAGCATTTACTCCTATCATAAGCCATGGCTGAACTGACGGATTGATAGACTGTTCGCATGCCCATGGTGCATCAATCAATGGGAAGAAAATTGGAACTTTCGGCGATGGTGCCGCCTGGTCTATTCAGGGCGACAAAGTACTCAGCGGCGGCGAGGGAGGAGTTTCCTTGACCCCCCATCCGGAAGTTTATTATCGCCAGCTGATCCACGGCCATTACAATAAGCGATGCAAGGCGGAGATCCCCAAAGATCACCCCCTTCAAGATTTCGCTGTTACGGGCGCCGGTCTGAAGAACCGGGCGCACCCGCTTGCGATCTCCATTGCCAACAACCAATTGGAGAAACTTCCAATAATCCTTGAGCGCAAGTCGCAATGCGCAGCCCACTTCATCGACGCACTTGCCCAGATTCCTTTCTTGAAGGCGCCCGTGCTCGAACCGGGTGCGAAGTCGGCATGGTACGCTCTGATCTTCCGGTTCGACGAAGCCCAGGCTCCGGCCGGGTTGACCCGTGAGATCTATGTGCGAGAAGTGATGGCGCGTGGGATGAAGCACATCGATATCCCCGGTTCAACTAAACCCCTTTACGATGAGGCCCTGTACCGACGTCCGTGGGAGATCTTAGGTCATTTGTATTCACCAGACGCATATGTTGCAGAATGGAGAGCTGCCGATTTCCCTGGAGCCGTTGCATTCCACTCTAAAGTGATCAAATTGCCGGTGTGGGCGTATGAGGAGGATTGGGATACGGTGGAAATGTGCGCTCAAGTGATGCTTGATGTTGCCCAAGATTTCATGAAAACTCCCTTGAATTAGCTTCCGGGAACAGAGGCAGATGGGGGTCGACTGATAGAAACCAGAGACCGGCTAGTGCGAGCATAGTTTGTCACATATAAACGATACTAGTAGACGAATGACTGCTTTTATACCTGGCTTTTAGCAGTAGCATTTTTAGGTAGCTAGTGTCTGTTTCAATGTGGCTATATGCCCGAGCTTCCCGGAAGAACCTATCAAGTTCGTGCACTGCATCGTCTAGCATTTGTGGAACATGGTTCGACACCCTCAGATGCCGAAGTTGCTATCGAGCCTGCTCTTTGGTATAGTCGGGAAACTAAGTAGGATGCGATTAATTTAGGTAAAGCGTACAATGACCTTATCGACTTACAACTTTGCCTACGTATTTTCTGGGACCATTGCTCGAAAGCCAGAATACCTGTACAGTTTTCTCATTTGTCACTCTTGATTTATCGACTAGTTTTCGAAGCGTCCAGTTCTCGGCTTCGGGACGGAAATGTCAGAACTCTTTTTCGTCATTGGCTTTTTCTCCTTTGAGGAACTCCGGACACTTGCCAGAGAAAAATAAATCTGGTCAGGATTTTTCTCCATCCGTGACGAGTACAGAGCAGGTTTCCAAGTAAATCGACTATAACGCTAGATCACAGATCAAATATCTGAAGTTGTTGGCGAAAAAAACAGCTGGCATTATCCACGCGTTCAAGAAGGTCGAGGAAGACAGTCTTTTTAAGAACGGAGATCGCTACTTATCCTGGCGTAGTTCATTCATCCCAATGGTCTAACTTCGTATCGGCCCCCATTCTGGACCCGCGCGCCAAAAATATACTCTCTCTCCAACCACTTATCAGCTTACTCCGTATAATAAATATACCAATTACTGAGTAGGGGTCCTGGCACCTGCATACCATAGTTATCGGGACGACGGGACCTGACTTCGGGAGCCCCACTACCTTAGAACGAATGATAACTACAGTACAATACTCTTTCATTGAATAATGGGCTTCGGGTCTGCATAAGACCTGGTGCATCCTGCAGTGCCCGACCTGGGGTTGTCCCAAGTTTAGATACTACTGTTGGGGCGCAGTGGACTTTTGCAAGGAATACGGAGTAGTTTAGGTGGTGCTGGGGTGCGGTGATTAGCGGCGGCCAATAGTTCTCTCGAGTGTGTTGTAGGGTTCTTCCTGTCGCGATTATCTATACCCCACTTTTAGTTATTAGTTCACACAAAAGAAACAAAGAGAAGTTGTCAAGGATTAAGTACAGGATAAGACAACCCAACCAGTAGTAGTTCAAACACCGAGTCCCAATGAGAGGTTCTTTCGTTTCCGGAATAGTGCTATCACGGAACACTGATCAGCCATCGGAATACCCTCTCCATATGGCGATGATATTCCAGCTAGATAGACGGAGTCACATCCCTATTTAAATAAGCCACAGTTCCTGCATATGCAGGAAATCAAATGCATATACCGCATGATGCCTTCGGTTGTAAGTAGATGATGCCGGCCGACGTACATTTTCCTTGTCCATTTAACAGGTCGCCTCTGGCAGGCCTATCCGTGATCAAGGACTAGCAACTCTCATTATTTCTCCCCATCACATGGTGGTTGTTTTCACTTCAACATGGTCACACCGACGCCATGCGAGCATCCAATTTTCAAGGAGCTTGCTGCTCTGCAGGAGGGAATTGACGTTTTCCCAAACCCCGAAGTATCCGACTATACATCATGTCGAGCATACACCAAGACTGCAACAAGGTGCCAGCTGGGGCTCAAGGGGAAAGCACCACGGGCGAACGCCTTGCTCTCTGAATTTAGAGAAATGGACAAGTGCCCTCGTACCGACATTTTCTATCACCAACTTAAGGAGTTTCTTACCATTACACACTGCGGCAAGCATCAAGAAAAGCCTCTAGCCCGACTTGACGAATGGAGGAAGCAGCGGGAGCAGGCCGCATCTTCGTTATCCAAAGATACCTCTTCGACTGCTACGGGTACAGATTACTTCAGTTCCATAGCGTCCCTTTCCGAAGCGGGCAGCACGGCAACCTCTATCCTGCCGCTGAGTATCGAACAACCTACTGAACAGTGTACGGATAGGAGCCCAAATGACAGCATAGACAATATTGTCATAGAAGACACTTTGGATATCACTTTAACGGAAGGCCCCAGCTCTCCGGCGTGTCAATCTATAATCGATAGCTTGTCATCATCTAGTCGGTCTCTAAGGGATGCACCGAGTAGAGAACAAGCCCCGGAGATCACCCACTGCGAAAGGGTCGAGGAACTTGAGACAAGTGTTGAGGATTTAACGCTTTCCACAAGTCATCACACCACGGCAAGCGATGGCTCATGTCACGACGAGGCCGAAGTTAGAATAACAGGAATCGGTCTAGCCTCTCTCCAACGTAAGGGAACACTGCGAGACACTTCGCCGGTACTCAAGGAAATATACAAGTACCTCACCGGGGAGGAACAGAAGGAGGGCATAGTTTACGTCCTCGAGCACGTTGAGATCAAGGGGCTTTTCAAGGTCGGCTGTACTAGAGAAACAGCAGCAAAAAGACATCATCAGCCTGGGAACTGCTATGGGACTAACACAAAGGTCATTCACGAGACCACCGACGGACCCTTTGTCGGTGCCCAGAAGGCGAAAAGGCTTGCTCAAGCTATCCTCCGGCATCATAAGCTACAGGTCATCAAGTGCGAGCAGTGCGGAAAGGGACACAAAGAGTGGTTCTGGGCCCAGAGAGAGGTAGTGCTCGACACAGTGAAGATTGTAGAAAGGTTTGTGCAGTTGCCGGCATATACTTTGCAGGACGGCAGGATGAAACTATCGCCAGTTGCAGAAGAGAGGATGGAAAAAATGTGCAATTTTTCACTCCAGAGACTAGAAGATCTCACTGCTGCTTGGGACGCTCAATTCGAGGGTGAGACGCACGGCCCCGTCATAGAAGAATCATTGCACCACAAGGCCAGAGAAGAAGCTCTTCAGGTTCAGAATGACTCAGGATCACCAGGCGCAACAAAGCATGGCGGTATAAAAAGCAAATTCACCCAAAATGCGCGCAAAGCCCTATGGAAGCCGGTCAAGGAATCGATCGATCGATTACTGAACCGATCACGGGAAGCTACTCCTGAAGCCGGAGAAACTGAAACAATAGGGGACCGAACATTACACCAGACTAACGTCTCTAGCTTACGGTAAAGTTCGGGAAGCCTTCGTCGGGCTTTCATGGGGCTTGTTTCCTGAGGAGATCAGGGCTTGCCAAGGAGAACCGAACTGCACCATGACGATAGTTCGTGTAACTTCTCTAATTTATATACTAGAGCAGCAGAAAAGGCGTGGAAGGATCTAGGTCAGGATTGTTTTGATAGTTTGATTCGGTCTATGAAAGCCGAGTTCGCACATGTCTGCAGGCAAAGCAATGGTATTACTAGATACATACTAGATGCTAGAAAGATTGCCCTGCTCCTATAACATACTTGGGTCAAATAGCTGCAACAATAGTACCCGCCACTGAGAAAGCAATCCATATTACTGCGAGAACCCCAAGCCTAGGAGGACAGAACCTAAGTCCGGTTAGCTACTATAAATCAAGTAACTGGGTGCGTAAATACTTACTCTTCCGAACTAAGCTTAAGAAATACACCCCAGAAGAGCCACTGCGCGATCCAAAGGAAAAACATGTAAATAACCGTAGCCGCATATAATTCCACAAATAGTTTCTGAGAAAGCCAGTGATCTTGACTTTCGACAGAGAAAGTGCCATACTTCATATCGTCTCTTCCTTTGCACTTTGTCAGCGGTGTTTCTTCCGAGCTCATACACTGATCTACCCAATAGGGTGCGAAATTCTCCTTGAACCGTGCGTAACGTTAGGTCATCAGCTCTTCCGCAATGCTCCATATTGTCTGCTTGCCTCTCTGCCACTTTAGTAGATCGAGGCTACTAAATCTGACCAACCGATTCATCCTACGTGTAGTCCGCACCAATTGAGCGAGTGCCAGGCTAATGCTCAGGAGCCACATGAGTGCTCCATCATACATAATTTTTGCTAGCCCTTGTCTCTCCGCTCCTTCCATACCTCCAAGATAGAGGTTATGCTCCCTGCCATAGTTGATGGTTGTAGACATATAATATGATGAGGCAAACTGGAGTAACACTTCTGCACATAAAGAAGACCCAGCGGCAGAGAAATTCATCGTTTCAAAGGGTTGTACACCAACCAGCAAAATTGTTAGCCAGGCGGGTCGAGGTATTGAGCACCAGAGGAGCATTAATTGGAATAAGGGGACATCCTTATAGCCAGGGGTTGTCTGGACGAGAAACACATTGAACCAGTTTGCAAGGAGTTGAAGAGCGGTTATGATGATTCCCTTGAACAACCAACACCACGGGCGTGAATGTCGTGGAAAATCGCGTGCGATTCGACGCATAACTTTTTGAAGGCTGAGGAACGCAGCAAGAAACGTAGCTATATTGACTAGAGCAAAGCTTCTGAGCTTCCATCCATTTGAGGCGCATGTTTCCGTTGGTCTGATATATCCCAAACGGGTAATATGGGCACTGTTTGAACAGTTAGACGGTTTGACAGTCCATCGCCATGGAATCATGTCGAGAGACGTGGGAGCGGCTAATTGACGCCAGTTATGAGGTAGACCATGCCAATCCTTTACATTTCCACAAAGGTCGCGAAGCCAATTGATATAGTCTATTCGGGTCTCGAATATCTGGCACAAACCTCCGCAGGAATCGTAGCTGATGTCGCGGCAAAAGCAAGCCCTATCAACTGCGCGCTTAACTTTGCAGTAACCATCTAAGTCGATCTCACAAGCATCAGTCGCACACTGATCAGGAAGCTCGATCACCTGCTTCGGCATATCCGCGACACACATGGGCCAGTGCCAGTCCTCAATAGGGATGTACGCAAATTCGGTGGTTTTGAGCTTGTCCGTCCAGTTACCAGGTAGGGACATCGACCCACAAGTGGCATTCATCCATAGCCGCTCCTTTGTCAGGTCCATTTGCCCTGACCCTAAGCAGGGTTCGCTTTTTAGATCTACAGTAAAGGCGTTGCAGAAGCACTCTTTATCAATATAGTCGCCGTCTCTGATGCTATATCGGGTGAGATCGTAACCAACAGTTTCGAAATCCAGAGCGATCATTGACTGTAGAAATTCACTATATTCCCAAGGACGAGCGGCATTTCCGGTATGTTGGGTAGTGCCAGTGAACATACAGGAGGCTACCACATGTTGAAATCGTTCCATCGACTGAGCGGAAACCGAGCCAGTCAGACATGATGGTGCATTATAGATCACGCTCAGGTCCGCATAGCCTTCAGCTAGGGAGGCTGGGGAGAGATTCTGCAGCCCGTTCGCGTCGCCAACATCGACAAGCCACGTTCGGCCGGTTACATTCCAAATCCATAGATACAACTGCGCCTTGGCGAGTACTGATCTACCGCAGTAGGGGAGATAACTCTCGAGAACATCAGAGGGAAATGCAATGGTGAGACAGCAGAGCTCAGTCAGCCATTGCTGATGGGTGCAAATAAACCCAAAGTATGAGGTACACTGTTTGGCCGTGCACTCCGTTATGGCATTCAACCAGGCGGATTGATTCTGCTGAGCAATGCATTGTGGCATAGCAGGGAGGTCTTCAGGGTTGACCCAGCCATTGTAATTGTTTGGGGGGGTTAAGGTACGGCTCTTCTCATGATAGTGAATGGCGGCGGTATGGAGAGCTTCTGACAGTACTGCTGTTAGTATTAAGGATGATAGAGTTCGTGGCAAGAAGATACCTACCTCTTGCCATTACCCCGTAAAGCCTAGCCATCAACAATACCAGACACGCGATAGATATTCTCATCTTACTGATGATGTCAAAATACCTTATGCTTCAAAGTGGTGCGAAAGGATAGTCGCTGTGGGCTTCTTGATTGAGTTGTGAAATAATGCTTCTTTGAGGCGGGGTTGCAGCACCTTTGTGACGTTCTGATTGGTGGCTTGAACTCCTGTAGTATCCCCCATCAAGATCGAATAGATCGTAGTTATTACTCTGCATTCTCAGTCTACGATAATATGCCTTGGTGGGAACACAAGTCACTATCTTACTGCTGTATAAGCTGGAGTAACAGCCGTAGAACTAATAGCGTTATTTCTGATCGTGACTTCCTGATGTGGGAGTATTCCGATGCCGTGACCACGTCACCAACCTCCTCGAAGAATCGCGGGCGGCTCCTTGGTTTCATCATCACCATCACCAGCTTCCATGGTACTTTCTCACTATATCCATTTCCAGACCCTTAGAGTATGGAGAGCTTCTAGATATTCAAGGTCGACGTAATCCACCTACGAGCCGGCTGTACCACCGAATCATTATCAATCTAACTGGGGGCAAATGAAGATAGAATATCATTAACAGATTTTCAAACTAGTCCCCCACAAGTCGCTTCCTACGCGACCTCAGCCTCGATGAGCATCTCGCACTCTTGAGGGTCTGGCCAAATCTCAATAATCTTGAGACCAGCATCGCCCAATAGCCTCTCCCACGCGCTTTGAGTCCTCTCAGAAGCCGATAACAACGACATCATATTGACGTCCATAGTGGCTTGACTAATGCTGGCTCCTGTTGGTGGAAGGACAATCTCGTATACGAAAAGCTTGGAGTAACCCTTTACCATAGCCTCTCTGGTATTCGACAACAGTTGTTTCGCTTTGTCGTCCGGCCAATCATGGAGGACGGCGTGCATGAAGTAAGCACGACTCCCTACAGGCTGGGTGTGAGTATATACAAAACTACCTATATGAATTCTTAAGTGCAGCCTTACCTTGCACGGGCTGAGGTAAAAAGAAGTCATGTGCCATAGTCTTGATCCTTTCATCGACCTTGACATTGGCAATTACTTCTGGAAGATCTTGCAAGACGAGTGATCCAGCTGGAAGACCTGGATGCTTGGCAAGGACATAGGAAAGATCAATTCCCGTATTGCCACCGACATCAACCACGAGAGGAGATAAAGCACTTATGTTGGCGCCTTCCAGAAGCTTGTCCGTGTTGTATACCGTCGTCCATGGTGTCTTCCATGCCGTCCACCCCCGCATGAATTCAGTAAAGGTCTCATAATAAGCGGGGCTTCTCTGTAATCGCCCGAAGAAGCTAAGGCCGTCTGGATCACTGTCCGAGTAATTATTGACGTTCGCGTCTGTAGGTTCCCTATAAGAGATCTTTGCCAGGTACTTTGGCAGGTTATGGCCAGCAGCAATAAATTGATATGCTCTGGCCAACCGTTAGCTCACTTGCAGCGTGGAATAGTTGCTCGGAGTATCCATACCCTTCTTGAAGCGCGGCGCGGACCTTGGGACTCTCGTCTCCGATAGCTAATGAAAATAAGGTAGGTTTGAATCTGTCTTCTCTCGTCTCTTCAACTATGTTGACGGTTGCTAGCAGGCGAAAGAAACGACCTATATACCCGTTGTAAGCTTGATAGACAACAAGAAGGTAAGTATTAAAGCGTACGTAGCAGATTTGTATCGACCTTAGGAGTGGTTAATTCGACCAATTCGTCGATAGACTTCTCACCACCCCCAACAGCAGTCCAGGATTCCCAAAGGCTCACATCGATAAAAGTCTGTAGAGCGGCAAATACCACAGGATGTTCGAAGCTAAAGCCCCAGGCGCGCTCGTAAGGCGTCTCCAAACGAGAAAGCAATCGACGTGCAGCAGCGCGTACTTGTAGGCGTTCTACTTCATTGCCGTTAAGCTTCTCTAGGTGGATTGAATCAAGAGCTGCGATAACTTCCTTGGTGTAGAAAGCCATGTTGTATTTCTAGATCTAGAATCTAGTGTTCTAGGGCACAAAATATCAGGAGCTTGGAAGATAACACAGAAAAGAGCTACAGTGTCATTAAAGCAATCCGATTCTCCTTTATATCTTGGTTCAGGATATACCATACGGCTCTATAGTTACTCCGCCGTTGCACGGTACTTATAGTGGGGCAGCGAGGTGTTAGTTCGGAAAAGCGGAGTAGTTGCTTGCCTTAGTATCTTACATTGGACGCCCCCAGTCATCTGGCTGTGCCAGAAGTCACTGCATAAATGCTGGATTCGGAATAGGAATAAATTATCGTTGACAATCTGCGATAGAGATTGACTTAGCTCAGTAGCAGGAACTTTTGAAGAACTGCGAGTGATTAGCTCCCCGAAAGAACTTCCCTATGGGCCTACTTTGTGCTATTATTATAACTTCCAGAAGTACCTGGTTCATGTTGCTATATAACTGTGTCTTGGATTCGTTCCATCGATGCGAAGATAAATAAGCATACGTTGCAGATGCTGCTTCCTGAGTCGGACAGAATCTTAAAGGGTGAAGTTTGGAGCCGTTCCCATCAAAAGCAAGCATACAGGACAGTCGCTCTGTAGTGATTTAATTGGTAACTAACTAACTACCTTTCCTTTGGTTAATCAGCCTCTTGGTATCCTTAACGGCTGTGTTGGCATCATCCGCAACTTCAAAAGAAAAGAAAAGAGAAGAAATAATAAACCCCGTTGGTGGAGTATATAGGATGTACTAGGTAACTTCCGCCCGTTCCGTAACCTTAACCATCTAGGGACTTAGTCCATGTTAGGTATGGACTGGAGCAGGTCTACCGACGGATAAGTACGAGCAGAGAATTCGCCTGACCAATTATTACCTCCTTCAAATCAGGATTACTATGCCTAAACTTTTAACGTTAGAGGGATATGCCATGTAAGGTAGCGAAAACACCCATCTTACCAGATACAATGATATCGATGGAATTATTGGTCATTGGTGGCTATACAGGTCTTATCTGGTGTGTGCATTCTGGACTTGGGCACTTGAGAACCAACAGTACTTAGCACAACCTAGCAAGTGCGTTAGCTATGAGGATCCAGAATCTGCGAGAAGATCTTGGGGGAATTATCTACCTATCCATGAAGTCTCTTCTCCCAACCAGCTTCCAGATACCAGCTCTCAATTGTGACCGAGATTCAAGCTGCCCACGGTGGTCTTGTTAGTCTGAATCTGGTTAGACTGTTAATAGTCACATGATTCTAAGCTCGTTTTTAGTGCTTGGGACTATCCTGTCAATAATATTTGAATACCTAATCAAGCTTTATGGACTTGTCTTGAATTCCCACCCAGATACTCAACATTGTCAGTCAGAATACGTTCCACCAAAAAAGCGAGCGATGCATCATGACGCCATACAATACGATAAGGCGTGCTTTACGGCTGCTAGCTGGGTTCGCAAGTTACGGGAGAGCCTCCCGATGACAGTCCAAGAACTTACGGATCGCTTTAGCGTCAAGGTAGAATATGAGTATCTATGCTCGGGCTCGTTCAACTGCTGTTATCGATTGAAAGGACTACAGAGCATTATTCGCTTCCCGATCCTTGGCAAGAGCGTTTTCCGCTATGAGAAGACTAACGACGAATACATGGTCATGTCCTACCTCGCTCGACACACATCAATTCCTGTTCCCCAAATCCTCACGGTTGGGAGCTCCTCACAAATAGGGCCGTATATGGTACTGTCATTTGTGGATGGAACGCGATTGTCGGATCATCTGAAAAGATCATCTGACGCCAGGATACCCATTCACTTACAACCGGACATCGACTGCACGTTTTTGGTCTTTGTCTACCGCAAGATGGCCAGGGTGTTGATTGAATTATCGCGATGTCAGTTTTCTCGCATTGGCGCGATCCGTCAAGACAGATCGGGGAACTGGATTGCTAGTAAGAGACCAATCACTTTCAATATGAACGAACTGGTTTCCTGCGGGAACTATCCCCCGAAGGCGCTACCGCAGCAGGCTTTCGAGACCGCGCGATCCTATTTCACTGCACTGGCTGAAATGCATATCACCCATCTCCGAACACAGCGGAATAATGCCGTGGTGAATGAGGAAGATTGTCGAAACAAATACGTGGCACGCCAGCTATTTCTCAAGATCGCCAAGGAATTCTCGACGCCCTACAATGAAGGCCCATTCCCCCTTTATTGCGATGACCTGCGTCCGACCAATGTGATTGTTGACGCAGACTTGAACATTCGCGGGGTCATTGACTGGGAGTACTGCTACGCCGCTCCGGCCGAGTTGACCTTTTGTTCTCCCTGGTGGCTCCTCCTCAAGCATCCGGATGAGTGGGACGACCTGACGGAATTTTGGGAGGAGTACCGTCCGCGGCACCACCTATTCATTCAAGCCCTTCAAGACGAAGAAAATGAAATGATTCAACGAGGTGACCTCTCAGAGCACCAGCGTCTTTCGCTCAGAATGGCCCGGTCACTTGAGAACGGCGATTTCTGGTTCTGCCTGGCGGCGACATCCAGTTACGGGTTCGATAATATCTACTGGACCTTTATTGACCAATGGCGCTATGGACCTCGTACTTCCATCGAAGATCGTATCAAGCTCCTCACCCAAGAAGAACAGGACGATCTCGTCGCGTTTGTTCGGGGGAAGATCCAACAGGCTGAGGAGGGCGAATTAGATGAACATTGGGACGCGCACGAAAAGTTAGTTGCCTAACCACAGCAAGGATCAAGTAATTTAGTTCCAATTGGTGTCGCTTCGACCCAGGTGTCAACCAGACCAGATAAATTGTAAGTGGTCACTTGCTCGGTCTCTTCTCTCTGGGGTTATTTCCTATGGTGACATTAAAGTGCAATGGGAGGCAGCCAAGAGACGTGTTGGTTCTATTGTTGGTATGGAGGCATATGTGGAGCAATTAATATCACGCTATTATTACATATAATATGACTGCACCAAGGAATATTGGGTCATAGTGGCACGCAGTTAGTGACGCCGAAGCTGACTGTATGGTTTCACCACGTTGCCCATCCCCTCCTTTTAGCCCCGTTCCGCCTGATTTAAGAGGAACCGACCGGTCTTAAATGTGGCCTAACATGCCCTCATAATCTGTCAATTCAAAAACGGCAAGAGAGAACAGTACGTCTGAATTATCCAGTTCAAGGTCTTTACTCTTCTGCTAATACAATCATAGTTGATTAGAATACATCACTCGAAACCGCGATATCGAGATGCCGGACTCAGGCATCCAACAATTTCGAGATAGTCTTGATGTTCTCTACGATCGTACGCAGACCGACCTGCATCGAAGGAGGTTATTCCAATCGGCATCCGTGTCGGCGATATACCGGACAGAGATAAGACCAAATCGCTTCTGGAATTTCTTCGCCGAGAAGCAGAAAACAGGGAGATCGCTGATAACCTGAGTAAGGAAGAAAAGGACTTGCTATTTGCGGCAGGAGATAGTAGCCGCCGGAGGCGTGCTGTCGCCAGACAATAGATGACTAGCACTAAAGGCATTCGGCTAGGAGGGTGGTGTGCGGCGCGACCAGATTTATTGAATATCTATACTTTATGTATTTAACTTGCACTGTGTAAGCCTACTCACACTCATTTATATAAAGATATATTATAAATACTATATTCCAGGCAGAGAGTTCCCTATAATGTTCTTTGGGCGCATTATATGTTGCTAATTCTTTGTTCCCATGGACAGATAGTCTAGCCTAAAACTTCTGTGTTTGTCTTCCCCGCTGCACATGTCATATGTATATAACTATATTAGCGCTTATGCTTCAAATATCTCTTAGACAAAAACTATATAAACTTTAACTAAATATGTTAAATATGCATGCGGTTTGTATAAAGTATCTAGCTGCTATTCAGCTAGGCTAATACTATTGCAATTATGCGAGTAAGCCTTTTTAGAAGTATTTCTTAGCAATTCTGCTTCACTGAATAAAGGGGATATATAAATTATCTTCTGATCTAGACAATAACATATTTAATTTTTCTAGTTTCTTACAAGTTAAATATATTAATAAATGTCAGAAGTTGCGACAGAGACTACCCCATAGTACTGACGTGGGAAATGATGGAAATGGCAGGATAGGGCCCATGGTAATAATTACCCCACTCTAGCACCTCGCACCTCGTATGCTGAGGTAGCATCTTGAGCTACTACACCTGGCTTTGGCGTAAGCAGGGTTCGCCGAACTATCTATGACAGGTTGGCGCATTTATATGCTAAGGCGCGAACCTTGTTATACGAGGGATGCGCCAATGCCGAAAATAAGTTGCAGAATCCCCCTGTTGGCTATGTGTCGCGAAAGTTAAGGTGAGAGATCTTCCAGGCGGGGACGGGCGGGACTTCTTAGACTTCTTGATAGCAACGTACATACAAGAACAGCAAATACCGAGTACGGTAAGGCGTGGCATCATAACGTTCCCGAGATATTCATGTTGCATAACTCGCCTATGGTCACGGCAGTTGATAGCTAGCTTCGATGCGATAGTGTCAGGTTCAAGGTCATATAAGGTACATCCTAGTTCTTCGGTCGTTTGGCATTCATCTGTCTGGGAGTGAAACCCAAATACTGCATTATATGGTACGGTACATATTTTTTTCGGCAGACTATCAAAATGGGAAGCTACACGATCTCGCAAGAGAATTTTCTAAATGAACTGCGTCAAGTGACTGCAGCAGCAGAAAAATATGTCGAGACGTCTTCTAACTTGGATGCCGAACAGTCAAGGTATGAGCTGATGCTCAAGACAATGCGGCTTCTGCAGAGGATCCGAGGACCGACTGATGAGCTCTTCGCCAACTTCGAGTGTGTAAGTTAGAGAGAGCAGTTTAGCACTTCAATAAGATATTGTCCCCTTACACTTTATAGTACTAATATTCAATTAGATGGCACAAATAGGAGCAGTTCGGACGCTGCTGGCGGCTGGCGTGTTCCATGCTATCCCAGCAGGCGGCAAGAGTATAAGCGCTGCAGAGATCTCGGCGAAAACGGGTCTCGACAAGGAAATACTTAGTGGGCCTACCAGCCTGGTTGAGCATATCGGAGCGAGAAAAATGTTGCTAATACCCTTCTAGTCCGTCTGATGCGTGCTCTGACAGTCTACGGACCTTTCCTCGAGACGGCAGAGGAGACATACTCGCACACAAGCTTGTCTGAGGCCTATTTGGTCCCGCAGCTAAATGCTGTCTTCACATCAACGTAGGTCGTGCCCCCGATAAAGTTGTAGGATATCCATCGTTGACGACACAGTAGGGCGGATGAATTTCTAGTTCCCATGGTAAAGAATTATGAATTCCTTGCTCAGAACAACTGGAAGGATCATATTACTACGCGTCACAACCCATACACTTACGCCCATGGCTGCGAGGGAAATATCATGTTCGAGTTCCTCTCTGGAATTCCCAGTAGATTCACTCGCTTCAATGAGGCTATGGTCGCGCAGGACTCCGGTCAAGTTACTATGGGCATCTATCCTTTCGCCCTGGAACTGGCTAAGGACGCCGAAGATGATAGAGTTACCATCGTAGATGTCGGTGGTGGTCGGGGCCATATTCTTCAGCAGATCAAGGAGAACTGCTCGGGGGTGAAAGGCAAGTTTATCTTGCAAGATCAAGCGGCGTTGTCGCGGAAGCAAAGGACGAACTTGCTCGTACTGGTATTGAGGCCATGACGCATGACTTCTTCCAGCCTCAGCCGGTCAAAGGTAAGCTTACGTCGTCGTCTCAATCATCGCCTCCATCACAAGGCTCGATTAATTACCAACACTTGACTTTTACTTTTCTAGGAGCTCTCGTCTACTACCTCCGCCGCATTCTCCACGATTGGCCCGAGTCTGAAAGCAAGAGTATCCTCCAGAACCTCGCTGCATCCATGGATCGCCAGAAGTCACGGGTATTGATTACCGAGTTTATCGTCCCGGAAGTCGGCAGTAGCATGCTTGCCGCTTGGATGGACCAGGCTATGATGACTTTCGGTGGGACGGAGCGAACAGAGAAGAATTTTGAGCGTCTGCTTGATATTTCAGGGTTAAAGCTAGTTAAAGTCTGGAAGGCGCCAGGGACCCCAGTAGGCATTATAGAGGCTATATTAAAGTGAAAGCAGTACAGTCTTTTTCGCCGTTAGCTATTATAGATGTATTACTTATTATACTTTGTGCTACAGCCACTGCTGCTAGCCTTCTTGAGCATGCCACTCCTTAACACTATAGAAGGTCTGAATATTGTATATTATATTCTGATTATAGAGTAATAGTAACAACAGAAAAGTTGTCAAACATGTTATAGATTGCCAAGCTCTCTTAGGTCACATACAAGACTCTTGACATTTCGATTCCCGAGACTACCACCAATCTGTCTGAAATAAACTCATGTAATAGAAAATAAATTAAGCAGATGCTTGCCAATAAATCCTCATCAGATATTTACTCGGCCTAGGTAGAAAATAATTAGATAGAAGATAGGGCGAAAATTGTAATCAGAGTTGCGGAGACTGCAACCCGCGAGGTACATTGTTTGAGCAAACGAGTAACCCCTGACTGGCTAGAACCATTGCCCTGGACGAAGCCAGTAACCGATGAACCACTGCTAGTGCCAGAAACCCCATCAGATCCACTTGTTGCAGAACTGCTGACTGTCGCTCCAGCAGTCATGTTTGTCCCGGTTGCCTCGAACGAACTCAGCACCGTACCTTCATTGGTAATCATCACTGTATTGTTGGTTCCAGCTGAATCAATATAAATGTATGACTTATCGCCTTGTGAGTTGGCCCCGGCGGGGGGATCGTAGCATGTGATATTGACCTCGCTGATGGTGGCGTAGTAGTATCCGGGGTCCTTAATATCGGCAGTGTCCCAGCTAATCTCGCCACCGGCCCATGCTATGGTCCCTGGTGCATTCGTCGAGAGACCACCGGGCCACACAGACATTTCCAACCGAGAGGGGGTCTGAGGAAACATGTAGTCGCCAGATGTGGCATTATAAGTGTCCTCTCTCAGGAGAGTGCGCACCGATTCCCCATCGACGTACCAAGTGATCGCGTCAGGAGTCCAGTCCACCTCGTAAGTGTGGAAGTTTTCGAAACTATCGGAATCGATGGTAGCGTTTACTTCCAAGTGTTCTGGTATGCCATATTAGTGTAATCCTTAATCACCCGAAGTCTCTTTACATACGGCCTGTGATTCCTTGATAGAAGTAGTTCAACTGAGCGGTTCTGAGATCGACTCCGATGAACTCGACATCGATCTCGTCTTTCACATCTGATAGCAAGATAAACGCTGTTACCACACCAGCGTCTCGAGAAGTCTTCATTTTCGTAGACACTCGGCCGTACCATATGTAGTGATTGTATGACAACACAGTGCCAACAGTGTCCTTAGCCATAGTCAAAAGGAGATTGCCATCGCTGACGAGAGGCTGACCGCTGTACATCCAGTCTGAGGCAGAAGCGTTACCCAAGTACTTTGTGTTCAACGTAAAGTCACTCAAGCTCTCGAAATTCGTGAATGAATTGCTTTTGCAGATCGGTTCAGGTGCGCACGAGTTTAAAGTGTTCGAGTTGATGGGGTCACAGCCACCGAGGCAATAAGATCCAGTACCGCATTCTCCATATTCTACAGATTTTCAGAGTGCATCGCCCTGGTCAGCTTCCGGTCATTCAACTCATAGCCTGATTGTTCACCAAGTGTCTTAACGTACGAGAACAGCAAGGTGTGTCCATGGGACATTTTGTACCGCCCCCACAAGTCAGGGCAGTGCTAACTACTGCTCTGATAATGAACAACGCGATGACCGTAGTCAAAACAATTGGCCGCATTTTGCTACTTTCTGATTTTCGGTGTAATGTAAGGAGTGTTGTTTTTCTCACTGGCGAAACTAGATGTTGGAAGAACAGTGGTGACTGTTGAATATGGACAAAACAAATGTAACGATATAAACGATAGGAGTTCCAACAACGGACAGAAAGAATATACAAGCGAGTGTTCGAATGCTAAAACTATTCAGAGGAGGAGAGAAATATGAGAGACAGAGAGACGGGGGGTTGAAAAAGGAGAGATAATCAACAAAGCTAAAACGAGTTCTGGAAGTGAATAATATTAGACATTAATATTTCCACCAGAAGATTCCCCTTTCATGTCAACGCCGGACCTAAACTTCCGCTTGACCAATAATTATCGCGTGCAAGTCAGTCTACAGGCACTCTCTCGGTAGATATCGAGTTCCCGGTTCATTCGGAGGCTTATCGGGCCCGAATCGCCGAGACCCTCCGACAGAAACCTTCCGAACGGACGTACCTGAGTATCGCAATCACTTTTCAGATCACCAGCATTGTAAACGCCCCTGCTCACCAACGAAATCTGGAGCCTGAATATGAGCTCAAGGCCCCCAGATGAGAACATGACCTTGCCAGCTGTACGTCAGAGTGATTCTATCATGCATCATCCAATAGCTGCTCCTACCGTTGACAATGCGGATCGTGGATCTTACTGAGATCTATGGATATTAATGCGATGTTGCTATCACGAGACTAATACATTTTCAGTGCGATCTCTGCTATATCAGAAAGGTTAGATTAGGTCAACATCTGCGCAGCCATAATGGAGATTTCTCATCGCAACCATGGCCCAAGTATGCTCATTGCAAGGACCACGCTTTTAGGTGAAATGTGACAGAGAAAAGACATGCAAAAACTGCGCGAATGCTCAAGTGAAATGCTGTCGTACACGTCCTAAACGTCACGCTCCATCTCGGAGATCGCGGTGAGTGTGTGCTAAGAAGCCTTCTTGCTTCCCAAGGGACTTACTGTTGGTAGCATGTCTACGCTAGCTGAACGGTTGACGAACCTCGAAAATACAGCACACGTCATTTCACAGTGCGTGACTCCAAACCATTTGTTTATTTCTCAATAGTTATAATGACTGTTTTATGCGTATAGGTTGGACAGTCCGTCTTCACCTCCTGAAGCTGCACGTCGGAGCCGCAGGGAGTCTTCTGCGCCGCGCAGCCACTTGTACAAGGGAGGTTCGCACCCCGACCATGAGAAGACTTCAACACGCCCACAGCACAGCCATGTAGTAGCAGACGAAGAACCCAGTCATCGGACAAATGAAGCGCGAGAATTTATCCAACAGGAGCTTGATCACAACATTCTACCACAGGAGCGACAAGCAGTGTTTGAGTCGGCACTGCAATTAATTAATCAGCTTCCCCATCTATCTGGGGAATCAAATGCTTCCGGATTGCTTGGTACTTCTGATCTTAGTCCATCGGTGATCTGCACCGCAGCACCAGCAGAGTTACTATATATGATGCTTCCCGGTATGAAACCAAATTGACCCGTATAGTCAGCAAATCTCATGATTTCAAAGCTTTTGCCCGTCGAACAGGAATAGGTGCATGCATGGAATGGCCAGACCACATCTCGACGAAAACTCTCGAGCGAATGACCCTTACTCTAATAGAAGGGCATCCAAGCCAGCAACTTCTCCTCCAGTATCGTGTGTGTGTCTATATAAAGGCATTCTTTTTCACTATCATGCGGGCCAATCCTCCTCACAGTAATTCTGTCCTCCAGAGACTAGAAGAGTCAAGAAGTCAATATGCAGCTACCGCTCTGGATTCCTTGAGTCGCATCGGCCTTCTATCACCTCCGAGTCTCCCACTGGTTCAAGCACTCTTATCAGGAGTAAGTTCCATCCTTCAATATCGCAGTCACGGGCAAGTTCCCTGTCTATCTCTGTCAGAGAAACTTATAAACTTCAAGGCAATATTCATGCAATATGTGGGAAATATGTCCCAGAGCTGGATGTTAACAGCAGCGGCTGCCCGTGCCATTGTTTCTCTAAATTACCATACCACGTTTCAAAACCCACCAGTACATGAAACAGATGAGGAAATCCGGTTCAGTGTCTACTGGTGCTATTACCTAGACAAGGTACTCAGTCTACTTTTGGTGCGACCACCTTCGCTTCCAAGGCTAAACGCTTCTCCTGTCTCATTGATACGCGGAGACGTATCCGACCCCCCAACTATAATGCTTCAACTTCTATTAACTGTGGCGGAGACACAAGAAAATGGTCTAGATTTAATGCAGGGTTTCGGAAATGAGGGGAAAGAGAACATAGACGTGCAATTTGAGAGGCTTGATAAAAAGGTCAAGTTGCTTCGAGAGAGAATTGATCATGTATACAAAGTCAACGGTCTCCTGGCGTATGTACCTGAACTAACTATCATTCCTAAAGGTCAGATCGACGATACCTGGAGCTCTCGCTACGTCATGGATGGATTTTGAATATGGGTATTATGCTATCCAGACCAATGTGTTCCAGTACCGCTTGCGAAGGCGCAGGTGTTATCTGTATCAAGGAGATTGTCTGTTCTCAGCGCGAAAAGCACTCAGCATATTGCTATACCTTCAGCATCGCAGTGCTGAGGATTCTGAAGTGATGGAGCCTTTTCCATCGTTTCTAACATGGTGAGTAGAGATGCTATATCGAATCCCTTCCGTATCCTACCCTCACGCAGCTCTTAGTCCTCTTCCGAACTAACTATCTATGCAGGACAGTCCTCCTTTACCCGCTCAGCCCCTTTTTCGTTTTATTTTGCAATGTTGTCAGCATATCCAGCATCGAGGACTTCGCCCTCTTAAAAGATGCCACTCTTCTCCTCTCGCGGTACAAGAACGCCAATCCATCCTTATTGAAACTCCACAATCTGCTCAACGCTTTTCTCAACTTATGCAAGAACTTGATAACCTCCGGAGGAAGCAAATTGGCCTCTTCGCCAATAGAGAATCATCAAACGATCAACATTGGAACGGACCAAAACGGAGACTCCTCGCGCCGAGATAACACGCCCTCTCTTGCGATGCTGCAATCTCTATCAGAAGACAATGCGGCCTCAGTGCCTGTTCCGCCAATACGGCCATTCAGCACTGACAGCCATTGTTTTTCCAGTGTTCAAGTTCCAATCGCTGTTCCTTTTCCAGGCACTGGACACGGAGCAGCTACTTCGCTATCGACGGATGATCTCATGTGGGAGCTCTTCACCAGTCAACCATCAGTAGACTGGCTCGAGTCAGGGGTATGGAAAGACACGTCTGATTAGGGATTGATAATAAATACGATCTCTGAATAAAGAAATTCACGAATCCCTTCGAGGGAATTTATTGCCATTCTCTACACCGTATAGCAATAGCCTGACTCCCAAGTTATCCAGTCCATGAATCATTCCCAAGCGTATCGTTGACGCGTCGGGAATGTCCCCATGGAACAAAAAAAACATCTCTTACTCTTATTCAATCTATACTTATAATGTAACTAATCGGTTTATTAGATCAGACAGTCCGATTCTATTGTGAATATCTATTTGAGAGTTATGCCATCTTGATTCGTATAACGTTATTCTATCTCCTCGTTGGCGATGATGGCGAGCAAGGCGCCTTGATTTCTGTTTGGTGGCGTTAATGCATAGTTAGTAGATTGACTGCAATGGTTAGGCGAAGTACTGAAGTTGCAATTTATGAAGTCATATCTGGACGGGTATAGTGTGGTCTCTGGCTATATTACAGATGCATATGCTGTACTACAGCAAAGTTATCATCACACCTGACTATATCGAATCGCCAGAAAAGATCGGGTCTCCCCATACGCTAAAGAGTAGAGTATTCCAGAAGGATGAATATTATTTCAGAAATGCGCTGTCATATTCGTTAGATTAATATATATTTCAAGATATATAAACTAGAATGCGGCTAAGAACCGTCGATCGGTGTTCGGATAAGAGATTTCGCTGTGCTTTCTTCTTTAGCTACATCCTGATATCGTAACCAGCATTGCATAATGATGCGATGAACAGGCATTACCTTTCTTAATAGCACACTGTTCGATACGCGGGCCGGAGCTCGGGAACCATCTTCTGTGCAAAGAATAAGGGGGTAACTGAAGAGCTTTGAATTCCTATCTGGATTGAGCTCGAAATTCCATAGCGGAAGGCCACAGACGACTGCCATCAGGTCCTGGAGACCCCCAAATAAGTATCATTATTCTGTGTTATAAATTGCGACGTCGACTAGAGATGAGGGATGCGACCGGCCAGTCTGGGGGTGTCCAACCCTCATATTAACTAGGTAAAAAAGCCGACCAATTACCTAAATATTCAGACGCATTTGAGACCCATGGAGACTTTTAGCAAATAAAACCGAGGGTTGTACCGGTCTATTCACCGTCCATTCTGGAGCCGGTAAAAATTGGAACTGAACCACAACTTCTGCAGTATCAGGCGTTATGGATGTGGAATATATTGCTCAACTCAGACCCTCAAAGAGTCCCAGCAATGCGGATACTATTGGTTTCAATATCCCAAGGCCAAGATGCTGTCTATTGTCTTTATTCTTGCACTCGTCCTCTGGCATATCCGAACAGCAGTCGCTCAGAATCCCAGCGTCATAGACAGTTTGGAGATCGATTCGCCAACAACTGGGTTTAGCATTGTGCCCGACAGTAGCCGCATTTTCCTCCTGTATAACCGCTTCGATGGCTCGACTGGACCGCTGCTCGTTGAGCGCTACGAGAACAACTCCTTCGTCCCATATCCAAGTAATGCCTGGAATTCTTTCGAGAGCACTCGAGACGCGGCCAATACATTTGTCAATGTCGCTGCCCAACGAATCGGTCCTGATGGCCAGTTATGGGTGCTTGACAATGGTCTCGCCAGCAACGGAACCCTTCATCCTGCCGGTGCGAAGCTGGTCACGATAGATATCTCAACGAACAAAGTGACCCGTATCTATCCATTTGCGGACTTGATTGCTCCTTCCAGCCTTCTCGATGACTTCCGGTTTAATAGGCGCATAGCATACCTTACCGATGCAGGAGCCGCCAGCATCATAGTGATAGACCTAGTCACAGGTACCGGGCGACGACTCCTAGAAAACCAGCTGGCGCTCAAACAATACATGCCCACGTCAGGGGAGGGCAGTCTGATGCGTAACTCTACGGGCGGATTTAACTTCATCTATGTCGACCAACTTGAAGTTTCCCCGGATGGGCAATATCTCTACTTTCAGCCCACAGCAGGAGGCATGTCACGCATCCCTACCAAGTACTTGAACCAGGCACTGCGCAACACCTCGTTTCCCGACATTGAACTGGAAAAATGGATCCAGCCGTTCTCGCATACGCCTTCAACCGGCAGCACGGCCATCGACGCCAGAGGCAACATCTACCTGAGTGACACGGACCGCCAGAACATCTTGAGAATATCCCCCGACGGGAAATCGGAGATTTTTGTACATGATTCTCGTCTTCTCTGGGTGGACGGAATGTGGCTTGATGGGCGGAACCGACTGTGGCTTCCAGCTGCCCAGTTCAATCGTGCCATGCAGTGGCATAATGGAACGAGTCAGATTGAGAAGCCGATAAGGATCTTTACGGTCGAGGTTGATGTTGGACCGTCGCCTCTTGACCATGCTTAGTACGACTGATGACTGCTTGATGTGGCGGGAAAATGGTGTACAGTAGTGTCAATTCCAGAAAGATCGCGGCACAAAGGCTTGCCGTCTCGCAGATTTGTATCCAATATTGACTCTACGTAATCATCAAAACCGAATATGAAGCACTCCGGTGGTCGACCGGGCCATTGCAATAGCCGGTATTCAGAATGACAAGCCCCTTTGGATTTAGCAGCAGGGACTCAAGTCTAATCGGCTAAACTCGCCTCCTACCCCTCTGAGCTGACCGGCGGGAGAGCCAGCATAAGTGTCTACGACGTAGTCATTTTCTGCCAATCCGTTTTACACGATGCCAGAAAAAGACACACCTTGGCCATTTCGACCTTTGGCTGGCCGAGTAAAAATGAACGAGGAACTGGAAAGACTACTGAACTACTCGGCATGCGAGGTATGAATACAGACCCTAGTCCCTGGAACCTTTCTCATAATCGACGTAGATCTCTGACGCGCTGCTGACCTTGGGCGTTCCGGGCGCCGGCTTCCTCCCTGACATTGGTATGGGTCCTGAGAGACACCGTACTTAAGTTGGTTGTCTACTTTTCTAACCGTCGAAGGGCCCATAAACACCGGGAACAAAGTGGTCGCTCCAGCAGTGACAGTTCTCTTCGTCCCAAGAGCGTCGCCCTCCTTCCCCACTCTCATCCCATCGGACTTTAGTACTACCCCGGACTCCAATATCCCCGATGGATCGATCTACGCCGACATGGCCCTCCCCGATACAATTGTCGTAATGAGCCAGCCTAGGGGCACGAGGACTGCCACAATGGGCGGGCTCATGGCGGCGCGCATGAGGAAAATCGGAGTGAAGGGTATACTGGTCGACGGACGGGTAAGAGATGTGAAGCAACTTAGGGAACTGGTGGACATCCCGGTCTGGGCGCGGGCAACGAGCATCGTGGCAACGAGGGGGGAGTGTAGAGCGCATGCAGTTAACGTGCCGATTCATATTGGAGGCACAAGAGTTGAGCAGGTGAGAGAAACACACTTGCTGTTCTGCTATAATGGATTCTTATTGGTATCTTTGGTGTGCTAATGTCTTTCCTAGAGAGACATTGTCATGCTTGACCCGGAAGACGGCTGTGCTGTTTGCATTCCAAAGGACAAGCTCGGTTTAGTGCTGGAGATGGCCCCTAAGTTTGCAGTGGATGATGAGACTAAGATGCAGCGGGTTATGAGGGGAATGAAAGTCGAGGACGCAATCAAAGAAAGCATATAGGGGAAAACCGTATTTGGTTTCAAGAGCCCAATACTTTTTCCCTCGGATTTGGTAGAGAATTAGGTTCGCTGCCACGGTATCTGACGTTATAGTTCGAGTAGCTACAAGTTCAAAATGCCCTGGCATAGAAACTATATTAAAATTATAAAGTCCGCAGGAGCTATTGCCTTAAAGATGAAAGCCAGTGGTCACTTAAACCAGGATTACAATGTTATGACATAAAACAGCAATTACATACGCTAACTGTGCAATCCTTTTGAGTCTGTTGCAGAAGCACTTTGAAATATAAATGGGCGTTCCAATAAATCTAGCATTTTATGAGAGTCTGCATGTGTATCTCATTATTTACGCAAAATTAATCACTAAAGTAATGGTTGACCAAGGGATCGTAGGAGCTGTTTCCATACGCATTGCCACCGTAGTTCAAATAGCCCTCAACAAGACTCGGTCCAGTGTTGTGTGTGACTTCGGTTGCATTACCCATAACCCACAATGCCTGCATTCCCATAATCATGTGCTGAAGAACATGGCAGTGTATCATCCACACTCTGAAGGGAGATTAGTACATGCATGTCATGAACTGTCTGCAAGTTTACTTACCCCGGATTGTCAACCTTTAACCGCCAGGCACGCCATCCTTGAGGTGTATATTCAGTATTCGTTCCCACTCCGTCGCCGGTAATATATTTGTACAGTAGACTGGTGTCTCGCTTGATAGGAGTGTACCCGGTGAGTTTCTCTTCATTAGCAGTGGCGTTGTATTCTCCTGGGCCACTACCAAGGTCATAGATGTGATCGCCATGGATATGCCAGGGATGGGTGTCAAACCCACCACTCCGGTTGTTGTTGTTATTGATAAGGATAATATCAATAACTTCGCCTCTGCGTGCTGGGTACACATTTAGCCCAGGATCCCATCCTCCATATTTTTGAACTGCTAAATCATAGTTCGGAATAGCGCTCTGACCACGTCGATAAATATCAACTAGGTAAGGTACATCAGCAGACGGAGCCGTATCATTGTATGGATCCCCATGCTCGTGCTGGTCATTCTCTGTCCAGGTGTGATTGTTAACTGTCCAAAATGCACCACTCTTGACAACAAGCTGTGTAGATGTGAGATAGACCTGACGAGTAACCTGGTCGGCTGTTGGGAAGCCATTTGGTTTCAGCGGTTGCAGCTTATACTCCAACCAGTCCTCCAGAGCATAAGGAATGAACACAGGCTTCTCAGCTGGGGGCTCAGCCGGGATCGTGCTGTTCACATTCGGACCCAGGTCTGTCTTGTAAGATAGGATAGCGTAGAATGTGTTATTTAAGTTCCTGTAGCGCGTCTCGATCTGTATCCAAAACTTTGTCCTGCCTAGTGCCTTCAATTCTTGCTCTGATTTTGTTTCGAGGAGAAAGTCGTAGCGTTGTCCGCCGCCGAGCTGAATGAGGCTAGTGTTTGCAGGCTCGGTGTATGCCCCGTCAACATTAATGATAGTAAGATTGTCGTGATCTTCAAAGGCGAAAGCTAAAGGACTCATTGCGACACCCCCAATGGCGCGGAATCGATAAACCTTGCTCTGCTCTACCTCGATAACCTCCGGGCGGCAGGGTCGCAGCACTCCAGGGTCGAATTTACCATAAGGCTTCGAGACCAATGAGTCTTCACCGTCTCGAGCACGATATCCGTTACCATTCACGAGTATTGATTCCGCTTCTCCAGGCCTGTGTATTAAATAGTGCTACTGGTCAATCAAACGGACGAGTGCATCTATGCGTCTGTATAGACAAACGTACCATTTGTAGCTCACAAATGGACCTTGCAGGAAGTCCATTGCTGCTTGGTCAGTCACATTGAAGAGCTCGGAGAGAAACAGGACACGGTCTTCATAATATTCGTATGGCGGCAACCCATCAGCCTCCTCGACGATCAACACGCCCGCAACGGTGTCAGACTGAAAACCGACATGGGAATGGTAATAGTATGAACCGGCTTCGCCTATTTTCGGCCGCACTTCGTAGTCGAAAAAGTGATGGGGCTTTGACGGGCTTCCTCAGTCTCAGACTTCATTTCCAAGGTTCCAGAGCAGTGATTGAGAAGTCAATCTTACACTGATAGGCCATTGACTGGCCTGAGGTGTTCCGTCAGACCATGGAGCAGCTGACTGCGATATGCCGTGCCAATGCTTTGGAGTTAACAATCTAATCAGCTGGACTGGTCACTCCACGGAGAGGCTCTTCACCGTACCATGGTTAGATTAGAGGAGTTCATGGCATTGTAAACCCTAATCCATGTAGTTTGGTTTTCCTTCATATAGAGGGTTGGACCCGGTGTCGTTCCTGTGATATAGGCTATAAGAATCCAACATCCTCCAAATAATACAGGATAGAGTGCATGCCGCGCTCCTGCAGCACACAGGCAAAACATACCATTGACAAGCGCAGATAGCCTTGTGCGACATGCAATGCTGGTTTCTTCCTCGGTGACGCGCAGTATATAGTGTGGTTGAAATAAGGCATCATGTCTGACCTGTTGAAAGGCAGAGATCCTACCAAAAGTGGCCACCAGAAGACCTAGCAGGAAAAAACTGAATGACAACATCACCAAGGAAAGCTGTCTGCGCACGTATGAACTTAATGGTGTACAGGAAGCCTTGGTACAATTCAGAATGCGAAACCCCACAAAATTTATACCTGGATATGGGGCTCAGGCGCAATGGCATTTAGCAACAAATGACCATGAAGCTCTTCCTGTGAAGATGGTCCTACATAGAGTACTCGATAGTCGCTGGCGGTCAATTACAAAGCCTGAATGTCACTAGTGTGGCTCATGTTCGCCGACCTCCACTCCGTTTAGCAACTACACTACGGAGGAACTGTTGTTCTCCCTAGCTCATAGATAGCCGGTAGTTTAACAGGTCGGCCCTATCAAGGGCGCAAGTGCCAATTCGTTGCTCTTCGCGAAACCGCCAATCCTGGGTGTTGTAAGCGGTCACTAATGTACATTAAGGTGTCATAAAACCCCGGATAGATCCAAGGAAATAAACAAAATCCCCAACTTTCATCAGCCCCCTACAAGCTCGTTGCTGTTTTCTTCACAAAGCGAACACTATGGCCGCCCCTGTGAAAGTCGGTATTGTCTCCATTGGGGAGATGGGCTTTGGCATCGCAAATTTGCTCAGCGCCCATGGATACACCGTTATGACCAATATTACGGGTAGAAGGTGAGTGAAGTGTTCAACTATACCACGCAGAAACCCGCTCTAACAGTCACAGCGACTACACTTACAATCGCGCCCGCACAGCAAATATCCGATTACTCGACAGCGACGAAGAGCTTGTCAAACAGGTAGACTATCTCTTCTCGATCGTCCCCCCACGCGATGCCCTCGCTACAGCACAACGGTTCATGTCAGTCAAGCAAGCTCGCAAGAGTCCGTTGTATTACGTCGACCTGAACGCTATCAGCCCTAGACTTGCACGTCACATTGCTGCGGAGTTCAAGCAGAACGTACCGGGTATCAAATTCGTTGATGGTGGTATTATCGGCGGGCCTCCGCGCTTGAAGCAGTCAAGCTCCAATGAGAAACAGGCTTCTGAACCCGAAGGGGACATCGCTGCTACCTGGGCGCGGCCTGCGATTCCGATCTCTGGTCCAGACGGACTGGCCAACGAACGTCTAGCGAAGGTGCTGAACACGATATCCCTGGGTGCGGATATTGGGGCTGCAAGTGGGCTCAAATGCTGCTATGGATCGCTGATCAAGGGTCTTCTTGCACTGTCTATCCAATCTTTTAGCACGGCATATTCCATGGGCGTGTATTCGGAATTGCATCAGCTTCTTGAAGCCTTTCAACCGAGGTTGCGGAACAGTATTACAAAGATGATTGTTGAGACTCCACCCAAGGCAGGTCGGTGGGTGGATGAAATGGTGGAAATTGGACGGTGCTTTGGGGAGGAAGGTGGGTGGGATAATGCTGGGGGGACTCAAGGCGCGGATGTTTACCAGCGGGTGGCCGAGGTCTACAGAGCAGTAGCAGAGCAAACAGTGTTGGGAAAGGAGAGACAGGAGCACCGAGTAAGAGGAACCACGGCGGACGATCTCGCTGCTGCTGTTAGGGAGGGATTAGCAGAGAAGAAATAGGCGAAAGGTGTATCTCCCTTGAGCGGCCGTTAGCCATATGCTTGAGTATCAGTTCCTGACTCTGCTGAATGTTTATCCCATTATACCATAGTGCAATCAAATTGCTGGAAGATTCCTGTAGCCTAATATCACTGGCGAGGTCGAGGATTGAGTGAACAACTAGAACGGCCTGAGGTGGGCCTATCGAGGTATGGTATGTACAATATGATCGGAAACGTCAGAATCAGAGAAGCCCCGTATGAGCTGGGAAATCTCTGTCTCCGTTTCTGATGGATTTGTCCTGGGCGCACAAAGTCCGGCAAATCTTAAGAGACCGGTTGATCCTACGGCGTAACTCGATCTGGATGAGAACGTAGATCCAGGGGCGAGGTTGGCTTGGGGCACCAAAAGCGTTGTTCACAGAGCAGGAGCAGTACCAATGCGGCCCCTATGCTATGTAACGGGCTCCACGTGTGGGCGCCATGTATATTCAATAGTAAAGCCGGTCGTTAAAATTCCCCAGCAGCGTCCGGTTAGTTTGTCTTGTCCGCCTCATCGCGAAGGGATAAAGAGCCGGGATGGTCAAGTTTTCATAGCCTATGGCTTCAACACCATTTCCGCTATCACACTGACTGTGTCTCTTATCCAATCCGTCAATAATTTCTGTCCAAGATGGCCCCCTCTGCTACGGTTCTCCAGAACGAGGATAACACCAATGCTGTGTCTGGTGCACTCGGCTTGTCCAAGAACGGTCACAAACTCAGAATCCGCTCGTATCCTGTTTTTGGGACCTTAGATGAAGAAAGGCTCTACCGCAAGCAACATCTAGCTGCTGCGTTCCGTATATTTGCTGAGCGCGGGTTCGATGAGGGGATTGCAGGTCATATTTCGGTCCGCGATCCAATTCTGACTGACCACTTCTGTACGCCGTCTACGTCGTGGAATTCCCTAGGAGCGTCAATAATTCTGATCCAATGTCACAGGGCTGAATCCACTTTCAATGCATTTTTCCCAGATAAAAGTGTCAGACTTGATCCTTGTCGATGAGAACGGTCTGGTGGTAGAGGGAGAAGAGCCGATTAATGCTGCGGCTTTTGCTATCCATTCCGAAATACACAAGGCACGGCCAGATATCCACGCTGCGTGTCATGCCCATTCCGTTCATGGAAAGGCTTTCAGTGTTTTTGGCCGAGAACTGGATATGATTACTCAGGATGCTCTGCGGTTCTACAAAAGCCACGCCGTGTACACCGACTTCGGAGGCGTGGTCCTAGACCGAGAGGAGGGCAAGCGTATTGCCAAAGCACTTGGTAAGGGAAAGGCTGCAATACTGCAGAATCATGGACTACTCACGGTGAGGAAAGAGCCGTCCGCTTTACGCCGTGTATCTTTACTGACCTTCCCCAGGTAGGTAGGAGTATTGACGAGGCCGCATTCTGGTTCATCAGCCTGGAGAAGACCTGCCATGCTCAGCTTCTTGTTGATTCAGCGCAACATGGAAGTGGCCATGAAAAGGTTATCATTAAAGAAGCCGAAGCAGAGTACACGGCTGCACAGGTTGGAGGGCCTGAAAAGGGGTGGCTTGGGTTTCAGCCGTACTACGATGAAATTCTCGCGAAGACAAATGGTAGCTTTCTGAGATGAGAAAGTTCTATGATTGTCTTCTGAAGCTTTGTATTAATCGCACAGTTGCAATTATTACTGTACCAGTGTGCCTTGCATCCACATAAGTGCATTCCCAGTTGTATAAAGCGATGCTGAGAGGCCCGCTAACAGGCAACTGTTTGTTCCTGTGTGTCGGATCAATGCCCAGAACATAATTTCCTAGACCAGGTAATCATATAGCATGTACCCGGATCGTAGGGAATCACAATAGCTGTCTTCTAGTTATCCTGACAGGAGACAAGAAATCCGGCCGAATGGGTTAAGTTTATCAGATTCACTCCACGTCCCTGTCCGGCGTTTCTGAAAGTGCAACGAGACGATACCATAATTACGTCGGCTAAACCGCATGCTAGAATACCCCAGGTCTGGCCGATTTTTCCAACCGGGGGAAAGAACTTATCGAATGTCGCGGTGGAAGTCTGTGAGCTCGGAAGAATTAGGCAACACGCAACCTGTCCAGGCGCTGGTCTCATTGCATATAAGTTCTGCTCTATCCACATAGATGAAGGTCTAGAAGAATATCTTCGCATCTTGCTACAATGGCCTCTTCGAAGTTTGAGCGTTTGATACGGTTTGTCAGTTCATCCGGGGATATCTACTTTGGCGAGGTCCCTAAGGACCACCCCTACAACCAGAGTCTGATAGGAATCGAGGCGCCTGTATACCAGGGCGCGTCGCCTTTTGATCCGGACTTCAAGCTTAGTGGCGAGAATTCTGAGGTCAAAAAGCTTCTGAGTCCGTTGGTAGATGTCCCATTCATTTATGGCGTCGGCCTGAACTATAGACGGCACGCCGAAGAAGCAGGAGTATGCCCCTCAACCAAGAAGTGCGGCCATTGCACTCGAAAGACTGCCGAATGTTTGTTGACGATACTATAGGTTCCTATTCCACAACATCCCAAGACCTTCGTGAAGTATCCCGGTCAGTGATTTGAGCCGACAAGACTGCGTCGACTCGAGGATTAACATCGTCACAGATGCTATGACGGGTCCGTACGATGACGTCCATCTACACTCAGCGGCGCTTGATGTGGACTATGAGGTACATAATTCTATCCGATGGGACTGGACTGTTCTAACAATCCACACCAGGGAGAGTTAGTGTTCGTGATGGGTGAAAATGTCAAGGACATCGCAGAGGATGCAGACCCCCTCCTCCATGTCCTAGGATATACCATCGGCAACGATATCTCGAGCAGATGGTGGCAGGAAGCGGCTAAAGGCGGACAATCGAATTACGCGAAGTCCTTCGACGGGTTTGCCCCTCTTGGACCTGTTCTCGTCTCGTCAAAGCTCATTCCAGACCCTGCGAAGCTCACACTTCGCACATGGGTGAATAACGAGAAGCGACAAGAGTCGGGTATCGATGATTTGATTTTTGATGTCCCGGCGATCGTTCGATTTTTCAGTCAAGGTCGGACATTGCGCAAGGGAGCCGTTGTGATGACGGGCACGCCGTCTGGGGTTGGGAGTTTCCAGAAAGGGGGGCCCAAATTCCTCAAGCACGGCGATGTGGTGGAGATTGAAATCGAGGGGATTGGGAGAGTCAAGAACAGAATTATTCAGTGAACTTCGGTACAGTACTCTAGGGTTACGAGATTATATTATTGCTAGATGATATTTGCTGTGATTGATAAATATCTCGATTTGAACCACTCCTGAATGCTGATACAAGATTGCGCTCTAAGCTATATATTTTCGGGGCCTTACTTAAAATACTAGTCTCCTGCCCACCAGCCTGTTTAGCCAACCTGGAATTAATTAGCTAGCTAAAGCATCTCTAGACTCGATCCTCAATCAAGCACTCATAAGCAGTCTCAAGAATTCAGAGATATATCTTATCCGATCGCCCAAGAATACCATAAGTAGTAAAAGTTTGAGATTGTTCATCGGTTACCTTATTCGCCAGAGACCCGAACCTTATCCAAGCAATATGGGACGAAATGAAAGATGAAAGATCGAGATAGACATAACAATCCGAGAGAGCATATCATAACTCGCTGCGGCAAGCAATGCCAGATATATTATACGACTTGTGCGGCTTTAGCAGCTATTGTAGGGAACGCGTAACCGCTGAAGGACAGTTATGCGGGCGCAAAGGCCCTTCAAATCCTAATTGATATAAATCCTAGATATCTCAGATAACAGGAATAGATACAGTAGGATCCTTGCTGCTGGATATTTGATTCCAGTGCTTAAGCGAGAAGAGAGAGAACTATTAATCTTTATCCATACCCAGTGCAGTTACATTCTGCGCCAAATTTCCGACGCGGAATCTTGAATAGGTACTTAGTATGTATATCCAAATATTACATTTGCAGTATTCTGCAAGGTCCAGGGTTGTGGAAAGTACCCAGATGGGTATTGGGATATTGGGGCCAAGACTCTAGTTATACCATATGAGAGACGCTGCGAATCACCGCTCGTCAAATTCCTCTACTCTCATGCAATCTCGTCCCTTTTAACTCCTATTCCGTACTTGGCAGCTCCATTCATCAGTGGACCATGATCGGCCCCCCGCGCTTCTCCACATATTTCCCCGCAATATGTTGGCACGGAGTACGGAGTAGTTAGCTCTGGTCCTGATTTCGTTGATTAAAAGGCATCAACCATGCGCCGGGGAGTCGGTTGAACTCGTTTTCCTTCTTACCTGACCAGGTTCTTCCGCCCCGGCAGCCGAAGCTGCGACCACATCAGCATGTCCATCTTCCACCGTCTGTGTTGAAACCCCGTTCGTCTACACCTGGCATAATGACCGTTTGTGGAGGCAGCAAAAGAAAGAGAAGCGGCGTCAGTCTACGAACCGTGACTTGAATCAGGGATGGCACGACGTGTTACTAATGTATACTTCGTGTACAGCGCGCATGCGATCGGTGTCATCGGAACGCCTGCAGAGTACGAGCTGGCCACTTTGTAGACTTGACTGAATTACTCACGGTGCCTCGCAGTGTTCGCCCGGAGTCGAAGGAACGGTTTGCGCTCGTTGCAAAGATCAAGGATTGGAGTGTACATACGACAGGCCGGTTAAGCGACGAGGGGTAATTTGCACTTTTCTTCCTTCTCTATTCTCGCCAACTAATACACCAGATAGCCCAATCCGGCCCGGCGAGTCGCACGAGAGAGCGATGCTTCTTCTCCGGTGCCTTCGACCCAGCCTGCTCCACGACAGCCCACCGTCGCAATGGAGGATACGGCGGGGATACCAGCCCCTGCCCCGACCGGGGCTTCACCGATCCAAGTGAGTCCCGTTGACGGCAGTGAGGCCGGCCTCTCTACGCAGCTCTCGTCAATTTACTCCGCATACGAAGGTGTGATCCCACCCGACACCATTGAAGCCCTCGTGGATGTCTTTTATCATACCATATACCCCATGTAAGCATATCTCGCACTCTTCATTCGTTGGCAGGGCACTATATGCTTACTTCGGTATCCTTACCGTTCAGTCGACCCTACTTCCACTGGCCTACTTTCCGCGCCCAGATTTCTAACCAGCTCTACCGGTCGGACTGGGGCGTTTTTGTTGTTACAATGGCCGTCTGTGCCCTTACAGCCGGGCGACTGTACAATGGCATACCGAGTACTCACAACCTGGAAGGCCTTCGTTCCGATGCAGTGACATTGTCTTCTACATGCTATTTTGCAGCAGTAAGAGCAATGCCAAAAAACCTTACCGCCATCACAGACTACTGCCAGGCGATGAAAGCACATGCGCTGCTAGCATCGGTATGTCTCCAAAACGGGGATCTCAGAGGGCCCATCACCCACCTTGGGGATTACAGCTCGCTGTCCATATTGAATGGGTTCTACACCGAAAGCAGATGGCCTAATAACTTATCAGAAATCGAGAAACAAGAACGGCGACGATTGGTGAGATTACTCATGTTGAACAATCTTCGGTTACTTTCAGAACACGGCCCTGGCTAGCGACCAGCGGGATTCCCTTGCTAACGTCTTTTTCTGCAGTTCTGGGCTGTATACCAGCAAGAGCAATACATCGCCAGCAACTTCGGTCTACCTGCTAGGCAGAGCGAGGCAAATCGATCGGTTCGTTATCCTGTTGAGGTATTTGACGATGAGGATATCACCGCCACCCAGATCAACCTTCGTCAAGATCAGATTTCTTTTCTCCAAGGCTGGAATTTCTGCAGCGATCTATATCGCCTCCTAGAGCACATCCGGGCCGCAAAACACATGGAACAACAAGGGAAGACGAAGACGACGAATGAAAGCAGCAGTGAGATTGAGACATTGATTGCCGGTGTTCGACCCCCAAGGGATTTCGCCTCGGATAGTCTCCATTTTATATCGAAGGCGCACAAGGACCTACCACCGGTGCTCAAATCGGTCAAAACTTTGACAGGAGACCTGTCTACTGACCGCTATAGCTTTGTTGGTATGTACGCTTAACCTGGCTGCCACGATTACCACTCATGTTGACGAATCCCACAGCCGCCAACATTCTCTTCACAACGCAGAACATGAAAATGCTTATCGTCGAGAGCGAGCAGCCAAGCATCAACCGCTGTTGCGATATTGCCAGCGATTTACTCGATGAACTCAGCGTCGTGCCCCTCGAGTTCTTCCAGACTGTCAGCACAAGCTCGGTGGGTCTCCAAACATTCTCCATTAGCTATCATCCACTCAAGCTGACTATTTGTCTCCTATTAGCTTCACCACCTCTCCCACGTCGGCCAGCTGCTTAGCAGCACAATTCGTAAACCGTTATCAGCCTGGCGATACATCCAAGTCCACAACATTCTCCTCCTTCTCGCCGACTTCCTCGAAAAGATCGAGTCGTCCCGTTTACCCTCCGCTGGGCTGGCCATCAAGTTGCGCACTCAGATCAGCGCCATGGATAGCTATATGCAGCAGGTGTCACAGAAGAATCAAGGGCCAGGGTTGCTCTCGATCGGGCAGACGTTGCTCCTTGGAGCCCCAGATGCCAGTGCCGCAGAAGGTATTAGGTTACCAAGTACGGTCAGTTGTCCTTATCGAAAACACCAAGCGGGGTTGGTAATGAATGACACTGAAGTCTTTTTCTTGAAAAAATTATAGACCTCCCCATCTCGGTCTGTGGATAGTGCTAGGGATTTACAAGAGCCCAGAGATTCGCCGAATGTCTCCTCGCGGTTGGATCAGGTACCTAGGCTGGTGACTGCCAGCCAAGGCACATCAGAAAACAATCACCAACCACAAGTACACCGACTTGGAGCGCATTCATCGCAGCAGAAAGGCCAACTGCATGCGAGCACTCGTCTACCTGAGTCCCTAGCTGCCACGCAAGAGTCTGAGCCGAGTCCTACCAATGCGTTCACCTTTGCGCTTCAGACAGCGAACCTGAATTCCCAGACGGAGTTTGACTTTGGGTCTGGGTTGGACGGCTCTCTTTTCCCCGACTTGTTCGCGGAGAGTTGGCCTGGTTTGTTGAAGTGAGATTGCTCTTTCAAGTTAGCACGAGGGTAGCAAGCTGGATATAGGTATTGTAGAATATATTTGTCAAGAATTCCATGGCTCCAATGCGCTTCACATATAGCCACTCGGAAGTATTACCCGCGAGTGTATCCGTTATCCCGCTGACCGGCCGCTGGTCTCTTTCGTCTCGCGATCAGTGACACATTGACTGCTGTGTCTTAGCTCAGAAACAACTTTCATCAGCGACCTTGACCATACATCATGCCAAGGCCCGGCTGCACTCGCTAACCTGGGCGTTCGAGATGATGATCACCGTGTGTCGGCACGGACGACACAGATATGTTACACCTCTAGATATATCAAGTAGCGGGAGCAACGTACGACTTCTCTATTGACCATTAGATATGGATAGCAGTAGCATAAAATGTATATACGTAGATAGTCCAGCAAAACCATGGACTTTGCAGTCATATTGCTTCCGTGCCTTTCGGATTCGACGCATCATCGTGGTGCTTATTCTATCAAATAACGGTCACATCATGCAACTAGCTATCAGACTTCTATATAGCCCGTTGTCATTTCAACAAGCTAAGATTTGTCCACTCGGCATAAAATCTCCGCGTGAACGAGAATAAAACTCCCCTCATCTTGGGCACCCCACTCCCTCCAAAGTCTCGCGTATCTATCCATATCCTCGTTGGTACAGAAGCCACGGGAGACTGCATCTCTCCTAAATGCACTAGTTAACATTCGATCAGCCCAGTGGTCCCCCCAGTACTTTCTCTCCTTCTCATCGCAGTAGCACCAAGCACTTGAACTGGAGGTCATCGCATCCCTGGAAAATCCCGCTTGACGCGCAAATACATGCAACATCCTCCCTGTTCCCGGATTTGCACCATGGGATTTGACAACTTGGACATAGAGGTCCCACCACTCCTTCTTGTCTGGTGTTAGCGGATACCACAAGAATCCATCCATAATGGATTCACGGCATGCAACCAGGCCTCCTGGTTTTGCAACGCGCCGCATCTCCTCGATTGCCGCGGCCGGGTCGTAGATATGTTGCAGCACTTGGTGTTCATGCACCACGTCAAATGTGTTGTCCGGAAATGGGAGATTGAAAATATCACCGGTAGTGAAAGAGATATTCTCAATCCCCCTTTGCTGCGCGTTTTCTGCGGCCTTTTCGACACAATCTACCGACGCATCAACGCCAGTGACGTGGCCCCGAGGTAGATAGTTGGCTGCTAAGTCGCACGATATTGTCCCCGGTCCGCATCCAACATCAAGCACACGCATGGACGGCTCAAGGTGTGGAAGCAAGTAGGCACAGCTGTTAGCGGCGGTGCGCCACTCATGACCTTTGGTCACGGAGGCGCTGCTGCCAGCATACTTTGCGTATGGGAAGATGATAGCGGCAGGACTCATGATTCTGTAAAGGGTGTTAGTTTGATTATTGATTTTTCAGAACCTGTCCGTATTATTGAATTACCATAGATTGATTATATGGCTATAATTGGTGTTTTGAGATAGCCTTTGCACTTGCTTTGTCTAGTGTCACAGTTACACTGCGAACAGTAGATGGTCTCTTGCCAGAACAGCTATCCTTATAGCTTGCTCAACTCCGCGAAGGTACTTATGGGCGGCGCATAGTATGTGAACGGCGAAATCCTCTTGTAGATGCTAAAGTTTCCCACTCCTGGGTCTGTGTAATCGTATGTACAATGCTGATAAGACATCCTCAGGAAATTGTCCGGGGACTCATCTACTCATTTCGCCGATAATGTATAGATGGAATAATACTTCTATGACCTCCCATATAGTACAGAATTAGATTTGGCAATATAAAATTACGAGGACACTCTTGTTTTGCCATGTTGATCGTCGGCGTTTAGACTATCAATGCTGGCTTAAATTCCACCGGTGCCGTGTCGAATCTCGTACACGCTGCGGAACCAGCGCATTAATTATTACGCCGCCGGTATAATTAATAGTTACGACTTGAATACTACAGTTGATTCGCTGTCGGTCTTTCGGTATATTATTTTGAAACTTGCTGATCACCAAACAAAGCAGTAATTTCCAAAATCTTCGTCTCCTAGTAAAACTTGAAATACCAATCAGCCGATTCAGAATGGTTTCCCCAGTACGTAGGTATGTAATACAGTCCATACCTGCTAGCACAATGTCTTGGGACGTCTTATAATTCAAACAGGATGCCTTGGGGTTGACAGCCGCAGCAACAAGAATTAGAATGCAGTGTGAGATTCTCGTGGCTAGATATTGGTAACTCGTTGTCTAGCAAGTGACCCAAGAACCACCGGTCTACCTCATGAAAGCGTGCAGACGAAATTACCAGCCAGCTGCAGATCTTATGGTTGACCTGCTTTGAAGATTCCCAGCCCAACCCTAGGAGTTTAACCGACACAGACCCGAGGGCCGCCCGCCTTGCAACACCGCCAGAATTGGGGGGAAGCCCGGTCGCAACTATTTGAAACTTCTATCGAACCCGTTGACCATTCCCTTCCAGAAGAAAAAAGAGAAAAGAGAAAAGACAGAAACAGGTCGTCTTATCACTCGCAGCGTAGAAAGCGAGATAGATCGTGATATATATAAAAAAAATGGCGTCAACATTGGATCGAGGCTCACAACTTGATAGGATTGCGCCGAAAGATGGCCTTGACATCTCATTCGAGCAGATGAAGACTTCTGGTTTCGAGAGCATCAATCGAGAATTGGCAGACCAGACAAACAATAGTAACTTCGACAAGCTGGAAAATATCGAAAATGTTTGCAGCACAGAGGAATCATCAGCAACACGACCAGATCTAAACATTGTTGATTGGGCACCAGACGATCTACAGAACCCGAAAAATTGGCCTCTAAGAAGAAAATGGATTATAATATTCGTCGTGTCTGCCAATACTTTGATGACCGCCTTGGGGTCAACCATACCTACGCCGGGCGTGCCACAATTGATGGAAGAGTTCCATTCCGAGAATGACCTCTTAGAATCATTTGTGATTTCCATTTATGTACTGGGGTTCGCATTTGGTCCACTGAGTAAGTTTCACATCCTCCATTGCCAATGCCGGGATAGTTAACTCATGTTCCTCAGTCATTGCACCGCTATCAGAAACGTATGGCCGATGGCCGGTTTATCTCGCGTGCAATACGTGTTTCCTCTTCTGGTGCATCGCCAGTGCTCTTGCTCCAAACATGGCCTCGCTCGTTATCTTTCGCTTTCTTGCTGGCGGCTTTGGTGTCGCGCCGTTTACGCTAGGAGGTGGCACAATCGCAGACATGGTCGAACCAGCTCAAAGAGGGACTGCAATGGGTATATGGATGTGTGGACTCACCGTAGGACCCGTTATCGGTCCTACCATCGGAGGCTTCACCAGTGCCTATCTTGGCTGGCGGTGGACCTTTTGGATCCTTACCATCATAGCCGGGGTGATATGTGCTCTCAACGTCACTGTGATGAGGGAAACTTTTGCACCTGTCCTACTTGCACGAAGAGTCAAGAAGCTTCGAAAGGAGACTGGGAATATGAGACTGAGGTCCAATCTGGAAAAAGTCGAATCAACGAAGAATATTCTTCGCTTGTCCATTGTTCGACCCATGAAAATGCTATTCACGTCTGTCATCGTGTTTATGCTTTGCGTGTATGTGGCTCTTATATACACGATTATGTTTATGTGAGTTCGTATAGACATACTACATCTAAGTCCAATACTAATGAGCTGTGCAAGACTTTTTACTACCTTCACCACCGTTTTTGAGGGCCAGTATAACATATCGACATCAGTTTCTGGGCTTGTATACTTGGGTTGGGGCATTGGCTCTGTTATTGGTCAAATTGTGTACACGACCGTGTCGAACCGCTTCGTCGCGAGACGACTTGAGAAGGGCAAGTTCAAGCCCGAACACAGGCTACCTATAATGGTACCAGGCGGTTTATTCTTGCCAATTGGTCTCATTTGGTATGGATGGTCTGCACAGGCTCAAGTATTTTGGATTGTTCCTATAATAGGCACTGCAGTTGCTGCCATAGGGCTAACCATAGTATTCGTGGGTAAATAGAAGTTGAGATGGCAAAGTTGCTTGTGCTAACAATCTTTCAGGTGGCACCCCTGGCATACCTTATCGACGTTTTCACAATATACGCAGCATCAGCAATCGCAGCAAATGTCATACTTCGATCTCTCTGTGCTGCTATCATCCCCCTCTGTGGTCAGAGTTTGTATAATCACCTGGGGCTGGGCTGGGGAAATTCATTTTTAGGGTTTATTTCACTGGGATGTGTACCAATACCCCTATTCTTCTATTACTATGGCGAAAAGCTTCGGCTAAAGTATTCTGTCAATCTATGAAATAGAGTACCACCTTGAAATCTAAGGTAGCTCTGACCATAGTTGACGTCGGTACGGCGTGGCTGATATAGAGCCAAGGCCACGTTAATTTTCTAACCGAGAGTCGATGTTCCATCCTAGTCTGATGATGTATTTGATCCTCTTTGTATTTCACTATAACTAGACTGTGAGAAGTCCTAGCGTGTAAACCCCCGCAAACGGACCTGCTCTCGGTACAACTTTGTATAAATCATTACCAGATTACGTGCCATTCCTGATAATCCCATTCGATAGAATACAAGTTTTTCCGCGGGATCACCAGGGTGGAGGCATGCTACCCCGCATCTGCAGGCATATGCCGTCTTTGCATAGTGGAAGTATAGAAGGTCATCTGGCCGTCCAGTCCATAAGTTCAACGTCTTGCCTGAAAACAAGCTCATGTTATTACATTTGTTTACCAGGGCTAAAAAGACCTTTTTGGTTTCTTGTCTACTGGATCTTGACAATATGCTCTCGGCCACTACAGACGGGACAATTCCAAATCCCTGCGACGACGATTTATCTCCTACCACTGCGGGTACGGACAGCTCAACTCGCAAGCGTAAATCTGTGAGTATTCCTGCTGATTTTGATGGAGCTCCCAGTCGACCTAATTGAAATGTTTTACTGACTAGAAGCTCGTAGCGAGCCTGTGACCGATGCCATCGCAATGCCTGTAGGGTAGGTATACCCGTTAATGCTTGCTCATCTGTTTGGTTCTGTCTAGGGTTGAAGTGCTGATATTAAATATCCTAGTGCTCGCCCGGTATTGTGGGGACGACCTGTGGACGTTGCGAGAAACAGGCAGTAGAGTGCACATACAATAGGCCGGTGAAACGACGAGGTTTAAGTCCTTCGCCACTTATATGTTGTCTCTTCATTCACAACTTATCGTCTGTCTCCTCCTTTACTTACAACCAGATTAGCCTCCGGTGCGCCGAACTCGACCGGCGAGTGATGTGGAGGCTACAACGTCCCTAGAGCCTTCAGATAATATTCCGCAATCAGACTCGACCATAGACCGTATCGATAAGGCGCCTGCAGCCCCGCCTAGTGAGCCTTCTGAGCCTCCGAGAAGCCCAGGGATCAATGACGAAGCCATGTACAACGGACCCTCCACTTCAGATCTGTACTCGGCTCACGAAAGCCTGGTCAGCCCTGAGGCAATTGAAAGTATTATGCAAGTATTCTATCATAATATTTACCCCATGTATGTATTGTTTTTGTATTAGCGCGGATGAATTCAATTGTCTTTGGCTTAGACTATGTGCTGACAATATCAGGCTGCCATACTTTCACTGGCCGACCTTCCATTACCAAGTTCGTCAGCAGCTCTATCGGTCTGATAGAGACGTCTTTGTCGTGGTAATGTCTGTTTGCGCCTTAACTTCTGGGCAGCTACAAAACGGTATCCGGATACCCCAAGACCTCTACGATATCCGGGTCAATGCCGCCACTGTCTCCTCCAAATGCTACTGTGCGGCAGTTGAAGCCATGCCAAATGACATCACTAGCGCTTCTGACTACTTGCAGGCAATGAAGGCGAGTGCTATACTGGCTGCAGTGTGTCTGCAAAATGAAGACATGAAAAAGACCGTTGCACACCTAGGAGATTATTTATCTCTATCTGTCATGCATGGTTTCTATGCTGAAGCCAACTGGCCTGACGATCTTACAGAGATTGAAAAACAGGAGAGACGTAGACTGGTAAGCGTATAATCCGGGTTCTTTTCCTTCACAGTTCCGAGTGATATTGACTCAACTTCTCCCAGTTTTGGGGCGTATATCAACAAGAGCAGTATATCTCAACCAACTTCGGCTTGCCATCTCGTCAGTGTGAAGCCAAGACAACAGTGTTATATCCGGCTGAAGTATTTGATGATGAGGACATATTCGCAACTAGTATTCAACTAAGGCCAGATCGAGTCTCGTTCTTGCGTGGATGGAACTACTGCACCGATCTATATCGTCTGTTTGAAAACATGAACGGCATGATGAGGGCGTGGCAGCAGGCCTCGGTTGAAGAGCCTAGAGGTCTATTAAACTCATTCCTTACTGGTGTTCGCCCCTCAAAGAATCTCACTTACGAAATTTTGAATCTCATCTCCAGATTGTATGAGGAATTACCGCCTGAGCTCAAGGTAGTGAAAGATATAACAGGAGATCCACAGAAGGATTGGTATGGGCTCATCGGTATGTCCACTTCTATCTTGCGTAACAAGTGCGAAGTGATGGTACTAACCATCTTTTGTAGCCATGAACATCGTCTTGACAACAAATAAGATCAAAATGCTCCTTGCTGGGACTGAGAAGCCTAATGTACACCTAAGGTGTGCCATTGCAAGCGAGCTACTTGATGAGATCGAGGCTCTTCCCCGCGGATTATCCAGCGCATTAAGCATAGGCTCGGTGAGAAAACATTCTAGTCCCATTTACTCAACCATTTCTAATTCTATTCCAATAGTTGCACCACCTGTCTCACATCGGCCACATTCTCAGCTCCACCATACCAACTCCTCTCTCCACACGGACATACCTCTTAGTTCGCAACATCCTGGTCGTTCTCGTGGAACTTTTGGAGAATGTAGAGCTGTCCCGGCTGTCCATACCAAAGGCTTCCATCAGGCTCTGGGGACAGGTTGACCAGATTGACCAATATATGCAACAAAACCCCAAGCAAGATCCGTCATCTGGTCTTCTAACTAGCCAGATCTTGCCAGATACAAGTGCCATAGGGAGCATAAACTGCTCGAGCGCCGCTGAGTCCTTGAACTCCGCTCAAGAATCAAATTTTACCATATCGCAGCAATCGACGATGCAGAATTCAGGATCTGACTTCATATCTGCTCCCATATTAAGCACTTCTCACTCAACCGATCTGTTCAAGGACTGGCCGGTATTACCTGGGGAGACAGATGCCTTGAACTCAGTTGCTACACTTTTATCTGCCGGTAGCGGGACTTGTGGCCCGTAAGGACATGCAACATCCCCAGGCTGACCGCAAATGGGATATGCTTTGTTGATTAGTGACATTAGTGTATAACTGGTACAGAATTGTATTCTCTCTGTCTAGTAAGATATCGTGAGGCAACTATGCAATTACCATGCATCATATGAATAAGAAGCCCCGTACCCTAAGTTACAGTCCTCCTTGAGATATAACAGTAGCCCAAGGCATCATGCTTGTGTTATTTCATTTTGAGCAACCCTGACGAGTCAGGCCATGGTAACTAAACGCATCTATTCAGGATATTCAACCTATCTCGGGCACGCAGAGCTAGGAGATGAAGATGCTTGAATTCCTATCTAGGATCGAGCTCGAAGCACTAGGCTCAATGCGGAAGGAGGCAGGCGATATCTGCCTGGCCTACAGGCCCAAAAACTTATATATTAACCTATAATGAAATATTCTGGTTGAAGACATCGTGTCGATATTTTCTTTTACCCAGGTTGCTCGTGACTTCCATATGTTATCTACATTCCTCATTGAATGAACACTCTAGACTAGTTAAGCAGATTCATGCTCCCAGTCACCAATGCATTAGCGATTGCTGCACATGATTCAATTCCAGCTTTTCTCGATAAGCTGAGAGTATAAATTCTTCTCCGTGTCATGTATCTCATTTCATTGGGCTCCTCACATTCGCCATATGGACCAAAAGCAAACGTGGTTCCTGGAGACACTTCTCCCCACGGACTCTCCCAATGAATGAAAATAACCCATCTCCTTCTCATCTCCCTATCCACCCTTTCCGCTGTAGATTTATGCGATATATCAATACCCCCACATAAGAAAATCAAGTCAATTGCATAGTGAGCACGAGCAGATTGTTGCCATGGATTCGGCTCGTCGAGGAGATATCGGTATACCCTTTTATTGGCGGTAGCAAGCTTTTTACACAAATGCTCAATCGGAAGAGTATATTCGACATCATGGACAAAGTCCAACGCGTCAAGTATGTTGGGCGTCGGACGGTTTGGAGATATACCGTGCGCTTTGCGTAGTTTGGTGTCCAATTCAATATTTGTATCTGTGAAAATGGATATGATTCCATCAGGAGCAAGGTCCTGGAAACCCCGCTTGCGGACTATTTGTGAAATGTTAGATTTCATTATGGCAGCAACCACCTGAATTGAATAATCGCAGCCACTACAATTCCTCAACCTGTTCTTGTTTGGTTTCCCAATTGGTGCGGATATCTTCTTCTTGGATTCAACGGCGGGAGATATTATTCTCAGTAAGGATTTGTTGAAAGGCCTTTTGGCTATATTCGCGAAGAGATTTATCCTCCAATTCATGGGCTCGCGCCTCAAAAACCTCGACATTTCCTCGCCACGAAAACGAGGCATCGGGGCGAAAGGTATAGCGAGCCTGACATAAGTATAGCTCTCTTCACGGGAGTTCCAGTGCGCGTGAACATATGTTGCTCCAGCACTTTCTCCGCACAGTGTTTTTTTTTTTTTTTTTTTTTTTTTTTTTTTCCTACAATAAGAGTCCGAGGTGACTACTAGGACGTCTCTATCAGGCAGTGCCTTGCTTACAGGGTCGCCACCGAATCCAGAAATATGCCTCCTTACCCAATAGATAGCCAGTTCTTGATCTTTCAAGGACAAATTGATCTTCCCTGATCCATTTCCATCCCCAAAACCGAAAATATTGAGTCGGTAGTTTGGAGCTACTGTGATAAAGGGATGCCCCGAGGATATTGAATCTGCAACTAGTTTGGTCGTATCTGATTGACGTTTTTAGTCAGCAGTTCTTGCGCAATAACAGCTAGATAGCTCTGACCATATATTCCCGAGGCAGCGGAGCAGAAAGTAATGGCTTGCGTCGCCGCCTATATCCAATTTCAACATATGAATGAGTGATATAGCTGAGTTTCATACATTGTACCATGTATCCATATGAAAACTGGCAAATCCTGACCAGGTCCTGTATCGGATGGTACAGTCACATCGAGATTCAAGTATTCAGACTCGTTCTCGGCCTCATCTTAAAGAACGTAGTCCTCGGGTATGCGTAATAAATGTCGTACATCAATGTCAACCTGAGGACATTTCAGTCTGAGCGGAGCTGGCTGAATGATGCATTAAGCTGGTGATGATGATGTACAACAGTAGCCATTTCTGGCATACTGTTAAGTTAGTAGCACTGACGTGGTTTTGCTTATTTTTATTTTCATTTTGTTTTATTTTCCTCATTCACTGATAAGCAGGTTCTTCAAGGTAAGTCACTCTCTCAGAGCTTCTGGGAAATGAATTCCCCACAGAACCAGCGGCAAAACTCACAGAGTTTAACCGATAGCTCTGGATGCTGATCTTTCTTGTATCACTGCGCAAACAGAATGAGAGTGCTCAGACTACTTATTTCTCGTTTCACCTTCTGTCATGCAGAGAGAGTAAGCAACCATGGATGAATTATTCTCAAAGAGGACATCTGATAATAGCATAGGCCACATCTATATCTGCTCCCTTTGCATAAATAAAAGGTGCTTGCTGAGGGCTAGGCATGCTTTTGACTATCGATAGCTTCTCCATTATAAACTGCACACATCTGGTAACGTTTGGTCACCTTACGTTTCTAATGGAAAGTTTGTCGGACAGCATGTGCTATGACTGTAAAGAACTTACTACAATGATGCTAAAACATGGGTACTAGTTCAAGGGTTCTTTTAAAATATTTTTGCTCTGAACATAAGTATTCTAATGAAGTATTGATAGACAGGGCTCTGAGAAGGAATCTTCACGGAATCTTGCAGATCTTACAATTACCTAGATCGTATAGGGTCATCCCGTGCTTATCTAGTCATCCCAGATAACGGCCCAAATCTCGCCTTCAACGTCAACCTCTGCCACTTGTTCACTAAACAAGCCAGACCCAAGATCTCTCTGCAGGATGGTGATTCGTGATCCCTCCTGGATCCCAACAGCTGCCAGATTTCCAGCTGAATTTAGGTCATAGGTCCTGGCCATCAAGCCACCGGCGGGAGAAGCTTGCACAAAGTCAAGCTTACCGGCGAGATCCTGTCGAATCCGGAAAATAGACATCGAGTCCGACCTCCCATCCGGTGGATACTGAGCTGCGGTGCCATTGAAGCGCGCATCACGGCGATTACTCACAATTAGAAAGTCGCCGTCTGGGCTTACCCTGAGCTCACCTGTAATTCCTTTCCCCCCGGTGTCAGGTTTGGGGGTTCCTGGTTCCAACGAAGAGTATGTGCCATTCGGAAGTAAGTCGAATTGAAGGCCTCCCAAGTCAGGCAGATAAGTCACACGGTAGGCAGTGATGGTGCCCGCTATCTCAGCGGCAAGATAGAACACGTAACTTGCAATACCATCGGGGAAGAGAATTGGATCTTGTGTGAACACGCCATGTCGTGGCCCGGACCCCGGGGTGGCTTTGAGTGCTGCACGCTCATCTAAGAGGAGAGAATCGTGATCGATAGCATATACACGCACAAGGTCGGCTCCGAGATCAATCGCCAGCAAGTATTCGCCTAGTGGGTCGGTACGCGCTTCATGAATGTGTGGTGCGGCCTGGCGCTCTCCGGCGGGTCCTGGTTCGGCCATTTTGTACGTAAACGTCTGGAGAAGCTTGAGTGTGCCGTTTGAAGCGGTAACATCGTATGTCTGTAAAGCGCTGCTGGTGTAATGCGCCACAGCAAGAGCCTTCCCATTGGCATAAAAGTCGGCGGCGGCCCCGTCAAGAAGGCACTCTACACTATCTAACTGAATAGGAGGACCTGTACCGTTATGAGAACTCGTGCGGTAAGAAGTAAGGGTTCCGTTGCCGGTCGTCACGCCATCGATGAGGTAAAGAATGTTGTTGTGTTCATTCAAGGTCAACCATGCTGGACTCTGCGCAGGTGTCTTGAAGGTATGGACGACCGAGAGATTGTATCTTTTTTTCGGCGCAAAACCGGCAAAGTAACCGTCTTCAACAAAATCAGATGATCCGGTCGAGGAGAAGTAGTCGTACGTCAAAGAGAGAAGTGTAATATTCCCTGAAGAAGATGCAACATAAAGGGAAGTAGCACACGCAGTGGTGCACAGGAGCAAAACTTGCAACATAGACACCATAGTAAGATTCATGTTTCAGGAATCCGCAACGAAAACTGTCTTTACAAGCCCAAGTCGCCGACAAGAGAAAAATGCCGATTCACCTGTCAATACTTCCTGGTACCTTCTACTACTAAATACCCTGGCACGATTAACAGATGTTGAGCAATAAAACATAATCACAGTGATCTGTTGATATTTGGCCGAAGTAGTTTAACCGATTCCTCTATGTAGAATGTGTTCTGGGGCGGAGTAAGTAAGTACTTACTTGGTGTCTCCTGAATGGCCCCACCGCACCCCACGGGGAAACTAGGCGCAGTTTTGCTAGAGATTGACCAGTCGCCTTAAGACACAGGGTCAATTATTGGTGAACATACGGAGTGGCTTAAGTATCTAATCCTAATTCTGCATGTCCAGTTCGTGATCACTCGTGTTGGTATCCCGAGATCCAAACCCCTGCACTGATCAGACAAATCTTGAATAATATAATGAGCATGCATATAGACATTTCCCCGTAGCGCAGATCGTCGCACTTACAGGAAGGACCATCCTGCGCCTGTCGGGTAATCATTTCGTCCCTGTTTCCAATGGACCTGCTATCTTGGGATTCCAGAACAAACGACTCGACATCGGCCTGACTTTCTCCTTTTCTAGGCCGCAGGCACTATGCGGGGTATCAGAGAAGTAGGGCCTTTGTACGTATCTAGTCACTATAGATCCATAGACTATGAGTAAAATCGGCTTTGCAGAAGCCTTTTCAACAGAACATCGATTTCACCCCGTAAAAAGCTCCCCTGGCCTCATGATCCAATTGGGAGGATATCGTATATATCAGATCTTCCGTAGATGCTCACGCCTTGCAACTACCTGGTTAGGCATCTTGTAAACTAAGCTGTGGCGATGCGTGTATACTGCAGCCAATATGGGTCCACAGATTTGGCTACTGTCGAAGCAGGTGCCATGTACATATATATATACATAATAGTCTTGCGGGAAAATGGTACGAGTAGGCATGAGTAGAACATGAGATCCCTCACCAAATCGTACAGACCTTAGGATGATATTAATTCTCGTTCCGATAGACCGTGCGCTTATTGGCTTTGATGGATTCAGCCGGCTTTGGGGACCGGCTTAAAAAAATTTGCGGACTATTAAAAGGACGTTATAGCCATCGAACCTATACCACCAGCTACAACAAGTCGCGACATTAGAAGTATTTCTCCCCTGCTGCTACTTCACATTCTATCGATCCTTCTTCCATAATGAGACCAAGCGTCTTAATCTCAGCCCTCCTAGGGGTCTCCATACCTAGCCTGCTAACGTCCGGGGCTCCAACGAATCAGTCGGCCTGTACACGCGAGACAATGCTGGTCCGAAAAGAATGGTCGGTGGCCCAATAACATCTGTAGCAGTTATGCTAAGACTGGCGGACTCATAATCCAGGTCAAATCTCACTCCATCTGAGCGCATGGAGTATTCCAATGCCGTGACATGCCTCCAGAATTTGCCGTCCAGATTAAACAATACACAGTATCCAGGAGCAAAGAATCGTTATGCCGATTTCATAGCGACGCACATCAACTACACCTTCATTATCCATCTGGATGCTATTTTCTTGCCATGGCACCGCGGATACGTCTGGCTTTACGAGTCTGCCCTCCGCAACGAATGCGGCTACAAAGGCGCCCAGCCCTACTGGGATTGGCCTGCATACGTGCAAGGCGGGCTGGAGAATTCGACTATCTTCGATGGGGGTCCTTACTCGTTAGGCAGCAATGGTAGAGAGAACGACTCGTGTGTTTACAAAGGGCCTTTCCGCAATTACACCTCGCCATTTCCGAAGTTTCCCAATAGCATCATCATGGACAACATCGAAAACAATGGCAGTGGGACAATCCCCAGTTGGTCCTTCGAATATAGACCGAACTGCTTTCAGCGCGGCTTGAATGATGAGGCACTTCGGCTGAACAATAACTACAGCTGTATCGCCGATTTGCTTTCCCAGCCTACTATCGGTGACTTCCAGAACTACTTGTCTACTCGTGAGGGTGATGCCCATTATGGTCCTCATGGTGGCGGACACGTCGCGATGGGAGGGAATGGAGCGGATCTATTCACTAGTCCCACTGATCCTGTGTTCTTCCTGGTATGTCTTATTAATATTTTCCCCTTCTGCATGACATATATTGACAGCGAATCCAAGCATCACGCGCAGGTGGATCGCATGTGGTGGATGTGGCAGGCCATAGACCTGAAAACAAGGAGGTATGCGTTGAATGGAACTCAGACGCTGGAGAATGTCCCACCCTCGCCCGAACTCACACTCGATGATCAGATAACATTTGGTCCTTTGGGCAAGAACAGGACGACCAGGGACCTGATGGACATTCATGCTGGTCCTTTTTGTTACCGGTACGAATGAGTAGGATCAGGGTCCGAGTAACTCAGGCGTAAAAAGCCCAAGTTTATTCGATGCCAATTAGTTAATAACGCCTTGCTTTATATTCCGAAATGTATGCTACAAACAACTGAGATGGCTTTGAGGGCGGCTGGAGCTCGGGAATACCAAAGCTGCATGTAATAACGATCAATCTGATGATGTAGAAGACAATCAGCCTTACGTATCGTGGCGATTGGATGGCAAAAGAATCGACTTTGTATGTAGTGGAATGATAAAGACCATAGCTAGCAGCAGTGCAGCGCAGTCCACAAAGGCACTAGCGCTAATCCAAAAATGATAGAATGAAAAGGATATTCGAGTTGCTTATGCACTCTTTATACAACCCGAAGAAATTTTTAAACAGCTGACTCTCTACGAAGGTTCTAAAACTTACGGAGCCTCACTGTTAGAGATGCAGGAAGCTATAGGCTAAAACAGCCGAATTTGCGGTCCACTCGGTACTTTACGCTGCCGAGAAAAAAAGAGGAATAAAATTGCTGCCATTTCAAACAGGTTGTTCTATCTGTACAGCAATAACTTTCTCCTCATCTATGGCATCAGCATTCAATTCAACACTCTTGTTTGCCACAGACCCAAACAACTGATCCATCTGGTCCATCCGCAGACCTTTCGTCTCATGAATGCAGAAAAATGCAAATATTGCAGACAGGACCAGAATGGTACCATTCCAAAGGTAAATCCCAGACCCCATGGCCCTGAACATGCTAGGCAATGACTTCGTCACGACGAAAGACCACAGCCAAACATTGACTCCTGCCCATGGCCCACTGATGCTGCGCACGCTAGGCGAGAAGATCTCAGATGCTATGATGAGTGGCAGACCGTTCGCACCGAATGACCACATGAATCCGAATATCATGATCGCCGCTGCAGCTCCTTTCCCGGCCGCAATCTGTGAGCTAGTTTCTGTAGCCCTGTCACTTGGTGTTGCAATGCGGATATATGCCCCGATGTAGTACATGCAAATAGCGCATCCGATGCAGGACGTGATCCAAGGCCACTTACGGCCGGTTATATCAATCAAGAAAGAGAAATATATAATTGCTGCTCCTGATTTTACCACGCCATAGATACCAGTCCAGAGAGTGGTGTTGTCTAGGCCAATGGAGGTGAAGATCGTCGGTGAGTAATAGTTAATTGCCACCGCTCCGCTCCACGCCTGGAAGAGACATAACATAGCCACTAGCCCGAAGCGGTTGCGCATTCCTTTCATAGTGGCTTCTTTAACTGCAGCTTTCGTTGATCCCCAGAATGTCGGCTTGGCTCCGCTCCGGATGGTCAGGGCACGCTCGATGGCAATCTGCTCCTTGATAAAGTCGACGTCCTCCAGAACGTATTGATGCGTGGCGGGCAGGCTGCGGAGAAAAGAAAGAGCTTTCAATGCGTCTTCATCCTTTCCCTTCTTCAGCAGCCAGGTCGGGGATTCTGTGAGGAAGGGGATTGTCAGCGCAACAATGCCTACGGGAATAAGCTGGACTCCCATGGGGATGCGCCATGCGAGGGACCGTTCCGTGTCAACATTGCGCTCAATGCCGTAGTTGATCCAGAAGCCGACCAGAGAGCCAACTTGGTAGAAGGTCTCAAAAAACCCCGTCATGCGGCCGCGGATGGCTGGCGGTGAAAGTTCCGAGATATAGGTTGGGATAACGGCCACGAAGCCCCCAACCCCAATGCCCGAGAGTACGCGTCCAGCATACATCATAGACTTCCTACCGGCTGACGCTGTGGAAATGACGGCACCCAAAATGAAAGTGACATCAGCAATAAGCACAGAGATTCTCCTCCCGTACATCTCAAGCAGAACGAACATGAACAATGCGCCCCAAAAGGCACCAGCAGAGAATAGGCTTGTTACATTACTCGTGAAAGCGTCAGCGTCTTTAGTTGACATGTTGTTTAACCCAAAGTCTCGCTTGTAGCTGGGCTGTGTTTGCGTTGTGCCAATAAATGAGGTATCATAGCCAAAAACAATAAGGGCTGTTGAAAGGCCCAGCACAGTGAAGTACAGCCTCCAGTTATACTAGCAGGATGCATATTAGAGGCAACCCATTGACACAGCAGATGGCATAAGCTTACAACTTCTGGTGGTGTTGGCCGGTCCTCTTTGGCGTGCATAAAATTCATAAACATCATATTGGATAAATACCAATAGATATATTTCAATAGAAACGCCGTAAGTCAAGACACTATAAACTGGTCAATAGAACAATTGAGAAATACGTGACTCATGATAAGCACTGAATGCCCCCATAGTTCAGCAGCTAAAGTTGCCTTGTTATACTTCTCGTAGAAATGACTTCAAAGCAATAATTACAATGGCGGGGTAAGCATCTGGGATAATTCCTGGTTTGATGTGCACCCTGCAGTAGAGCCGGTGGTTTAGCCGGGGAGATAAACCCGTAATCAGCGTTGCAACAGCGGGAGTAGCTGGACCAAGTTGAGCCGTAGAAACATTTGTGTAAAGAGGGCTGCTTTCGACTCTCAGAATTCATCCGATGTGAGATCGAACTAGCTAGTTATCTCTCTAGCCTAATTCACCAGGTCTAACCTGGTCTGAAATGTGTTGGAGACCTCCCTCCTCGGTCCGTCTCGTCGCCCTCGCTTAAGTATGGCTTGGCATAGCTAGACAAGTCCGCACAGATCCTATATACTTGTAATCTAGGCTTTCCACCCCCTTTATCAAAATGCTTCTAAGATGCGTAATTGTGTATGTATAAAGGCACCAAACCAAGTAGGTTAATGTGGTCTAAGCACCTGGGCGTTTTAAAAAGGTTTAGCTTTAAGTCTTAGCATACTCCGTAGTTTAAGCGGGGCCTCTAAAGGTGAAAAAATAATTGGAGTATTTAGACTTTGTTTTCTGAGCCACGCCGAGGCTAGCGAAAATATTCTATCTCAACGTCTTCTAAGGTTGCTGGAAATGGTTCTGTAATGCAGAATCCCGACAATGAGATGGCTTACAATGGTTGTAATAAGTAGATTATATTCCTACACCCTTGGAGGGGCTGTCTAGGTGCTAACGTACAGGTGCCATTTGGCGAAACTGCACTATTCTGCTTTGTTTCCGCACCAGTATTCCCTTTTCCCTGTCTACTGTAGGCGCTGTCAAACCTAGAAGCTATTTTATTGGTGAATTCTGTCCTGTAAATCATCGAATGAGAGGAAGCGGGGTCATTTGTTCAATTGCTAGTTATATGCGGCATGACATCAAGTATTATTTCTTGTTAATATCAAAACTCAGAAATGACCGACTTCTGCAGATGAACATATAGAATGATTAACGATACAACTTATGGCAAACTTATCAGTCTTTCAATATCTTCCCATTTGACCTTTTTGTTTTTTCGTTTTCTTTACGAGCTCTCCTTATGGTCTTCCTAACGGGCACGTTGCCAATCAGTATGGATCCAGTCCAATCAACTCCCTGGCCCTCTTCGAAAGGACGGGGTTTTGGAGAGGCCTTTTAACAGCGGCCTCGTACGATGGATGATCATCAGGCGGAAGGCGATCCTTTACTCGGAAATCAGCCGGGTCATGGGTGGTATTACGCTTTTCTTTAAAAGCTTTGAGTCGGACTTGCTTTGCTTCCTCAGAAACCCAGGCGGCCGGCTTGTAGCAGACATCTTCGAGACATGTTAGCGTGTTTCCTCTTTGAAAGAAATGCGAAAAGAAAACCCTTGGAAATGGTGTTGACTTACATGCCGCGAAGCGGTCATTTACAGAGGAAGGGGGGGCGCCGTAATGAATAGTACGCTTGTTCTATTAGCGGTATGCTCATTCTTTGCAAGCAGCGAAGTGGAAACCTACCGAGTCCCAGAGTAGCAGATCACCAGGCTGTGCGCAAACCTTTCTCCATTGACATCCCTTTGACTCGACCCATTGGCACATCTCCTCATCTACATTCTGGAAAGCCCACGTGCTCCAACCCCTTTCACCTTGTTTATGGTCGAAGCGTTTCCAGAGCTCGGTATAGAATGAGCTGGACCCTTCAAGAACCATGAGTCCACCATCGTCGGGGCCGTTTGGCAGGAGATTCAGAATGCCCTGGACAGTGTCGAATTTATCATTAAAGGGTGACTGGTCGACATGTGCCCAGGGTGCGAAGAGCGGGTCTGTCTTGGGGCGTTCCTTTTCCGGCATAGAAAGATTCACACCATCTGACCAGTGTCAGTCGAATCGAGAACATATATACACCGTGTGTAAAATTCTTTGAACGAAGATCAAACTTACCGAAAGACACAAGTAGCTCCCTGGTTCCCCAAATCTGCTCCCATTTCTCCACAAGTCCAGGCTCAGATTTCAAATCCCAAACGAATTGTTCATGGCCCACGCCGTACCTATAATACAAAATTTAACAATCTCTTCCGGTTTATACGAAACATATGGAGCCGCACCTGTTATACAGCCCGCCACGGATGTGCCATGGAAGGTTAGCTGTCTTCCGAGTGGATGGATCACTACGGTTGAACCCAAGGTTCCAACTCTCAAGCCATTCGTACCCTTTGTCGGCATACTCTAAGGCTTTTTCCTTAGGAATGGCCTCGCGGACTACTGTCCATCCCTTGGTCTGTAACTCAACCAGCCATTCAGGAGACTATAGATGTGTCAGGACAACAGACCGAATTGTATACAGACATAAAAACGAGATTTGACTGACCTTAGTGTCACTCTCATGAGCGTTTGGAAGCCTGAGAGCCGGGCGAACCTTTGTCTGCGTGCTCACGACAGTCTCGGTTGCAGTAGGCATGATGTTAGGCCCTCAAAAGCTGGTTGTTGATAATTTATTTGGTATTAACCTTGAAGTTGGCAGTTGACACTTGATAGTTATTAGCAGTTGACACTTGATAGTTATTACATTGTCAATTGATCTTGAGCCGAACCAGCCTGGCCCTTTTATCTCTTCATCATCAGCGACGGTATTATGTCATTGCTATCATCCTCCCGTACTGCGCCACACAGACAGACATACCAGCAAACTTTTCTCATGCGGTCGACTGTCAATAGAATGTGCATTATGGTGAAGCCTTCGCCCACCAACCCCTGCTGTGATTATGATGTGGAAGGCGCGATCATTGCCACCGGCATTACAATCCCCGATTACAGGGCCGAAGAACGTTCCGGCTAAGCTTTTTCGCTCGGTTATGTTAGGACAGAAGCAATGGAACATCCCACGGGGTTTTGCAGCTGGTTTAACCGACTGCGCGGTAACTGTGAACTACCGAACTTCAGCAACCTCTGTTCCCCATAGTCAGTATGGGACATGCTTGTATTTCCAAGTGTCTGAAAGTCTGACAGCTATACTCTAGGCGCGATGAGCCGAATTTCATAAGATGACCCGCAGGTACTACCAGACAGGGACTGTTCTTTGAGAGACACGAGTTGCAGAGCTAGGGAGATTGAAGGTCCATCTATCGCGAGAAACTATGATGGGCAGAACTGAGCTGGCCAGACGAGGACTGTGATATTCTTTGGCCGTAAAGCTTTACCGAATTATTACTAGCTTCCTGTGGTTCGCGCTCGATAAATGATTGTTAGTATACTCTTTCCGAGAATGTCCGGGAAAGGCCAGCCCCATGGTCGCTTGGAATCACAGTCTGAACGTGAAGCAGGACCCACTGGTCATGTTATACACATAGAAATATAGTCTAGCTATTGATTTTTTATGAAAAGCAATTTCGTGATTTTATTAACCTTGTTATCTCGTATGAAAATCTCTAGCTCGAGCTTAGGATGCAGGACTACATATAGCTGTTGATATTCTTGCAACTGAGTCAAACTCCTCCGTCGGTGCCCTCCCCAGTCCACACTCTGTTGCAACACCAAATTTCCTCCCTTCGAGGAATTTTGTGGCTGTCTCCAGCCTTTTTCTTGTTCCACTTTCGTCGTTTGGATGCACAAGGCCCACATAGAGTTCCGTTTCATGTCCCACCTTCAAGCCCCGTAGCGGCTCGAAGTATGCCTCATCGTCTCTGGCCTTTGGAACTGGGAAATGTATCCAGTTAATCGGTCTTTGTGCCCTTTCAAGGACAGAATTCGCAATTCTCACAATATCTGCTGTGTCGGCGGGTTCAATGAAATGCTTATGGCCCATGTCCCCATAGCAGATATGCATCCCAACTTCAACATCTCCAGATACGCTCCTCACTAACGCGGCAACTCTATCCATCGCCCCAGTGAACACATCACCTTCCCAGTACTGATCAAAATGGTAAATGCGCTTCCCGGGTCTGGCGTGAATCAACATTGGCTCCGCCGCAACATCAACCTGCACTGCGAGATCCTCGTGTGGTATCTCAGCCTCCAGCCGCTTGAGACATCCCACCAAGGCATTCGTGTAGATCGGCTCGACAGTGGCGGCAAATTCAGCCCGCAGAAGGGACATGACGCAGTACACTGTTGGTACACAAACTAGGAATTTCACGCTTTTGGGAATTACTCCCTCGTCTTTTAACCGCTTGAACTCGGCGTAGCTCTCCAAGGCAAAGTCGTCATAGCAGAGCTTGAGCGGCGCCATGTTTTTAATCACATCTGCAACTTCGCATGGAGAGGCTTTAGGTTGTTCAATGACATCGCCTTTTGCGTCGTATTGCTCCAGCGCGACTGGGATGCCAGAGAAGACGGTCCGTTGCCAGCCGATGAAGTTATTCCGCGAGGCCGGTTCACCATCAGGGAGGCGATAAATACAAGATGGGAACGCAGTCACGCATTTTTTGAAGGAGTCTGTGGCTGTCTCTGCGCCGCAGATGGAACCAACGAGATGTACACCGCAGGGTGAGGAAGTCATGATCATAGTCCGTAAGCTTTGCGAATATAAGAGCACGAGATTCAATTGAAGGTGCAAGAGCAAGAAAGAGAATATAACATGAGGATACCTTTTAAATAGGTACGTTTCGGATATACCGGCCTCTAGGATGCAGAGTCTAAGATAATTCCTCCGTTCCAAAATTATGTTACTCGCTGTGGAGGCGAGTATTGATCCCGGTGGATGGAAGTGTCCTGGCTGAACGAAGGCCACTTCACCGATTACTACACGATGAATAGCGGAATAAGGCGACGCATAAAGCAGTCTATGTCGGAGGATTGATGGGCAGATCTCGCGCAATGTCGGAAAATCTGATTCTCGTCTTTGTTTGCACGGTATACAAGACATGCAAGACGGCAAATATGAGGCTCGGCGAAATATCCCTGAGAAATTCACCGCGTTGAGCTATGGGACTGGCGTAGAGGTAGGTATGGCCGCCGCAAGATCGGCGAAACCGGGGCTACACGGAAGGACAATTAGATTTAACAATATGTGCATGTCGTTAGGTTTGTATTGGGAGGCTCATTCATTTGCACTGGCTCTGAAGAACGCTACGATGATAAGGGGATGCAATATTTCGCCGGCTCGGAGGATGTCCACGAAGCGTTCAGGGCTTCCCTTAAAATATATATAGGACGTTACAACGCAACTTCGTAGTTCCTGCAACATACTTCAGTATACAACATTCCTGAGCAAGGCTACACTAAGCGATATGTCTACCTCATTCTCCACCATTCCGATTGTTGACCTCAGTCGCCTCCAGAACCCCGAGACCACAGATTCCGAGTTAGTAGTCCTTCGAGATGCGATTTTCCATGTTGGATTCTTATATCTAGTAAATACCGGCCTCGAGGTAAGGATCCGCAATGCAAGTATTACATTACAGGCAGTTACTCACCCTAAAATGCGAACAGTCATTGATCAAGGAAGCACACGCGCGAATGCCCGAAGTCTTCTCTATCCCTGTGCCCGAGAAAGATGCAGTCGACATGATAAATTCTCCCGCATTTTTAGGTTACACATCTCTGGGAAGAGAGACAACTGCCAGTGTCACAGATCTCCGGGAGGTAGGTTTTTGAACTTCCTGATATTACTAGTTTCTGCTAACATATTTGCAGCAATTTGACTTTGGATCTGAAGTCGAAGACTTTAAGGAAGGTGACCCTTTCTGGCAGAGGTTGGAAGGTCCAAGCCAGGTACGACAAGACTTCTTTCTTGCTAACTTTTCAGTTTCTCCCTTCTTCTGTCACCGATATGTTACTAAAACGGAATTCTGTGGGTGATTAGTTCCCTAATGAGTCCATAAAGGACCTTGTTCGGAGATATATGGCTGCCATGGAAGCCCTAGGCAGGACTTTCGTCAGGTTTGCGGCCAAGAGCATCTCGCTCCCAGCTGACACATTTGAGCCCTTCCTTGGGAAAATGTCGAGATTGAAATTCGTTAAATACCCAGAATCTCCTGCTGGATCTCAGGGCGTTGGGCCTCACAAAGACTCTATCGGTCTTTTCACGTACCTTGCTCAAGACAACGTTGGGGGTTTGCAAGTTCTTAATAAATCTGGAGAGTGGATAGACGCGCCCCCTATTGAGGGAAGTCTGGTCATAAACATTGCGCAAGGGTTTGAAGCGATAACTGGGGGTGTCTGTTCTGGAACCACACATCGCGTCATGGTAAGCTGAGAGGAAGACAAACTTCAAAACATGTCGTCCGGCTAACAGGAACGCAAGTCACCGACATCTTGCACTCGGTACAGCATCCCGTATTTTCAAGCAGTGAGGTTAGACCTCAGATTAGATGATCTGAAGCGATCCACTGCGAGCATCGTTGATAGGATTCCAGCTTCTGATGATAAGAAGAAGAGAGCTGTGGACGTTCCCAGTGAGCTAATATCTCCGCAATACGCATGCGTAAGTTGGAAACCTGTCCACACTGTTCCATTAAGTAAGCCTCCGCTAATATCCAATAGTTTGGTGAAGCACAACTACGAAACCGCATTTTCAGTCATCCTGATGTGGGTAAGAAGTGGTATCCGGAGCTGTATAGCCGATACTCGCAGCAGTCAGTTGTGTGATAAATATGACTTGGTATATCAGTAGCTACGCTTCAATGATGCACGTAGACATTATTGAGAATCTTTCCACCTTTCGAAGATGTACAATGAGAATAGCGAAGTTTCTGCTTTAACGCACGCCGAATGAAACTCTTACGAGATATCGCCTGGAGAGAAATTCTGACTATCGCTTATGTCACCATGCGGCTGCATTCGTATTTTAGTATGTCCTCTGGATCTATTCATAATAATACGGTAAAGGCGTTACTCTTAAACAGGAGTCTGTCATTTTAGCAGCACTAACAATGGAGTTTGGGGTACTTGAGATGCGGTGAGTTGAGACGGACTTCTACCATGTAACCAAGTTGCTCTATGGCTGCAGTGAGCAGCGGCGAAGAGCAGCAATGAGGCCAGTTCAACCTCCATCTGGAGGGGACCTGATGGTGGTCCTGCCAATTTATACACTGTAAGGAAGGTCCGCATGGGCGATCCACGATATTATTACACTCAGAATTCAGATGCATAAACTCAGCAATAGTATTAAACAAACACTTACTATGCAGAACGGAACAGTGTATGTAGTGAGAATCTGCCATGATATAGATAACATTCAATCATGCGCTACTCTTATATAAGCTTGCTTCCTTCCCTTCTTTTAATAAGAATGGCCCATAGGAAAACCAAACAGAAGCCCCCAGTCGTCATACACACCCCACTGAAAAGCTGCATAGCAAGGAAGTTTGTCTTCCCACCCACCTGCTCCAGAGCACCTGCGGTTGGACTGCCGATTAAACTAGCAAATGCTCCAATTGCACTTGCCATGCCCAATCTTGTGCCGAGCAGCTCTGGGTCAGAACATACAATGACGAAGGCACTTGGCGGTAATGAAATTAGAGGGCCGCTGAACATGCCAAAGAGTGCAACAAGTAAAAAGAATGTTCCTTGCTGATGAATACCAGCCCATGCAATGCAGATGATTCCGCTCGCTAAGGCACAGATACTCCACTGTACAATATTACCAATTTTGACAGCAAAATAGCCCGATAGTAACCGACCGACAATGGAAGTAGCCTGCGTAATCATAATTGTAGCATTTGCATCCGTGGAACTCATTCCCAGAGCGATTTGCGCAAAGCTGGACATGAAGATGAACGGGACCAAGTAGCCGAAGAACACCATGAAGTTGCTCAGAGTATATATCACGAAAGGAAGCTCCAAAAAAGCCTTGGCATCAAATAGCTTCCGTGTCCTGGTGGCCGATAGGTCTCCGAGGTTTTGTACATTCCAGAGAAGCAATGGGAATGATATGAGATAGCACCCCACGATGATGTATCCTATGACTCGAACAGTGCTGCCGAAGCCTAAGGGTGAAACGAGCTGCTGGAAAACGAGAGTGAAAACGATCCCACCGATAGGCGCACCGCAGGTGGCGCACGCAAGTGCTGCGGCACGATGTTTCAAGAATGAGCGGCCGACAAGTGCGAGCCCAGGCATATACAGAAAAGAGTTTCCAACACCGAGCATAATCCCCTGTGTAAGTAAGACCTGCCAGTATTTGGTGCATATGCTCAACAAGAACACGGCTAGAACCTCAAGGAAAGCACCCGTTAACAGCATAGTGCGGAAATAACCCCTATCAAAAAGGGGACCGGTGAGGATGCCGCCAAATATAAGCAGGAAGTTGGCAGTTGTACCAATCCATGCTAATGATGATGAAGACGCCGCGGGTAGGTACGTGATTTGGTAGTAAGACTCGAAGGCCCCTTGGAGCATATCAGTAGCTTTCTCGTGCAGGGAGGGATGTTAGGAATACCAAATGCGAATATGAAACCCCAGATATTTGAAAATACAAGAAAAGAGCCAGTAACTTGCAGCCAGGCTCGAGTACCACCGTCTTTTATAGCAGGTTCTATGTTTTCAGCGTCCGTGATGGCAGTCGTGACGCCGTTGCTAATATGTTCCCGATCACTTCTATCAGCAACCTCGATATATTCCTCGGTTCCAACGTTCTTATCTGTGCTGCTGCTGCGACTAGCCGCCAGATCTCTGTGAGAAATACTGGTCGTTTGAAGCGCCTCTATTGGCCTTAATGCGGGCGTCATTGTAATCAAGTAGATATAGGGTAAATTGAAATCGCTCTATGCAATCAAAATACTATTTTCTTGTAGGTAATACAGCGCTATATAGTTAACTTATTCTCGCTTGAGGTAGAATTAATGAGCTTCCCGGATATTGCACCTTAAGACAATAAACTAGGTTAAGATACTAAGTGCCGGCGAAATAGAGTTATAGACACTGGCTAAACGGCAGATACGGGATAATTGAACCGTGTCGCTGTAGTCGACTGTAGTTTTACGCACACTAGCTTACCTAGAATAAGCAGAACCTCTCCCAGGCGGATAAATTGTTATACCTGTAGTTATGCCTTTAACAATAGTTTTACCGTAAAATCCTACGACGGCTCTATACAGGTTATAGATTAGCGCAAGTAAAAAAAAAAGCTTAGTATAAGTAGAGAAGTTTTTCCGAGTAATAAGAATACCGTTAAATACCCCCTTCGCTAGCTTCTGCTAAGCGCTCTATTCGCTGGTTTAGTCGCGAGATCGCGAGATAGCGTCTCGCGAAATAGCGAGGTTTTTATTACTAATAGGTTATAAATAGTTTACTATTTTATAACTATTAAAATTATATAGTTATATACTAATAAGAATTAAAAATTAAACTTTTTAAATCTAGTAAAGTAATAAATATAAGTAAATTTTATCTTATAAGGCGATAAAATTATAATTAATATATTTTATATTAAATATTATTAATTTTATTAGTAAAGTTTAATTATTAATAAAATAGCTTAGTTATAAATTATTATTATATTACTTTATAAGACTATATAAATAACTATTAAATTTATATTAAAATTAAGTAAATATTAATATAGAAAAGGTATTAATAAGGAAAATAATATAAGAAGCTATATAAGAACTTAAACTATAAGGTATAACTAAGTATAGAGAATAGAAGTATTATAGAATAATCTAGTATTATCTAAGTAAATGATACAAAACTTTAGCGTTAAGTCCCTTAGGCTAATTAGATCCCCTTAGGTCTCTCAGGCCAATTAGATCTGCTCAGATAAGCTCTATATTTATGTAATATAATTAACTGTGTAGAAGCCTGTAAGGATTTAGGGCCTTTTATTAGCTGAGAGAAAATGCTAAGTTAGTATAATTATGCATAATAACTATTTATAAGAATATTAAAACTTTTTGGACCCGCTAATTTTTAGGTCTTTTAATTAGTTATGCTAAGCTAGTATAATTACGCATAATAACTATATATGTGAATATTAAAATGCTTTAAACCTGCTAACCTCTGGCTTCTTTTATTAGCTTAAGGTCTATATTAAGCTAGTATAGTTATATATATCTATTATATATGCAAATATTAAAATCTTTTTATAGTTAGTATTATTGCTACTATATTTACTATTTTAAAATATATATATTGCAGTGTAATACTAAATTATTGTGTAATATTAACGCTTATATTAGACCCCTTATACTAATTAATTCCTAAGTTCTAATTAATTATAAAGTATTAATTGGCTAAGAAATGAAATTAGAGATATAGGATACTCTTAGAGCTGATAGCGCTATTATTAGCATATCTTAGTAGCGCTCTAATAGCTATTGCGCTGTAATATATTTAATATTTTAGGAAGATTATTACTGTCTGAAAATACTATTATTCTATAATTATTAATTTAGGTATAAATTATTATATCTTTAATAATAGGCTTAATATTAATACTTAGTATTAGTATATAGTAGGTGCTATTATTATTACTATTATTATTATTAAATAACTTATTATAACTATAGTTATTAAAATAAGATATATTTAATAATATTTAGGATTCTTCTACCTGCGATCTTTTATTATCTTTATACTTTAAGTCTTTAATCTTACTTAATTTATTTAGTTCACTTAGTTTAGTAGGAGGTAAGGTATGTCTAGGCTATTAATAAGCTATATTAGTTAGTAAGAGGTTAACTATATCTAGGGAAGGGGATATTTACTATATTAGTTTTTGTATTTCTGTATATAACCCCTAATAGGACCTAATTGGGGTTACGCACCCGATTAATAAGATAATGCTTTTAATTATTATATAGGCCGTTAGCATAATTATCTTTACCTAGTTACTTTATTAGAAAAAGATATATTTAAAGTTGGGTTGGGAGCATTAAAGGTGTTAGGGACTAAGACTATGTCTTTTATAGCGGGTTGGTCGGTTCTAGTTATATAATAAACTTTAGAGTAATAAGGTATATTAGCAAGATATTAAGATAAGATTTTATAATGCTTATATAATTTTTTCTAGATAATAGATAGGATATCCCTTATAAGATTAGTTCTAGTCCTTAGGATTACTTTGTTTTATCTTATTTTCAGGTGTTAACCCTAAGACAGATTGCTATACCTTGCCTTACTTTTCTATTATATTTTATCTTAATTTTTTAATATGTTATTATCCTAGCTGTCTTAATACTAATATAAGGCTTACGCTTTTAAGATTATTTAAGCTATACTTAATAGTTTTTAGCGGTACTATATATTGGTATAATTTATATAATCTATATAATCTGTATTATTTATCTGCTAAAAGGGGCTGTATTAGATATATATTTAAGGCCCGGTTATATATAATAGGGTGTTTATATAAGCCTATATACTAACTATTTATTATATCTGCCTAGATTATATCCTTATATTATGTTTAATATAGCAGTTATATATCTTCTAATATAAAATATAATAGCTGCTAATAATAGCTTGTAAAAGGGGCATTTATATAGATTAATAATTATAGGCACTATTTATAATACAGTTATAATATATATGTAAGTCTTAAATAATTCTAGTATTATAAGTGTATATAATAGTAGCGCTTATTACTAAGTTTAATAGTAACTTAAGTATAAGTAGCTACTCTTATAAGAATAGGGGCTTAATCTATATTTCTTACCTCTAGCAGTTAGTCTTACTGCTAGATTTTATCTATATTATTACCTTATATGCTATTATTAGTACTTTCTATAATATTAATAAGATAGTTATCTCTATTACTCTTATTATTATTTGCAGATCTCTTTATAAATTATACTATAATTAAGTTATTATTATAAAGCATATCTTCCTCTAGATTAGCTAAGTCTCTTAATAGATTCTCCTTTAGTAGGTCCTTTTTTTAGGCTATTTTAATAACCTCCGACCTATCCTATATGCCCTTATAGAGTTTATGCTATACGCGACTTTATCTTTGTATGCAAATATATTAGCAAACCTAGCTGGGGAGGTCTTAATCTTAATCCTCTAGTTGTAAATCTAGTAGTAATTATAAATAGTTTTTTCTTTTTACTTTAGAGGCTATGCAGCCTATATATTGCTCTCTATATTATATAAACCCCTAATATCAGAACTGTCTTATAGGGAATACTGCCTGTAATATCTATAATAATTATCTTTAAGTATCCTAAAGTAGACCTCCTGCAGAGATAATTAGAGTTAGACTATAAGTTATTAAAATTATCTCTAGGGCCTTTTATTTATTAGTAGTAGAGTAGCGATAGTTATTCTTTAGCTATATAGATATTTAATATAAATATTGCTATGCTTTATTCTAGAGCTGTAAGATTATTGCTAGTAATAATACTTTTAACTACTATTATAAGAGTAGTAATATTAAGCTTAGCCTTAATATAGAACTAATGCAGGAGCTGCTATTATTGCTAAAAGAATACTTTAATAATAATAATATAGAGTCGATTTTCTTTTACAAAAATATCTGGTCAATTAATATATTATTAGTATTTACTTTTATAGCCTATATAAATAATTAATATCTGGCCCTCTAGTAATATTAGTAGGTCTTTTAATTATAGAGAGCACTTTATTACTGAATTAGCCCCTTGAATAGAGCAATACCCTCTTTTATATAGTTTTATTTTCTTAATCCCTAGGAGGCAGATCGGGTACAGCAAGAATATAGCTTAGTATCTTAGATATATGCTGAGATTATATAGCAATTAAATATATTACTGTATAGAGTTAATCTATTCTAGAGGGTCTTTTATTACGCTCGCAATATCTTTAAATATTATACTAATTATAGATTATAGTGCCTATATTTTATCCTGTAATTATATTTGATTCTTAATAAAAGTAGTAGGCATTTTTATAATTTAGCAATTTTAGTAATAGAACTGGCAGGCTTTATTTTAGATATTACAGAGGAGTATAGTTGGGTAAATTTTTATAATATCTGCCTTTATCTTACTGAGTCCCCTTTTATATAATGTTTAATATCTAATTAGTCTGAAGAAGATATAGATACTATCCCTAATAGTAATAATATAATAGATAATAATGCCTACCCCAGAGACAATAATAATATGCCTTAGGTTATTTTTAAATATAACCTATAGCTATAATACTAAGATTAATATAAAGATAAAACTGAGGAGGTTATATTAGCTTTTTAAAGCTTCTTAATTACTTAGTAAGTTAATTTAGGATAATATCTTATATTAATCTATTATTTATACCCGCTATATATTCCCCTCTAATATATTCTTTTTTTTTTTTAAGATAGAAGAGGTTAGTATTAGTAGCTTTAGCTGTTAAGTCTTATTTATAGCAGCTAAGAGCGTTAATAAATGCGAATTATATTGCTTATTTATTATTGCTAGCTTCTATTTTAATACCTAAATAACTTTAATATAGTATAATATGTTGGCTATCTTTATTAATAATTTATTATAAATCTATAGTTATCTATAGAGCAGTATAAATTGGATTAGTTTAAATAGAACTAAAAAAAGCTCTAGGCTAAGAGATATAATATTATTAGAACGGCCCTTACTACTACTATTAGCACCGATCCTGTTAATATAAATAAATTATATATTCTTTTATTAGGCTTTATAGGTAGTAATCGCTTTATATAATAACGCTATTAGGACTTTATAGCTATTATCTATAAATTTAGGAAGCTTTACCTTTTTATTATTTTTATAGCAAACCCATATTAGGATAAGATTTAGGCTGAACTTATTAAGG